CCCTCCTCCCTCCCTCTCTCCCTCCCCTCTCTCCCCACACAGCCGCCCAGGCGATCCGATCGACCCTTGCTTACGTACGCGTACGAAAGGCATACATACACACGGACTAAAACGGCCGGCCATTGCTCTCACTTCTTCTGTGTGTGTGTGTTGAACGTGAGGGTCTGCGGCGGGCAGCACGTCCCATCTGGCCCGTCAGCAATGAGTGTCGTTCTCCGTATGAGCGGGAACGACACGCACTGCGAACGGCCGAGAAAGGAGTGTGCCGACGGACCGCCAGACCCGCCAACCAACACCACACCATCACAAGACAACAAAGCGACGCTGCATATCTCTTTCATTTGCAATCAGTGGTTGATGTGATGCACACGTTTGTGTGGTGTGGGCCTGTCCTTGTGAAGCCTTCGCCGCAGTGGTTCAGCTGGTAGCTCAACATGATGGCTACCAACTGCCCCACTGCCCATGCTATCACAAGGCCCAGGCACACACCCCCACACACAGCAACCATGTGCATGCCTCTCCGACACAATGCAATACTCACTCTCCATCAACAAGCGATGGATGACAAGACATCACACATACACCCATACACCCATACCTCACAACACAACACAACACAACACCCCCATGCCGTCCCATCACCCTCTCGAATTAATTCATCCCCCCACTCTGAAAATGCGTCAGCCCGGCAGCAGCAGCCGGTGCAGCAGCAGGGTGTGGCTGGGAAAAAGGTCCCGCAGTGGGCGACTGCGGCCCCCGCTGGCCATAGCCAGGTGGCGGGGCGTTCTGGCTGCGGAAATCGGCAGCATTGGCGCGGTCCACCAAGTCAGGTGGGCCGTATCGCCTGAGTGAGACACGGGCAAAGCAACACAGACAGTGGGATGAATTTGCCGTGAGGGTTTGGTGGTAGTGTTGACCTCTCCCTATCACTAGCTAGCTCACTTGATGCCCTGTGGTGTTTGTAGGGTGTAGACGTATCTGCCCCTGGGCTGCTGGTGGCCGTAGGGGCGGTAGTTGCGGTTGGACGTGTAGCCGTAGCCCGAAAATGGCCGCACGCTCAACGACGCCGCAGACGGGCCGAAGGTCTCCTGTAACACACCCCACACACAACACACAACACACAACAACGCTCTGTTGACGTACAGACACACTCGCCGCCAGCCGCCTGATCTCATGCACTGACCACATTAAGGACCCTCTCCTTGTTCCTGTCGAGCCGCAGGCTGTCGGGGAACCTGGTCCGCTGGGACGCCTCACACGAGATGGTATCGAAGAAACTCGTCTTGGAGTAACCGCCCACCACGTCGGCGACCGTCTCCTGGCCGCCCCGGCCCATGTGAGGGTACATGGAGGCGTGGTTTTGCGCCGCTGCCGCTGCTACCGCCGAGGACGACGGGAAAGGGGGCGACTGCACATAGGAGCCGGACGCACTGCGGCTCTCGGGCAGGTTGGTCTCCTCAACTGATCGACCAACGCATCATGGACCAAACAACACATGTGTGGCGCTGTGTGATTGATGGGGTCTGTGTGTGTGCGTGCTCCTCTGGCCCCGCCCGACGTACGTTTGACGTCCGATTTGGCCCGCATCTGCTCGAACTTGAGGTTCTCCCGCTCGAAGTCGTACTCGCCCTTGCTCTCCATCTCGGTGCGCGTGAAGATGTTGGGCTGAGCCGGCAGCTCGCCCACAGGGAAGAGCGGCACGTCACTCCCACCCTCGCCACCCGGCATGCCCGCCCCCACCCGTGGCTGGCCGGCACCCGGTGCTGGTGCTGGCTGGTCGAAGGCGAATGGTGCGGGTGGTGCTGGGTATGATGGGTAGGAGGGAGGGGGCGGGACGGGCCGGCCGCCGTAGGCTGCCGCGAAGGGACCCGGGCCATCTGGCGCCTGCAACCGTCCAAACAGGACAGACAGACACATGAGATGACGTGGGACACTCTCATCGTCTGTATGTCCTCGTCACCTGGTTGGCGTATCCTCCGTATCCGGGTGGTGGTCGCTGCGGCTGTGGCTGCGGCTGTGGCATGGGTGGGTGCTGGGCGTTGGCACTCCCCGCACGGCTGATGGCGGGCGTCACGCCAGCAGCTGTGGGGGAGTGTGAGTAGGGTGCGTCCGACACTGTGGTGGTCGAGTGATGCGACGCCGGCGCATTGTCGCGATGCAGGAGAGGCCCCTGGTTGCCGCCACCCAGCTGACAGACAGGCCACACACAACACACTGACTGGTGAGAAAAGACAGCGGGTGAGAATGTTGTCATCTATATGGGTCACCCACCTGCATGATGCGGGGTTCGTTGGGTCGAGCGGCAGCTGCAGCAGCCGCCGGGCGTCCATCGCCTGCGCCCCGCTGCTGCTGATACATGCCGCCACCACCACCCCCACTGGAAGAGGAGGAGGGCCCGGCCACGTTGCCATACACCGACTGCTGCTGCCATGTGGGCTGTTCTGTGTTGCGTTGCTGCTGCTGTCTGTTGCTGTAGGTGGCTGCCCCTGGGCGTGACGTCGGGGAGTGCTCCGAGTCGCACACAGTCAGGTCCTTGATGTCACGGCCTGATGGTGGGTGAGGTGAGATGGGGCAAGGGCGAGATGCGTGTGTGTGATCTGTGTAGCCACCCACCGTTGAATACGACGTTTGCGTATACCTCCCCACTCGGGGGGACCGAGTAGGGCGCAGGGCGACCCTCAGTGCCTGAGAGAGCCATGTCATGACACACACACACACACACACACACAAGGGGAGAGTGAGTGAAGGCCACGCCACATCACACCATCTCAGTGCACTGCACACAGGCCGCCCCGCCCCGCCACGTGGGGCTTTGTGTACCCTACCGTGCGCCTGGACATTTTCGAGTTTGACTGTCGAGTCCTCAGTGTTGATCGTATGCAGATATCCTGAAAGAAACGCACAGACAGACAGACAACACACACGAAACAAACCAACCACCATTCTACGGCAGTCAAGCAAGCCACCCCGTCATCCCCTGACTGACCCGCTCAGCTCACCAGTGTATCGTATGTTTGCTGTGGTGATGAGGCTGATCTTTGATCCGATGTAGGGCAGATCTGCCGACCCGCTGCCGCCGCTCATCGCCACTCACACGGGGGAAATTAAGGAGGAGGGAGGGAGGGAAAAGGCGGGCGCCACGAGCCAACACAGTCAGAGGCGAAAAACAACAGCAAAAATTCGAGAAAATGGAGCACGTCAGAGAGGCAGACCACTCTAAAGAGAGCTCAGCTTCTCTCAGCGTTCCATTCCAGCGAGCTTGCACTTGAGCTTGCAGGCAAAAGGCCTCCACAGTGCGAATGTATGATTGACCGGCGCAGCCAGAAACCAGCGACTCTGCGGGTCTCAAATGCGCTCGCTGCATAGGACCGCTCTCGTGACAATGCCTGGGTGACGGCCTCGTCATCGCCAGCTCTCATCCGGCCAGCCATCGATGCCCGAGTACTGCTCAGGCAGCAGCCACCCCGCTCAGCGCAAGCAGAAGGTCGAGTGCTTCGGCAGCAGCTCACACAACGGACCACAACGACTACCGCCTTCATTACTCGCTAAGGGTGGCAGCGCGTCGCTCGCCAGGTTCCGTATCATCTCGTGCGCCATCGTCCTCACCATCTGTGTCGTCTGTCTGATGGAGACCCTTCGGCTGGCGTCCGTTGTGTCCAGCGTGACGGAGTGGGCTGAGCAGGACGCTGAGAGCATCGATGAAGGGGTGCGGAAGGCCGCAACGAAACGTGCGGACGGCAATCTCCGCGCCGCCAAGAGCAGTGCTGCTGCTGCTGCTGCTGCTGCTGCTAATGAGTCTATGGGACAGGCCCTGGCAGAGGACGATTGGGTTCGTGTGGATGGCGTGACTGATGCGTGGGTGCGGTCGGCGTGGTGGGACGACATGGACAGGCGGCCGGAGGGGCGGGAGCTGGGGGAGATGCCCCTGGGGGTCGTGAGGGACGTGCCATCTCCGCCTGAGGTGAGTCCGTCAGTCAACTTCGCCTCACAGCGACTGATCTGATCCGCTTGTCTTTGTTCAGGTTGTCATTGTGTCGTTGGTGCGCCGCAAGCCGCGGCCAGCCATCCGCTGTGCACTGTGGTATCCGCGCGACCCGCCCACGGCAGAGAGGTGGGGCAGCTGTCCATCGTGGGGTCCTGTAGACGGCGAGTGGGTGCCGGGCAACATGACGGTTAAGATGATGCGCTACGACGGGCAGTACAAGGAGTTCTACCCCTTCTTTCTCCAGTGCAGGTCAGTCAGTGCACCCAGCCCATCCTCTCAGATGCAACCAACTTACGTGCAGCAGTGAGTTCGATGTGTGTGTCGTCTTGTCTTGTCAGGCCTCTGTTTCACGTAGAGGTGCGGACGTCATCAGCTGGGCGGTTGTTCCGAAAGTCGGAGTGCCCCCACCCCGCAGAGGGGGAGCTGGTCGGCACCATGCCCACCAAGGTGTCGCTGTGGCGGGAGGTCAAGGTGGCGGAGGCTGCCCAAACCATGCTCAGGAGGAGACTCGGCGTGCGACTCCCTGTCAGGTAATTACCTGATCACAGACATGAGACGGCCGCCTTGCCCATCCGCTGCCTGCCACGGGTATGCTGTGGTAATGGTGATCGTGTCAGGCCCCTGCTTCGGCCATCGTCTACCGTGCCCGCACCGCCCATCCCTCTGCCGTCCTGCGGCCCCCCTCCCACCTACCGACGCACCCTGGCTGTCTGTGTTCGCCCCTATTGGGGATCCCCAAACCCCCTGACGGGCGAGATGGACAGCGTCGACCGCATTGTCGAGTTCGTAGAGACCTTCCGTGCCCTCGGTGCCGAGTTATTCACTTTCTATGAGTCGCACTTCCCCGTCAGCGCTTCGGTGAGGGCGCTGCTGGACCTGTATGAGCAAGAGGGTTTGGTGGAGGTGGTGCGGTGGCGGCTGCCCGTGCGGCCGTACGATGACGTGTGGGACTACGCGCAGGTGGCGCAGATCAACGAGTGCCGGTTGCGGCACCTCGACACCATGTTTCTCCTCTACGCCGACCTCGACGAGGCCATCTTCCCGTACCTGAAGCGCGCTGTCGACCAGCAAGACGCCGCGGCGCTAGCCAGCCCACCGCTGCTGCCCTCCCTGCTGATGGATCTGTCTCTCGCCTTCCCCGAGTCGGGCGCCTTCATCTTTCGCAACCACTTTTTCTTCACTGAAGAGGGGGCGGACTCGCAGGCGCCACGGCAGAGGGACTGCAACATCTCGGGGGATGAGGACAGCTCTCTCTACCCAAGTGCCAAGGCGGTGCGGCTGTTTGACTCGGCCGCTGCTGGTGCCTCGGGGGGCGGCTGCCCACTGCGTTGGCAAGATGTGTTGTGGAGCCTGCAGCGGAGCAGCACCCACATCCGCTCAGGCACTCCCAGGGGGCCCAACAGCCGGGCTAAGGTGGTGGTCCGCCCGAGGAGACTCAAAACAGCGTTTGTGCATCACGTTCAGCCTGAGGATTTCCACGAGATGCCCGCCGACTGGCCCAGAGCTGTGAGCAACGCGTTCGAGCCTCTCAAGCGGGCACTCTGCACCGAGGGAGAGGGAGAAACGGCGATGCTCGACACGGCGAGGCGGCTGGGAGTCGATTCTGCCAGCGATGTGGATGAGCTCGTGCGTCAATTCCAGGACTGCGAGAGGCCGCTGGACTCCTTCTCCGCGTCCATGCGCAACGAGGCCATCAGGAACCGCACAGGCGACTTCCTCACCCTCCTGGACAGCAAGCGAGGCGCCGACCGGCTGTGCCTCCTCCGCCACTTCATCCAGGAGGCGCAGCGGGGCACCTCCACCGACGCCCTCTCCCTCCCGCCAGACTGGGATCCGTCCACGCACTATCGGCTGGTGGAGGTGAGGGGGACGGTGGCCCGGCTGCACCACTACAAGGAGATCGATGCCGAGGAGCCGACGGCTGACGAGGGTGGCGGTGGGGGTGTGGGTGGGTCGGGGGATCTTGTGGCGGCCAGTGTTGTGCCTAACGTTGCGATCCGCGCCAACGAGACGAGTGTGGTCCATAGCTGGTGGCGGCGGGAGGAGGACCGGTCGGCGTGGGCGTATGTGGATGCTATCACGAGGAATATTGACAGCACGGCACGGAGGTTCGCGGATGTGAGCGTCAGGGATACACGCAGAGACGCGTAGAAGTAGATGGGTGGGTGTGTGGTGGGTGCCACTGGGTGGGCGCTGTTTTGTGAGGGGGTGGGTGAGTGGGCGGTTCGGTGAGTGTCCATGCTTTTGCCCGTGTCCTGTCGACGTGCCCGGCTTTTTTCGTCCGTCATGGTTGGCATTTTGTGTGTCTATACAGAACAACCAACAAGTAGATGGCTGTGCGGCTGGCCATATCTGCGACGAACGATGGTTGACCTGGGTGTGTCCATGCCATGCAGAAAGCGTCAGAGAGTGACATGCACTGTGTTGTGTCGTGTCGTTGCGTGTGTCAGTGAGTGCAGTGAGACCGCCTTTATCGATCTGACGTTTATCAGTCAATCCTTCATCCGGTGCGCACACTAATGAATTCAATCAGATACCAGAGACCCATGATCCGCATAGACACACACAACACACATTCACATCATGAGAGCCCCCGGCGTCCTCGTAACGAGCTGCGGCGCCTCCCTCAGTCTTTCCCATTCCCACAGCCACACATGGCTCTGCGACAGCGACACGAAAGAGCCCCCAGCCATGCAGCACCCTGTCCATGGCACGGTGTGGCATGTCTCCCGCCACAGCACACACCCACTGGCCAGCTCGGCCGCCACTATCTGTCCGTCCTTTGCCGTGGCGATGCATGCCGTCAGGTTGGTGCTGACGGGAGACACCTGTGCCGCCGTGACATCCTCCACAGAGTGCTCGAACATGTCAGCGTGCTCCCACACTGCACCTGAACATACCATTTCACGTCACGTGTCTCTCTCTGTGGGATGTTCTGGTTTCTTTCCCCTTCTCTGACTGACCTTTACCGAGTGCCCGCAGGTCGTAGCCACTCAGTCTGCACTGCCCTCTCGAGAAGCCCTTTGTGCCAACAGCCAGCATGTTGGCCGCCGCGCCCGTCCCGATCGCACAGCACACAGGCTGGTCGGTCCCAACACTGACAGACTCCACACATGACATGCTCTGCCGTGCGGTGCTGCACACCCACAGACGAAGCCGGAGGTCCTCACCACACTGGGCGACGCAGAAGCCGCCGAGTGGGTCGACAGAGAGGGCCGATGGCGCTGTTGGCAGTGTGCGACAGGCGAGGACGATGTTCTGCGGGACGTACTGTGTGCAGACGCACCTGCCTGCCTCCACGTCCCACAGCCGCATGGTGCAGTCCCTCCCGCCAGACACGAGCCACTCGCTCTGTTGGCCGCCAAAAGCCAGAGAAGTGACGGCAAATGAGTGGCCCGTGAGGGTGCGACACTCATCGAGGGACAAGAAAGCGCCACCACGGCCATCGCCATCCGAAAGCCGATGTAGCTTCACTGTCGCATCGGCACTTGCAGAGGCGAGGATCTGGCCGGCCCCAGCAGCGTCAGACGGAGAGCAGTTGAGTGCAAGACACCGAATGGCCTTCTCATGCGCCCTCGACCGCTGCGGCGAGCGCCACTCATCGCCGGATCTTCCAGTTGTCGGGTAGGCGTACTGCAGAATGCTGCCACTGGCTGCGCCGACGAACGTCCGCAGCCATTGGTCGTCTTTGGTGACCGCCAGGCCTCTGAGGGAGTCCTCGTCAGTCGCTGCCCAGAGAGGTTTGCCGCCAGTTGGGGCCTCGTCTCTACCGCCGTCTCGAGGGGGCCCGTATGCAGCAGATGCGCCATCAGGCACCAGATGTGCACCGGCACTACCGCGCCAGCATTTTTTCGACAAACAGCCACCCATGACGAAGCGAGCTGTTGCTTTTGCCCCCTGGCCGTCTCGGTCGAGGTGGTGGTGATTGAGGCGGTTGCTGCGATGGGGCGTCGTAGCAGGGGCCTCATTGGGACGCCTGACATCCGATGCTGGATGGAGCAGAGCAACTTTCACAAGTACATGAAGCAGGTTGGGTGCCTGGACAAGCGCATCACCAAGGTGAGTGGATGCCACTGGGCGCTGCAACCAACTGCATGTAAGTACGCATGTCTCTGTCCCCTGCAGGCGCTGGAGAAGGTCAAGGCCCGGCAGCTGGCCCGGCAGGCGTGGGGGAAGATGCGGCGGTATCGCCGGCAGATGAAGGGGAAGCAGCCCGAGGTGATTGACCTGACCGCTGCCGCGGACGTGACGGTCAAACGGGAGCCACAGGAGGCGGAGAAATGATATGCATGCAGCGCTATAACCACACACATGCGCTGTCTATCGGGCTGCCTTACATGGGATGGATGGATGGATGGATGGGCCCATCGTCTCTTGGTGCTGCATGCCCCTCCCTCCCTCCCTCCCTCTCCGTCTGCCTCTCTCTCTCTCTCTGTCCTTAAGCACCGAGCATCATTCATGTGTGGTGTGGATGTACGTGTTGGCTGAGTCTGGGGCTGCTCACCTCCAAGAAACACAGCTGTACATTGAGTGTGGGGGAAAGTGTCGCGACATGCCAATCAGAGAGAGAGAGACCCACAGACCCACAGAAACACACGGATGCATGTTTATGTATGCAACGCTAAACAGAGGTAGGTGGTCAATGCGGTCGGTCTCAAAAAGGGCAGTGGCCAGCCAAGTGTTCTGCTTTCTGCGTGTACCATCGTGTGAGTTAGTCAATAGAAGTGTGTGCGATCGCGTGTTATTGATTGGTACTGTACACCACCACCACACCGACAGCTAGAGTCCTTAGATCCTGGCTGGCTGGCTGCCTGGCCGTTTCTCATCTATCTGGGGTCGCCTTTGAGCATCTGCTGGTACACCTTGTTGGCTGATGGAGGGATCACATAAACACGTACATGCGTCCACACACATCACATCCACACACATCGACAGATCTATCTATTATCATTCGTGCGTGTGTGTAATGGATGCCTCTCTCCGTACCTAGGAGCTCAAATAGCCTGCCGACGTTCTCTCCAGTCTGCCCAGACAGACAGAGACGACAGGCAATCAGAGAGGCAGGCACACATATGTAGTGCGTGACTGTTGGCTCACTGGTCCGCCCGCCCACCCACCTTGGCTGAGCACTCCACAAAGATGAAGTCATTGCTCTCACAGTACTCCCGAGCCTCCTGGAATGGAAACAGACACACACAGGAATGCTCGTGGATCGCGGCGGCACCATCGAACCCACATACATCCATTCATTCATACCTTAGAGTCTACTTGCCAGTCCTGCGTGTCGCACTTGTTGGCCGCGATGGCCATGCAGCAGTTGGGGCGGCCCTTGGCCTGCAACTCACCCACCTGTTAAGACGTCACACGTCACACACACAAACACATACACACACACACACTCACAACACACCCAGACACATGCACACCCACCCACCCAGAATTTGACTGATTCCCATGTCGGGGCGTGGCTGCAGTCGTAGACAATCACCGCACCCCACGCATCGCTGACAGTAACAGAAACAAAGGAACACACACACACACACATGGATGACCAGCATCACACGCCTCGTCGAGAGTGTGCGCCGCGTGTTGGATGGACACTTACCGATAGTACAGCGGTGCCATCGCGCGAAACCTATGCCGCAGCAGACACACATCCACCCGCAAGCTCACGACATGGTCTCGTGCAAGTAAGCAGGCTGTTCGTGAGTGTTTTGCGTACCGTTCCTGTCCGCCCGTATCCCATATGTGCAGCTTCAGCTGGCTCCCTGCGTGACGTGAACGACCCAATCAGCGCAGAAAAGAGTGATATGAACAAGATGCACACTTGCGGTGCGTCCATTCCCACGCCATCATACCATCCTTCAGCCTGACAATTTGCTGCAGAAACGCCGCGCCTGTGGACGAACCAACCAATCAGCCAACCAGCGACACATGTGCATCTGATAGCCTATCCATGTGTGGCTGCAAGCTCACCGATGGTGACTTCGTGGTAGGGCGAGAACCTCCCTGACACACAAACACCACCACAACACACACACACACACACACAGAGTCGTCCTTTGCTTGTGTTGGCTGTTCGCGTCAGTCATCATTTCTCACACACCCTGGCAGAATCTGAGCGCCAGGCTCGACTTGCCCACCCCCGAATCTCCCAGCAGCACCTGCACACATGAAGCATCCATCCATCCATCCCCGCCAGTGTCGCGTAGATCAGACAGGCCCGCACTCACCACTTTTGACTCTAAGCTCGCCCGCTCCGCACCAGTGGAACCAAGGGCGCTGCAACAAGCACAGGCAGGGCCCAGTGCGAGTCAAGTCGTCTGTCGCCTCTCCCGCCCTGTGCCCCGGCCTGTCTGCTTACCTGGATGCTGGTGCGTTGGAGCCGACACCTTGCGAGATGCGAACCTGACGCAAACAGAAAGATGGAGCACCCGTGACGGTCCGTCCGGCGTGCTGTGCTTGCCTGCATACCTGTGCACTGGCCGGCCCGAAGGTGTCTTCGGCTGATGAAACGAAACCGACATGCAGCATAGCACACCAATCTGATGCGCACTTGATGCCTCCAGTTTTGTGTGCTTACGCTTGCTGACAGAGCAGCCCATCAGTCAGAGCAGGAGATCTCTCTTCCCCGCAGTTATGTTACGCGCTTATGCGTCAATGTGGTCTTTGCTGAGCCTGTGCTCTTCGTATCGTTTGGACGCGTTTCGGAGAGCCTCCCTTTGCGAGCCTATACTTCAGCTCGCCAACACGAAGAAGCCGCCGATTTTGATGGCTCGTCGGCCTTCTGTGCCGCAGACAAGCCTATCCTCGTGTTGATTTATCTGTCCTCATCACCGATCATGCTTGACGGCCCCGATCCGCTGAGCAGCGTCCATCGGTTCCTCAAGTCGTTCGTGCTGCCATGCGAACTGAGGCGGTACTTCGCCAACCCAGTGCTGCGGGCGACGGACATGCTGCATCTGTTGGTGTGGATGGTTGTGCTGCTGGTGGTGCGGCTGTTTGTGTGCGGCGCCCACAACAAGCACACAGGCAGGTGGCCGAGCCTCCTCGGATACGTCAGCGGCAAGATGGCCAAGCCGGGAAAGAGACTCAAATTCCAGGAGAATGCTTGGTGAGGAAACACACGGACACATAGACAGATAGACACACGCGCGCCGTCTGTGTGTCGTGTTTGTGCTCACATGCGGTCAGGTACTGTCTGTGGCACCTGACATCGTCGGTGTGGACGGCGGCGCTGCTGTGTGTCTACTGCTCGGACTGGGCCGGCAAGGTGCTGTTTGAGTTCAAGACGGAGGAGTACTGGAGGGGTCTGCTCACAGACGAGATGACGATGCCTCTCGCCATCAAGGCGCTCTACATTGGCGAGATGGCCTTCTGGTCCTCCTCGGGCATTTTCCTGTTCCTGGAGACCAAGAGGAAAGACTTCTACGAGATGCTGGTCCACCACATCGCCACCGTGGTGCTCATCGGCATATCCTACACGTGCAACTACTGGCGGGTCGGGATGGTGGTCCTCCTGCTGCACGACCCTGTGGATGTGCTGCTCTACAGCGCCAAGAGCTGCATCTACTCGGTGTGGCCGAGCGTCCTGTCGGACACGCTTTTCGGGCTGTTCGCTCTGTCGTTTCTGGTGCTGCGGCTGGTGTGGTTCCCTGTCGTGTGTGTGGTGGCGCCGATGAAGTACTGGGAGTGGCAGCCGCACTGCCATTGGAGATACGAGGAGGCCGCCGGGTCGACACTGCTGCCATTCATGCTGTCGCTGCTCACGGTGGGTGGGGTGGGATGGATGGACAGCTAGATGACCACACACACACACACATGTTGGGTGTCTGTGTGGCTGCTGCTGCTCTTTGTTCCTCTCTCCCTTCTTCATCAGATTTTGCACATCTTTTGGTTTATTCTGATCAGCAAGATGATCGTCAAAGTGATCGTCAACAAAGGAGGTGAGCTAAACTGAGCAGCAGTACACTGCCTGCCTGCCTGCCTGCCTGTGTGTGTGTGTGTGTGTGTGTCATTCATTCACTGCTTGGTGTGTGTCATTCATTGTTGAGTGCAGTTGAGAAGGAGGGCGACATCCGCAGTGAGGACGGCTCTGATGCCGACGATGAGACCACCAGGAACGGCGAAGACGACACCGACGTTATCGACAAAGAGGACTGAAACGACCGGCGCGGGTGGGCTGGGTGCGGGTCCTATATGCGTAGGTAAATGGCCTAGAGGGGAGAGTGAGAGGGGTTGGCCGGTTCCTTCTTGTTTTTGTTGGTTTCTGGTTAGCCGACCGGTTTGGTCCTTTTGGGGGGGTCAGCCAGATGTCTTACATACTGCTTTCTTTCTTATGTGAAAGCTAAGCTGCCTCTGCTGCTGCTGGTGGTTGTGCTGCTGCCTTTTTTATCGCTTCTTTTTGGGTTTCGTACAGACATCCTGACTGACTGACTGACTGACCCATTTCTGTCTAGGTGCGTGTCCGTCTGCATGTGTGTGTGTGTGTGTGTGTTCTTTGTTGTTTGTCGTCTTGTTTCCTGACTCGTCCATGATGACATAGACTCACTAATGCGTCTCAGTGTCCCTCCAGTGGATTAATTACACGTGTGAGTGTCCGTGCAAACATGCAACATCATGTTGCAAACAAGCTTAAACAGCATACTAATGAAAGCACACCGATCGATCAGTCACAACCAGAAAGAAAGAACCCAATCACACCGCACAGAACACCCCACTGCACTACCCCCTCCCCCTCAGCCCACCCACTCCACTGCACTGCCACTACCCATATCATTCGTTCGTTGGTTCACTACATGTGTCCTACTTTCATTTCCATGAAGCTGCTCTTCCCCGTGTGTTTGTCCAGGTCCACACACACGGGGAAGTCGGCCCGCGTGGCGTGTTTCTTGGGCGGGTCGCGGCCGAGGAAGTCCTTGTCCTCAAACATGTGCTCGTCGGGGGAGTCGGGCGACATGCACCACCGCTCCATCGTCAGCAGAGACTGGTCGGGCAAGGTCATCTTGCCCCTGCAGACGCGGACACACAGGGGGAGGGAGGGAGGGAGTTCTTCGGTGTGGTGTTGTGTTGTGTCGTGGCTGGCTACTTGATTTTGTGGGCAAATTTGAAGAGCCGGCATCCGCCTGTGTTGCCATCGCCGCAGGGGTCCAGCTCCTTGCCATTGTATATCACCTGCAGACACACAGACCGAGACACGCACATGTGGCTGGCATGTTTGTTTGTTTCTCTGTCTGTCTGTCGGCTTGTTTTGCTTGCCTTGACGTAGTGCTGCTTGCCCCTCTCCCACAGCTCGAAGAACACAGACGACGCAAACCTGCGTGGCCGGCCAGGGGCATCGACGTGGATGTGTATATGTGTGTGCGAATGCATGTGATCGATGTGCGTGTGTGGTGGGGTGAGGTGTGGTTACGGCGGTTGTGTGTAGTCGAAGACGCCCATGACATCGAGCATTCCGGCTATGGTGGTGTCGTGGCCGCTGAACAGCAGCAGCTTCAGCTTGTCCATGTGGATCTCACCCATACCAGGGTAGTGCTCACACACACACACGCACACAGACAGACAGACCATCGCCATACACTCCACTCCCTCTCATACGGACCTTCTTGATAGTCTTGGCGGCGGTGCGTATGAGTTTGGGGTCGTGTGAGGCCTTGGCGGTGAAGGCCGTCAGCAAAATGCCGTAGAAGGCCGCAGAAAAGACACGCGCGTAGAACTGCACACACGGGACGGACACCGCCACAGGTGGATGGACACCACCCATGTGTGGCTGTGCTGTGCTGCGCGCCACGGACTGACCTCGTCTCCCCAGTTGAAGACATATCGGAGGTCGTTGAAGAAATTCAACTTTCTGGACACACCACACCAGTCAGATGACATAACCCGGCAGCAGAGAGACTCCCTCCTTTTTACTTGATATCGTCATTGTTGAAGACCGTCTTGCGGCCAGCTGCACCAAGACGTGTCTCACAACCGGATATGTGTTCGTTCCGTCTGCCTGCGTACCTACCGGCGATAAGGCACTGTGTGACGTCGCCCAACAGCGCCACCACACTGCATGTACATGTGTGTATGTATGCGTCGACCGACCCAACCACACGCACAGACACATTGCACATGACACATGACACATACATCGCCAGCCACCCAGCTGCCCTGCCTACCCGAGAGGGTCGTCCTGCATGCAGAACTCGGCGTTGACAGGCCCTGACAGACAAGGTAGGAGACGGCCGACGGCCGGCCACTCACTAACTGCATTTTGGACCCTTCTCTCTCTGTCGCCGTCTGGATGTCCAGGTACCGGGAGGATTTTTCTTCAGTAGGTTTTCCAGATCGGCTTTGTACTTGTCGTTGAGCTTGATCCAGTTCTGTGGGCGAAGAAACACAAATACGAGCAGACAAATGGGCAAAACCTGGCCTGGCTGTGCAGCCATGGCCTGCAGTAGGTGTACCATGCCCTTGAACTCGGGTGGTTTGTCGGCTTTGCGGTCCCATTGGCCGCTGCTGAAGTCCATGTAATACTGCAGGCAGGCCAACAGGACACACACTACCACAATAACTGACATGCCACGTCTTGTGGATGGATGGCCTGACACCACCTGAGAGCAGGGGTCAGGGTATGTCTTGCTCTCGCCGTGTTTGGCTTTCCAGAGCTTCTCGTACTGGTCGCACGCAAACGGCTGATTGAGCAACAGACAGACAGACAGGCTACCAATTGCAGCACACGCCAGCGAACCCCGCTGACCTCCTGCACACACAGCCGACGACAGAAAAGACACGGGTCAACGCGTGGATGCGTATGAGCGGAGGTATGCGTGTGAGTGGCGTACCATTCCCTGCAGGATCATGTCATTCTTTCTGTCGGCAGTGAACACAGGCACCTGACACGCACACACACACAAACACACACGCACACACACAAAGGGGTCCAGAACTTCCCTCGTTGAGTGCGTCAAGCCCATCCCGGTTTGCTCTGCTCACGATTTGCCATCCGGTGGGCAGTGGGAACTTCTGCTGTGTTGTGAACTGTTTGATGTCGACGTGGTGCTGGCAGGCGAAGTCATGGAGGTAATGCACTGTGTCGAACTCGCGGACGTCCTTCCACCCGAAGAACTCCGTCAGGTTGGGCCGCGATTTGGGGTGCTGGTACACCACCGTCCGCATGGTCTCTTCTGGCTCGCTATAGCCGGGGCCTGTCAGTCATTCGCATCAGATGGGAGGAGACAAGGAGACATAGGCGAGAGTGTGTGTGGATGGGTCTCGGTGGCTGGGGGGTGGACCGGCTTGTAAGGGGAAGAGTCCGGCCATTTGTGCCATGGCCGACATAACGGTGCGCCAAATGGCTGACGAACGGATGTAGATCTCCTCCTGCGACAACAAACGCACTCCGGCGTGCGTGCGTGTCCGCTGGAGTGCAGTGCATCCTTCTGACCGTTCTCAGCTCTTTAGAGAGGAGTTTGTATTCCTCCACGTATCGCTTGCGCATTATGGAGCCAAGGACGAAGTGCTGGAGAAGACAACCCGGTGGCATTCCGTCTGTGTATGTCATGGAGGGCACCATCGTTGGTTCCATCGTCCCACCTGCAGTTGGCCGAGCTGCGTCAGCGCGCTGTGGCCTCCATACCTGAACACACACACACACACACACACACACGAACGGCCTCCATTCCAGATCGGAGAATGATTGCGGGTCCCATCCATCCACCAGTTCTGGTAGCTGATTCGGTTCTCCGTCAAGTTTCCCTGCATATGATGACACACAGCACACATAAAGGAAGCTCAACAGGCCTCATGTCATGATGCATCCATCCCTCCATCCATGCCGGTGGTCCACTTCGTACCTCATATTGTCGCTTGGGTGCGCGGGCACCGTGTCTGCAGTGCTCCACTACCATCAGCAGCCTCATCTCATCTGGACAACACCACCACCACCACATTGCAAATGCACTCATTCATTCATATATCCCACAGCCGCCGAGTGCATCCATCCATTGTTCTCTCCATGCGTACCGTACAGTACCTGCTGGGTCCCCGGCCTCTGCAAAGGAGGATGAGTTGGCGCCGCCTGTGAGGCCATCGCCGATGCTGCACGAAGACCCGTAGCACGCCGATTCGTCCCGGCTGCTGGCAGCAGGGTTATGGCGGATGTTGAAGTAGCGCCCGCCCGCATCGGTGAGGACCTCCTCGAAGTCATCCGTATCGGATATCACAACCCGGGGCTCCGCAGACTGCTCACATGGCACGAAATGCACACCAGGTGATGGATGGTGTGGTGTGGTGCGAGATCTTGTATTTTGTGGCTCACCAGGCCACCGATGGACCCCGCATTGGCCCATGCAGCACACAGAAACAAGAGAAATGCCACGCGCCACATCGCCTCACTGCGCTGGCCCGGAAAGCCCGGAAGGTTTCTGGCCGATCGGATGGGTGGGGGCCGGTCTCAGGCTCGCAGTGGGTGCCCTGCAGCAAAGCTGTTGCAAGATGCACGTCTACGTTTTTCTTTTCGTCGTCCTTGGTCAGTTCGTCAATGCCAACTCGTTTGTCCAGTCCATCGTCCCGCCCGCAGTGCCCTCTGGTGGTGGTGATGTGAGTCAGTTCGGCATCGATGACTTCATAGACGATTCCCTCCAGGACACCCTGATCGAGAACAACGGCACATATCACAACATCCGCCACAGCCCCTCTGGGGCGCCACCTGATGTTGAGGATGATTCCGTGCCAGAGTCCGAGGAGGAGGAGCTCGGAAACGCCACAGCGACTTCGTTCCTGCATGCTCGCACCGGTGGGCTCGGGCAAACCTCAGCGGGCCGCTTGGCACTGCATTCATTGCAGAACTCGTGCCGTTTGTGCGTCTCGTCTTTCGCTCTTGCAGGATTGAGTGACAGGCTGGTCTTTGTGGTGGAGATGTGCCGTCACGGCGCACGGGCACCGTACCGCTACTTCACCGTACGTGAGATGAGACAGACGCAGAGAGTGCTGCGCCGCTGCCCCCGTCTGTGGAGACAGACATCCGTGTGTCTGCACGTCCCGATGTTCTGACTGCGCGCAACGCACCGGTTTGAAGCTCGGCGAAAGGAGGGGTGGCTTGACGTTCTCGATGTACTTCTTGCGAATGATGCTCCCGAGGAGGTATTGCTGAACGTACAGAGCAGCACATGCAATCTCTGAGACTAGACCCTCTCTGTCTGGATGTGTCGTGGGGTGCATGTCGTGCCTGCAGTTGGCCGATGCTGGTCAGGCCGCTGCGTCCTCCCCACCATCCATCCTTTTCGTTCTCCTTGAAGTCTTTCTGCACACACGCACACACACACACACAGAAGCAAGCCGACCTCCCGCTCTAGCACTGTTTGCAGGAGGAGGTCTGCATCCGTTCTTCAGCCATATGGCGCACTGTCATGTCGGCCATGGCACAAATGGCCGGACTCTACCCCCCTGAGTCAGGTATGTATGTAACGGACAAGCCGACCAGCATCCACACACACACTCGGGCTGCTTGCGCCTATGTGTGCAGGTGAGCAGTTCTCTGCTGGCCAAGCCGCCATGCGTCGGGACACCTACAACGAGGGTCCGGGCGAGCCCGACCGAAGAGACATGTCCGACAAATTCGGCTGGGGAGGCGTCAGGTACCAACGAGTAAAGAAGAACATATGGGCTATCTTCTTCTGATGCCTCCCTCTCCTGTTAGAGAGTTCGAGACGCGCGACTACTTGCATCGCTACGCCGCCAAGAACAACATCGACCTCCGGCCCTTCACCTACCTCAACAAACGACCGCTCCCAGGGGACTGGCAAATCGTGCCTGGTATGCTTTCACCGCGCTGCAGCACATCCAAGAGAGCCACGGACCAGATTGTGCGAACTCTGTCTGCAGTGTTCACGGCCGACAAGCACAACGACCCGCTGATTCTGGGCCAGGAGCCCGCGGCGTGTGGCCACTACGAGGAGCTTTGGAAGGCCAAACACGGCGAGGACCAGGAGTATCCCAGCCCCTCACGCCAGTTCTACCTCGATATGCTCGCCGGCAAAATCAAACGCGCCAAGAAGAGGCCCGAGGCACTCCGCGACCTGGTCAGTACGAGCCATCCCATCGACCAACACCTGTGAATGTCTGTGTCTGTGTGTGTGTGTGTGTGTGTGTCTGTGTGTCTGCAGACTTGGCATGACGTGCAGGATAAGTACGACAAGGAATGCCAGAGCATTCTGGCCAAGAACCCCCCCTGGCTCCCCTGACCCCAACTGGTGCTTCACCGAAAGCGTCTACGAGTACGCAGCACAGACACACAGACACACAGACATGCCCGGCGGGCGACATGGCTGCGGTGTCCTGTGGTCAGTTTGTGTGCCCAGATGGGCGACGCCGTGACGTGTCAGATCGCCGACGGCCGCCATGTGATTCTGCAGGACCCCCGCGACATCCACTTCGTCCAACGCGCTCTCGACCACAAATTCTCATTCGTCAGCAGTGCACACCAGACAGACAGACAGACAGAGACACACACACGAGGCAAAGGAGAAACAGACACATGAATGAAACAGATCTGGGACGACGAGTTCTACGCCCGCGTGGCCACGTCGGCCTTTTACGACGTCCTCGTCACTGCGATCAAGGCAAAGGCGAAGGGCGACCGACAGTCACTCAGAGAGGCATCCAAGATCATCAAGAAGGTCTGTCGGTCTGCGTGTTGTGTTGAACCATCTGTGTGCGCCAAAGCTGTTTGGTTCTGTGGATTGCATTGCGTGGCCTGCAGTACCCCGGCATGAGCGACATGAGGTTCGTGACGCTGAAGTTCCTTTTGATGAGTGCTCACGACAGCACAATCGCGGCTGCACTCAGTAAGGGGTCACAGATCGCCACCCGACACACACGTGACGGCACAATGACCTTCCTGCGTGTGTGGGGGTTAGGCACGATGGACGTGTTTGACGACGAGCAGCCGCCCTTCGCCTCGTCGATCTTCTGGGAGCTCTGGGAGAAACGCGTCAACGGAAGTAAGTCTGCAGAGCAGGGAACAAACAAGGCAGAACAGTGCACTCTGTAAGTGCGTGTGTCTCTACGTGTGCGTGTCTGTGTGTGGATGGCCAGAGGCCCAGCACTTCGTCAAGATCATCTACAACGGCCGCGAGATGCCCGTCTGCGGGGGCAAGGCCGAGTGCTGCCTCGATGAGTTCCTCGACAAAATCAAGTATGTATCTGCAGAGACACCACACCACACCGCACCACACACGTCTCTTTCTGTCCTTCTCATGGCTCCATTCTCACTCCCCCAGGGCCAAGATGACGTTGCCTGACGGACAGCCCCTGACTATGCGGCGGTGGTGCGTGGCGCCCGGCACACCAGACGAGGAGCTCTTCAAAGACCGAGCCTTCCTGGGCCGCGACCCGCCCAGCGACCCCGCCAAGCGATCCGACTTCCCCGTCTGCAAGGCGGTCGACGAAGGCAAGCCGCTGCCCTCTGTGTTTCAGATGGAAGTGCCTGAGGAGGAGAGTCGTCATCATTGTCATCATTGTCATGGTCATCACCATCATCATCATCATGCCTGAGAAAGACAAGCCAACTGCCGAGACGCAGCGACAATGACGAGTGAATGATGCGTTCGCGCGGGGGGGAGGAGAGAGAGAGAGAGAGAGCTCGTTCTGTTTAAACCTCCCAGTGCCATGACAATGCCAAGATGATGGTCGGTAGAGAGAAAGTGGCCCGACGGACAGACAGACTGGTGAAGGAAAAACGTGCCAAAGGAGTGGACAGCGCGGCGACATTAGCTTGGTCCTTGTAAACGTGTTCGAGCGTTAACTATCAGATGATGAGTGTGAGCGCGGCGCAGCGAGTCCACTTACTTAGCACATGTCTGTCTGTCTGCCTGAATGGTGCACATCCATCTAGCCCACCACAACCGCCCGACCAACGAGCACCACATCACAGCCCCCCACACAACGGCATGCACTTAGGCAGGCCAACGGATGGACGGACGGAGGCCGCCTCTTCCTTTAACACATCCAATGGCCATGCGCATGTTACCGGGGGAGAGGAAAGAGGAACAAGGAGACATATAGAGAGAGAGAAAGAGATGGAGGGAGAGAGGGAGAGAGGGAGGGAGGGAGAGAGTATGTACGTCATAGGTGTGTATGGTATGTATGTGTATATATATAATATCCACAAACAACAGTCGGTCAGCCATCCCATCCCATCCCATCCATGCCATGCCATGAGCCAGGGCCGTACAAATACCTCACACACTCAGCATGAAACACGCATCAGTCAATCTGCGTACGTACCAATCTATCAGCAGTAGCCACGCGCAGGACAGCACACCACACCACAGTCAGCTCCAATGGCATTTATGGCATCCGCTCAGCAAAGGGGGCCCTAATAAACCCGCCCCTGTAAGCCTCACCGCCCCACCCCCACAAAACATAACACGCAACACGAAACACGCAACACATACTCTCCCACACAGTTATCCTGTCTCTGTCTGTCTGTCTGCCTGCCTGTAGTAGTAGTCACAAAACCCACGTCACAAAGGCCAGCAATCAATTCATTCCTGTCTGTCTGTCTGCCTCTTCCTTGATGGGCTGACCAACGTTGCTTCATGGAGTAGACAAGACAGCCAATTGGGGTAAGTGGCTGTGAGTGTGGGTGGGTTGCTGAGAGAGAGACAGAGAGAGAGAGAGAGAGAGAGAGGAAGAGAAATAGAGGGCACCAACCAGCACACATGTGCACGTGTGGATGTATAAAACACACAGGTTCACGTCCAGTGAGGTGTGTGTGTGTGTCATGGTATGTGTCTCTTCCCCTTACAAATAAATAAACACCGCCGCCTCCCGACCTCCTCAGCGATATAATACTCAAACAGTATTATTATGACACAAACGGGTGTACAGTGAGTGAATGAATCAATAACAACATGTGTACGTGTGAAACATCTGTGAGTGAGTCGATGGACGGCAAGCTCAGCAAAAAAACACAACAAGCGATTCACCGCCAACCAATGAAATGCCCTCCCCCTCCCCCCTCCCTGTCCCTTGGAAAAAACACACGAAGCAATCAATAATGTTATCAGTCAGCACCATGCAATGAATGCAATGCATCAGAAATAGCTGTACGTGATTCATCACCCCACCTACAGCCAGCTGTACAAGAAAGACAACAACCCACCACAGACAGGAAGGCCCTTATATATATCAACACACCCCCACGTCGGGTCTATAAGAGGTTGACCGTTCCTCCTCCTCCACCAGCCTCTCGACGACCAGGTCGTCGACCACCGTCTCCACGCTCAGGTACAGGTCGCCCGGCCACTGCGATGGGCCCGCAGAGGGCGACCCGGGCGGCTGTGGCGTGCTCGACACCGAACACACCTTGCTGTAAGACACGTGCCGACCACCGCCCTCGTCACCTCCGCCGCCACCTCCGCCGCCACCTCCACGTCCACCTCCACCTCCTCCACCAGCAGCAGCGGTGGAGTGACTCTCCTCCTTCTCTCTCTCTCCCCTGTCTCTGTCGTGCGTGATTTTGCCGGCCAGGAAGGTCTCCACGCCCTCCTTCAGCCCCTCTGAGTGCGAGTCGACGCTCCACACACAGAAGCTGCCCTTCTCCGCCGGACACCGCGGAGTCCCACTGGCCGCGGAGACCGGCGTGGTGTTGCCGTTCGACGCCGTCTCGGAGCCGACGGCAAATCGCGGCGAGAGGTACCCGCTCCCGCCCGGCTGTGCAGGCGAGGAGGGGCTGGTTGGCGCCCGTGTGCAGCGGAAGAGTGCACCGACTCCCCCGCCCCGCAATGTGGAGGGGATCACAAGGGGAGCCCTCATCTGCTGCTGTGGGGGGGCCTCGCTGCTGTCTGCCGCCCTGCTGCAAGTCGTCACTTGGTGGTCGCTGACCGACTTGGGCGAATTGGTGGCATGGGTGCTCTGCGGGCTGGGCGGCCGGGACGACGGCTTGGCTGCCGCTGCTCGCTTCCGCCGTATGCCGAGAATGAGCGTGGCCGCAATGATGACAGAGGGGAACACAATGACGGTTGCCGCCGCCCACACCGGGAAGCCTCCCTGCTCTTCAAGCGCCGGCGAGCCGCTTCTCGCTAGGTGCGAGCCGCCCTTTTCACTCCTGCCCTCCTCTGCCCGTGGCCCGCTGTGCGTCTCGTTGTGGTTGGCTGCCGGCGGGCGATTGTATGTGGCTGGTGGGAAGTGCCGCCCGATGGCCTGGCCGATAAAATTGTTGTTGACGGGCAGGGGTGTGTTGGGCTGGATTGAGGAGCGGATGTCCTCCCATGACTCGTCGAAGATGCCCTGAGGGGAGTTGAGGGTGGGCACCTCGACGAAGGAGGGGAAGTAGGGGTCGATGGGGAACGCCTGACGCAGCGGGGAGAGCGGATCTGCAAGCCACCACAGCCAACCACAGCCCAGCCCAGCAGCAGAAGGAGAGGGCGGATGCAGAGGATTGTATTGACCGTGTGTGTGTGGGAAAGATGAGGAGGAGAGGCGTACCTGTGAGGATCTCAAACCATGCCTTTTCTAGGGAGGACTGATCCTTGAACTCATTCGGTGCAGCCACGCTGAGCAGCACAACGACGGACCCCCGGATGAGTCCCTTGATGGTGCAGTCGTTCTTGGCAATCCACAGCGAGTCCGCCACGGCTGTCCTCAGCCCCTCCAGCAGGTCAGCGCGAGACGCCTCCGTCTTCAGCACCTCATCGTAGTCGAGCAGCAGCCGCACCGCCAGGAGCCGCTCGAGGGGCACCACGGGCGGCGTGGGGATGTGTTGGGCCGTCTCATTAACGCTGCTGTTGGCCACCTGCTGCGGCACGTTGGGTGGGTCGAGCAGGGGGCCCTCGTCGGTCGAGGGCACCTTGGGGCTGCGGGACACTCGCGACGGTGCCGAGGGGGAGGACATATCTGGACGGAGAGAGCACAAAAGAATCAGAGAGAACACGCAATCCTGCCTGCCTGTACGCTTACCGCCCTTTGCCTCCTCGCAGACGCGCGAGCCCGACACGACTGGCTCGTCGTTGACCATGACGTATGTGAGGCCGCCCACCTCGAGCAGACCCTCTCGCCGCAGCGAGCCAACGGGCGGGGCCGTGAAGGTGGTGCACTGGTTGGCCTTGTAGCGGTACACCCACGACCCGCAGGACGTCACCTCGCGGCACTGCTGGGCGCACGCGAGTGCGCTGTCGGCGAAGGCGGAGCTCTCGTGGCTGAGCGCGGGGCTGGCCTTGGTCTTGCCCGTAACCTTGTGCTGCAGCTGGTAGCACTCGGGCAGGGTGCCCTCCCACACGAAGTGGCCGTCCTTCTTGACGAGGGTCCCCGATGGCGCGTCGTGATCGCCGCTGCCCCACCAGGCCTCCACCGTCCTGTTGGCCGACGTGATCGACATCAGGCTCTCGAAGAGCGCCTTTACCAGCGCTGTGCTCGCGCCGTCTTCGCTCTTGGCGGGCCAGTAGATGTCACTCACCGCCAGAGGAATGCCGTCGAAGCCTGCTCGGTCCATAGCTGTCCTGGCCGCCAGTAGCCTCGCCTCCCCCACCCAGGCGTATGACTCGTTGGTGGAGGAGTCCTTGACCATTGGCTTTGACGCCCCAACAGCGTACGCGATGGGCAGCTTTCGGCTGTCACGCCCGTCGAGCCACATCCTATAGGGGTTGAGCGAGAAGAGGAAGGGCAGGCCCCTGCCCTGGCTGCGCAGCAGCTTCAGTGTCTGGTACAGGACGTCCTGCGAATCCTCCGGGAAATGGCCGTCCTCTGTGGTGCCGGCGAGGCGAGCTGTTGATGGTGGGAAGGTATGTGTGAAGGCATCGGAGCTCCACGAGACGGTGATCCGCTGTTGGAGAGGGGAGAGGGTCTCGTCGGCCGCCTGGAGGCAGACGAAAGAATGAAAGTGTGAGCGTCTCTTCCTTCTCTGCAGCCAGTGCAGTGCATCCCATCCACTCACTTTGAGCAGGTTCATGAGTGCCTGCAGCAGGGAAGCGAGCAGTGGCGGATTCGACTCCTTCTCCGCGCTCTCCTGGTCGGGCGCATTGCCAACTGCACGCAAAACACATCACAGCAAGCGAGCATGGACCCACCATGCGCGTCGCGTATACAAGGAGAATTCATGTTGCCTACCCACGACGTAGCGAATGATCCTCTCGAATGGCGCCAGCCCGTTCAGCAGCTCCCGCGAGGCAGTGAAATCAGCCGCATAGGTGGAGATGGCGTGATTGGGCACCGTCACGACCACCTCTGCCTCGTCGCCGAACACCGTCTGCAGCAGGGTGAGCGCCTCGTGTGGGGGCCACTTCATGAGCCGCATCTTGGCGATGCCGCCCTGCCGTAGAGTGGTCAGGTGGGCGGCCAAAGATGGGGACGTGGCGTCGTTGAAGAGCGACGGGGGGAGGGTGATGCCCCACGGCTGCTTCGGCACTGCAAGCAATCACGTCAACACGAGAGGGGGTGTGCTGTTTGCTGTTTAGTCTTGTGGGTGGGGGTGTGTGTGGGTCTCACCATAGTTGAGCAGGAGCGCGGCCTTCTCCTCATTGGCATTGCCAGCGAAGTCTTCCACCTCGTCTGATGGCACCTCCACACGGATCTCACCCACCGTCTCAGGAATGACCTCAGCCACAAACGCATTGTGGCCCTGCGGCGTCAGTCGCGACACACGCCCCCCATCGACTCGCAGCGCCGTCGCCTCGAGCGTGCGGACGCTCTCAGACGCGGTGAGTGTGACGCTGAAAGGGCTGTCGAGAACGAGGGTGTCGGGGGATGTCTTGGATAGCGTCATCTCGGGTGGTGTCCTGTCGTATTCCACGTGGTAGACGACATCCTGCTCGTTGACATTGCCCGCCAGGTCGCGCATGCGCTCCTTGGGGATGCTCAACTCGAAGCTCTGCTCGGGCAGACCGTCGGGCAGCGTCACTGTCACGGCGAACCGGACGGGATTGGTCCAGCCGTTTTTGCCCTCGTCTGTGGGCAGCTCCCTGAAGTGCTTGAGCAACAGGCCGCTGCGGTGCTGCTTGGAGAGCGCCACGCTGGGGTCCGACGGGTGCAGCTGCAGCTGAAGTGTCTGGGGCGTGAAGCCCTGGATGGGCTGCAAAGGGAAGGATGAAGAGAAAGCGGGACATGCTGTATGTCGATGGGCATGCTATGCTTATGGTTGTGGGGGTGGGTGGATGGGATGGTACGGTACGGTACCTCTGAGAGCACCAGGTGGATCTCGAACGTTGATGCGTTGGTGGCGGCGTAGGGACCCGGACCCTCCAGGTGCACATTGGGAGGCGTCAGATCTGGATGGACACACAGACATCCATGGCATGGCGTGCGGTGCAGACATCCCCCCGCCCCGCACACACATACGCCCTCGCCTCCCTCCCCCACCCCTGAGGATCTCCAGTTGGTTCGACTTTCCATTGAGGTTGCCAGCCGCATCCCTCACGCCCCCCTCCCCCACGGACACCGAGAACATCCCATCTGCCCGCGATGAGAAGTCCACCGTGTAGTTGGTGTCGTCCACTTTGGTCAGGTTGCCCAGGGAGGCGGGGGCAGGCGCGTCGGAGCCGTCGGGCTGCCACTTCACCGTGTGGTTGGGCCATGTCACAGTGAAGTCCTCCAGACCAAAACCTGTGACAGGCTCTGACAAGGTGACGTGGATGCGGAGCGGCTGGTGGTTGGTGCGGACGAGGGAGAACGAGGGGGGCAGCCCTGATGTGGACAGCGACACCGCTGGCGGCTGCGTGTCTGAGAGACCACAGACACACAGGCGAGTCCATAGATCCCATCCCATCTATTGTACGCGCCCCCATTGATATAATGCCCACGTACCGTATCTCATCTCGAAGGGCTCGGTCGCCTCGTTCTCCTGCCCCATTTCGTTAGTCACAGCCCCATTCCTCAGCGCCACACTCAACACAGCCCCTTCCGGCATGCCGCCCTCCAGGTCGACCGCATACCTGTTGCTGCCCGCCTCACGGACTCCTTTGACACTCACATCGGCCCCGCTGGTGATGTCGAAGTCGTATTGGTCGAGCCCCTCGACGGACTCGGAGAAGCTGACGGTGAGTGTGTTGGGAGTTTGGGAGTCGAAGATGGCCGAGGGGCCGCACTTGACGATCTTGCGGCCGCCCCACATCCGCGTGTTATTGAAATTGAACTCCTCGCTCTCTATCGGGCCCTGCACACACACGAGAGAGGGGCACTCACTCATTGGCACATCGAGGTCAAGGCGACGGAAGGAAAACTGACCTTGAGGTAGCATTTGTTTGATCCGTCGTATTCTGCGATAAAGACCATGCCGTGGCACTCGGGCATGGGCCGGCACTGCTCCCAGCACTCCTCCTTGGTGGTGGCGTTGTGCGGCGTGTCGTCGAAGCCCTCGATGGACGGGTTGATGTCCAGCATGCGCTGGAAGGCCGCACTCACACGGCAGCCGTCGGTCGGGGGATCCGCTGATCGACACGCACACGGGGGGGAAGAGATAACGAACGCTCGTCTCGTTGTATTCATCGTGTCCTGTTCTTACTTTCACAAGCTGGAATGGGGAGGGAGACGCACAGAGAGAGGAGAGGAGAGGAGAGGACAACAGCACAGCAGACAGCAAAATAGATGGGTGGATGGATGGATGATGCACACAAACAATGAATGTCCTCCCTCCTCTCTCTCTTTCTCATCTCACTGTATTCGACGGCGTCGTAGCACATGGTCTTGGCCACATGGCCCGTCCCGTCCCTCGCCTCGATCTCCACATCAACCGTGTGCCGCCCCACCTCACCGCACTCCACATGGCTGGGGTGCAGCAAAGCCGCGTGCACGCCAGTGCCCGCATCGTTGTACACGGTGATGGCGCCTGGGTCGATCTCCCGCCTCTCACCGAACGACAGCTCCTGCAGGTTGACATGCGAGCACTCAACGGCCGGGGGGGTGTTGTCCTGACACTCTGGTTAGTAAAAGAAACGGGGGGAGGACACACAATGAAAATCCACGGACGGGTTCATTGATTGATTGTGGTGCCTCCAATGTAAGTACTTACGAATGGTGCTGCTGCAGTTGGCGGCCTCGACAGCGACTTCGTTGCCATAGCCATCGGCCAGGGTGACCTGCACCCTCCGCAGCACCACATGGCCCCTGCCAATGTTGCGCCCGTCGCACCCGGCGGCCACGTGCCCCTCCCCCTCGTTGCCGCTGGTGAGGTTGAGTGGCACCAGGACGTCCCCAAAGGCGACGATGGCATCCATCCCTTTGATCGACGCACGGATCGGCACGTTGGACGCCTCGTCGGGGTCATCTGCATCGGCCGTTAAGGTGAAGGTGAAGGGCTCACTGACGATGGGGTGGTCCAGCCAGGGGGCGGAGTAGTTGTAGGTGAGGTTCAGCAGGGGCAGGATGGACACCGGGATGGGCGGCAGACCCGCCTCTAGCGGAGGGAAGGACGGGTGCTTCTGGCCCTCGTCGGAGCACGTCAGCAGCGCAGTCAGAGTGATGTTGAGATCTGCACACACAGCACGACAGACACAGAGACGAGCTCATCTATCCATCCATCACCGGACAGCAAGACTGACTAACTGACTGACCTTCGTGTCTGATGGTCTGTGTGGGCCCCACGACTCCATCCGTCTTCTCCTCAGCGTCGTCGCCGCACACCCTCTTGCCCGCCCAGAGACCGAAGCCTTGTTTTTCCTCCTCCCTCTCGATGCTGCCCTTGAGCCAGCAGCCCTGTACAATGACGGACCCGTCGCTGTAGACAATCCCCTGACACTCGGGCAGCGGCTCGCACAACGACCAGCACTCCTCCTTGCTCGACGCTGACAGGGTGGCGTCCGGCGAGATGTTCTTCTCAGTGTCCTCCGGTGAGAATATGTTCACGCCTGTTCGGCACACCACACAGACAGGGAGGCAGATCAGATGGGTGAGTGTGTTTCGGTCTGTCTGTCTGTCTTCCATTCCTTCAGTGAACTCACCTGAGTTGATGTCCTTGTCCATCTCCCAGACAAGGCCGCATTCTTGGCCCGCCGTGGCCAGCGGGAGCAACAGGGCCACAGCGCACACCTGCCGCCTGAGCCCCACCATCGTCTTTTTGGATGGCCACGCCTCAGTCAGTCACTCCGTCAATCAGACAGCGAGGGAGGGAGGGAAAAATTCCACAGATGCGGTCACTCACTCAGCGAGGCAACAGGCAGGCAGGCAGGCAGGCAGCATAGACAGACAGTCAGTCTTGAGAAAAATACAGAGTGATAGAGGGCAGCAGGCGAAGCAATAGAGAGAGCAGTGGAAAGGACAGACAGGCAGGCACTTGGACAGCCAGGCAGCACCGTGGAAAATCGTTGCCTCGATTGTCTGTGGTCTGGTGCGCTGTCTTGGACGCGCAGCGCGTCGCGCCAGGCTTTGACGCGCACCCTGTTCGCCGAGCCGTTTTAAGCTCGCAAATCACGCTCCCTGCAGCTGCTTCTCTCTCCCTCTGCGCGCTGGATGCGGCAGTAGGGGATTTCATTCACCACGCATTGCATTGATTGACTGGCTCACTCGGTCAGCCTGACGATGAAACTGCTTCTGTGCCTCGTTGGCGCCCTCCTGCTGGGCAGTGCCGTGTCCGCTGTTGCCTTCGTCACCGATGCGACGGTAGGGGAGTTCATTCACCACGCATTGATTGACTGACTGACTCTGTCAGCTTGCTCCCGTTCGCCTCCTCCGCCGTGTGTGTGTTTGCAGGCGCATGGCGCATCTGCGCATGCCTCGGCTGACGTCATCGATACAGATCTCAGTGGTGAGTGAGTACCCACGAGGGAAATCCATTCACTCTCAGTGAGCAGGACATTCCACGCAAGGTGTCGTGTGTCTGCTGCCTGCCTGTCTGTCTGCCTGCAGTTGCCGTTGATGAGACTGGAGCTGAAACTCGCAGACTGAGCACTGCGTGTGCCATTCCTGCATGTAAGTGCATTGGCGTTGCCAACTCCGCCGGGCAAGGTGACAGGTGTGGATACTAGCCGAAGGCTTTCATCCCCGAGACCCAGTATCAGCCATGGTGCTACGTCGACAGCAACTGCCCATACGGGCGCAACAGCGCCCTACTGCCCCAGTACTCCTGGCTGATGCCCTGCTGCCACGACAACGCCAAACGACCACCACCCGTCGGTCTCATTATGCTAGGCGCGTACTTTGGGCTCGGCTTTCTCTGCCTCGGCTGTGTGGGCATCGCCAGCTGGATCCAAAGACTTGCCAACGGCCGGCGGAGTCGCACCGGGCCGGCGCAGACCGAGACTCTCCCTGGCTCTGGCGAATGGCTCGGCACTTATGTGCCCTTCTCCACAAAGGGCGGTCCCTACGGCGAGACCAAGTCGCTCACGACCACCTACAAGCTGACTTTCGACTACGACGGCACCGTCACGGGGACTGGCACCGACGCGGACGGCACCTTCACAGTCAACGGCGTCTATAGCGCCAGGAGTGGCCGCGTGTCGTGGGGCGAGATGGGCACCGACAACCTCCGTGTGGACGTCACCGGCCGCTTCGACGCCAGCCGGCGGTCTATCAGCGGCCGATACCACGCCAACACCGGCGTGAGCAACGCCATCGCCATTCGCTTCATGGAGGCTGATGCATCCCTCGCCCCAACGACCAAGCCGCCGGCCGTCACCGTCATGACGCCCACGGCCCCCCCGGCGCCCACAACGGTGAATATGGTGCAGATGGAGCCGATTCCGGTGGACAGTGGGTCGGACACGACGGCGCCCTCGTCGTAAGCGGGGCCGGACGAGCCGGCTGTGTTGACCAACTTGGCGGCCTAGCTGTGGGGGAGTCGTGTCTGTCATGTGTATGTGTGTAGGACAGAGGGTGGTATGTGACAATGGCAGGGAGCGACGGAGGGGACGGCAGCATGGGATGTGATGTGATGGCTGTGGATGATGGGTGTGTGTGGGGGCGTGTACAGATAGGGGTGGGTGAGTGGCTGCACGTGTTTCGTTCGTCTCGGTGTCTGCCTGCGTGTGCGGCCTGCGGTTTGTGTGGTGTGTCTTCCTGCCCGCCCCTCTCCTCCCGAGTACGTGGTCTTCACACATACACACATACATACACAGAGACATTCGGCCTTCGTCGCCTTGTCGCTCATGCGCAGTTTGTGTCATTGATTTTTGTCGGCCAGTCGACCTGTGTGGTGTCGTCTTGTGTGATTGAGCCGGCAGAAAGGCTTGGAAGTCGCGCCTTTACGGCGTAGGGTGTAGGATATTCATTCGTGTGTGCGTGCGTGTGGATGTCTGCAAGCTCCACCAGTGGTAGTCTGTTTATTATCTCTGTACCACCGGTGCACAAGCTGCTTGCGGCCCCATGCAGCGTGTCAGCGCATTTGTCCTGTTTTGTCAGTTGGTGTGAGTCAGTTGGTGAGTTGTACAACTCTCAAACCCGACACCCACACCCACTTCCTTCGTTTCGTTTTTTCCCCTGCATTAATGTGTGTGGCTTTGGCGGGCGAGAAGGGGAAGGGGGGCGGGGCGGGTTTGGTGGACAAGGGGGAGAACACTTTGCAGCGAGTCGGCTGACGAATGATGCTAAGTACGGAGTTGTAGGCTTGGCACCTGGTCGAGTATGCATGTATTTCTCCCGTACGGTATTGGCGAATGGCGAGACACGCATTTTTTCAGACAGGCTTAGATGCAGTTCGTGTCGGTCCAGAGTCTGCATGTACGCATCCATTTCTCTACCTCTTTCTTCCTTTCTCCGTGACATAACAAGCGACACTTCAACGGATATAAAATGAAGGCAGCAATCATTTGATGAATTCCGTGCACACAAACCGCAGATAGAAAATATAGACAGAGATGCAGCCACCCATCCAGCCACCCATCTTTCTCTCATCAACTCACTCACTCACCCACTCGCTTGACCGATCATCAGCGCGCCTCCTCGTGCAGCCCCCCCAGCAGCAAGTCGCACATCGGCCGCAACTGGGTGCAGATGATCAGGTGGAGACAGATATATGTACATTACAACGTTAAATACTCCCTTACATGAAAGCCCTCCATCCATCCAGGCAGGCAGGCAGGCAGGCGACACACACTGAGGGCAGCGATTGTTACGTAGAGACAGACATATCTACATTACAACGTTAAGTACTCCCAGACACATACAGACACACACGCCAGACATACAATCAGCAGCCCAGACCACCACACCGGCAGACAGACACACATGCACCCACACCACCGCACTTGGCTCCCCCCCTCCCCACCACCACCACCACCACCACTAACACAACTGTCGGTAGCCTCCACCACCACCACTAACACAACTGTCGGGGGCCAGAGTGTTGCTGGTGTTGGTAGGTCTCGACATCCCTACCGCACAGCAGTCGTAGTGCCCTCATTGACAGACATCCCCTGCTCACGCGACACGGCGCCTCTTGCCGGGGCACTCCCTCCTTAGTTGAGCTGCCGTCCGGTGGCCGTTGGCATGCTCACCACAGGCGGCGCCTGCTGCTGCGCCTTTGCCGGTGCTGGTGCTGGTGCCGCCGCTGCTGCCACTGCTGGTGCCGGTGCTGCTGTTGGGCGGATGGTGGTGCCCGGGCGGCGCCGCTCTGGCGTCTTGTAGACCCAGAGATGGCGGGGCACTAGGCCGGTCGGCCTCAGTGCGGGCGGCTGGGGGGGCATCTTCTTTGGCTGCGGCAGCCCCTTGACAGGGCGCCAGCCCAACTTCGAACACTCCCGACGGACCTCCATGACCTTGGCGGCGACACGTGCGGCAGTGGGGATGTCGGCGGTGGGGCGGGTCTTCGACCGGTCGGGGGACACGATGCCCATCGTTGACCGGGGCAGCAGTCTTGTCCTTGACACCTTCTCGACCTCCTTCTGGGCCTTCAGCATGGCCCGCACGGCCTCGGCCAACGCCGCCTCCTCAGCCGCTGGGGTCATTGCCTTCTCGGCCGGCTTCGGGCGGGGGGCGAGACGAGTGCCCGGTGATGGGGTGCGGGGGGTGGCGCATACTCTGGAGTGGCGATCTGTATGTCGAGCTCTCGGGCGTCCTCAAACGCGGAGAAGTCTTCCATCGCCTCATGGAAGTCGGCGCTGTCGTCGGGTGGCATGTGGGGCCACCATATGACGAACACCCCGAGCACCACCACCAGCAGCGGCGAGGGAGCCACCCAGCAGCATGCCGCACCCACACACAACACCGCCAGCGCGACCAACACCATGATGAGCTCAGCCCCCTGCACACACACGGGCACACACACAGACAGACACACACACACACACACAGTGAGTGCATTCTCGTCCATGTCTCCGCCCCGCCTTTTTCTCTCCGCTCACCTTGAGCAGTGGTGTTGGTGAAGCTGGAGGCGGCGGGATGGTGATGGTGGCCTTCTTGCCCTTGGTGGCGGCCTTGTTTTTCTTGGTCAGCGGCGAGGGGCGGGTCATGAGCCGCCAAGCCGCTGACCAGAAGGCCGCCAGGTCACACCAGCAGCAGTCGATTGCGCCGTAGATGCGGGTCAGCCAGGCGAAGGCGGTGGCCGCTGCATGAGATACCCCATGGACGGCCCACACGATGACGGACATGATCCTGGCGGCGATGGTGACGGTGTATTCGTAGAATGGCGGAGACCAAATCGCCTCGCCCAATGACAGGAGGGTCACAAACCTACACACACGGGGAAAGAGACAAAGACAGATTGACAACAGCGGCCCCCTCCCTCCCTGCGTAGCTGGCTGACCCAATGGCAGTGGTGTAGGTGTGTCCCATGGCGAGGATCGGCGAGCCCTCTCACACAATCGAGCTTACTGCATACCTGCAGTACCACTGGAGCCTCTCGACCATTGATGGCGCCAAAGGCCATGGGAGCGAAATTTGATGAAGCACAGGACCGCGATACAAAATGTAAACAGCGATGTCTCTGCCAAACAAACAAACAAACAGACACATGAACGGACATTCAGTGTGATGTATCTGCGCACGTGCACGCGACGACTAGAGCTCTCCGTACCGGGCGATGCATTCTTCGAGGGATGATGTCCACAGAGCCTTGCAGATATAAAATGTAGACAGCCATCCGAGGAGGGCTCACCCCCCTTTGCCGCAAGCACCACACCAGGACACCTGGCCACACACACACACACACACACACAGACAGACAGACAGAGATACACGCCATGTCACGGGTCCCCTTTTCCCGCCCTGTCTCCACTCATCTTGTTAAGAAGAGACAGATATATGTACATTACGCCGTTAAGTACTCCCTTACATGAAAGCCCTCGATGCACCCGCACCACCGCACTTGCCCTCCTCCCCCCCACCACCACCAACACACAACTGTCGGTAGCCCATCCCCACCACAACTGTCGGTAGCACTATTCAGGCGGCACACCACTACTATCGGTAGCTCCAACACCGGCGGTATGCATGTAGGTAGCCATCCATCCATCCGTCCATCCATCCATCCATCATGCAGCCACCTTCCGCCGCTTGAAGTCCCCCCTCACGTCGCCCTCGCCCGCCTCGGCAGACACCTCCGCGATGCCGCGCGTCGGCCTGTTGGTGGCTGGTGCTGGTACTGGTGCTGCTGTCGGCGCGTCGCGCCCCGGCCTCTGGGGGGTGGTGAATACCCACTGGCTCTGGGGCACGAGGCGGGAGGCGGGCCCATCGGGCACGGCAGGGGGCCTGTGGGGCTCCTACACGTAGCGCGCCACCCTGTCCGGCCCGAGGGCGTTGATCCGCGGCTGCCAGCGGTGGTCTCGCACCAGCCTGGCTCTGGCGTTGGTGTGAGCCTGGGGCAGCGGTGGGGCAGCGCTTAGCAGGTCGGTGGGGATGGGGAGGAAAGTGTCGCTGATGCCCATCATTGACCGGGGCAGCAGTCTTGTCCTTGACACCTTCTCGACCTCCTTCTGGGCCTTCAGCATGGCCCGCACGGCCTCGGCCAACGCCGCCTCCTCAGCCGCTGGGGTCATGGCCTTCTCGGCCGGCTTCGGGCGGGGGGCAAGACGAGTGCCCGGCTGATGGGGTGCGGGGGGTGGCGCATACTCTGGCGTGGCGATCTGTATGTCGGGCTCCCGGGCGTCCTCAAACGTGGAGAAGTCTTCCATCGCCTCATGGAAGTCGGCGCTGTCGTCGGGTGGCATGTGGGGCCACCATATGACGAACACCCCGAGCACCACCAGCAGCAGCGGCGAGGGCGCCACCCAGCAGCACGCCGCACCGACACACAACACCACCAGCACGACCAACACCATGATGAGCTCAGCCCCTTGCACACACACGGGCACACACAGAGACAGACAGACACACACACACAGTGAGTGCATTCTCGTCCATGTCTCCGCCCCGCCTTTTCCTCTCCGCTCACCTTGAGCAGTGGTGTTGGTGAAGTTGGGGGCGGCGGGATGGTGATGGTGGCCTTCTTGCCCTTGGTGGCGGCCTTGTTTTTCTTGGTCAGCGGCGAGGGGCGGGTCATGAGCCGCCAAGCCGCTGACCACGTACACACATTGATGGACAGCCATGCAGGACGTCATGCAGGCGTCTGTGTGCGTGAGTGTCGCTGTGCGTACCTCGGTGATCTTGTCGGTGGCGGTGGTCTTGGGCGGCTGCTTGCTCTTGGCGGGCACACTATCCCACTTGCCCTGTGCACAGTTGCATTGTTGTTCTGTGGACAGTTGCATGTGTGTACACGTCTGTTGGTTTCGCGTGTGTCACTTTGGCATGTCCTGTCGGGCATACCTTGTTGGGGCCCGGCAGGAGGGGGAAGTCCTGTCAGACGAACACAGCCACAATTCATCAGATGTCCATTCGTCAAGTGTGTGTGTGTCGTGCTCACGTCGTCTTCCTTGGCGAACTGGAAACCCTGTGATCATAGCACACACACGCACACACACACGCATGGACAGGCATGCTGAAGGCTTCAGCCATCCATCCATCCATCCACACACAAACAAACAAACGGCAGAGGGCAGTGATTAAGTAGATTACGTCGGCGATGAATGCATCTGTGTCTCACACAATCGAGCTTACTGCCTACCGTCAGTAACATGTGCTGGAGCCAAATATAGGGCCGACAGCGATATAAAATGTAGATAGCGATGTCTCTGCCAAACAAACAGGCAAACAAACGGATGGGCGCATACCTATAGCTATGATGTATCTGTGTTTGTTTTGATTGAGACACCTCCTGCGTACCTGGCGTCGACACACACACAGAGAGCGATGAATTAGGAGGGAGGACTTCATGCTTTCCTTTTGATATCATGGGTCAAGATACATGCTTTTGCGGTGCTTATTTCTCACCCAGCAAGGCACCGAGGCAGAGGAACGTCCGGAGGTATAGGAGGTGCTCAAGGACGTCCACCGAGAACTCGTGGCTCCAGTACACGGCCGCGACCAGCACAAAAAGGGCCGTGCAGATTAGGAAGAGGCGGAGGCCGTGAGCTTCTGGTGACGCCCAGAATCTTGGAGGCCATCCAGAGAGCACTGTGTGACACACCACACACAGCCAATGAGCATTCACAGTGTCATCACGGAGGGGACCGTGTGATATATTCCTTCCGTACTCACCCGACGATGGCGCCCATAGTAGAACTGCCATCATGCACACGATCCACCCAAGGATGTCCTCGGGCATGTCGGTGTACATGATGGCAGTAATGTAGAGGGTTGCCACTGGCACGAAGAGGCTCGTGCAGCCCAGAAAGAGGCCGAGCGCCGTCAACCTCATGGTGCTGCGCACCTGCACGGACACCAAACGCATGACACGCCATCTGTCCCTTGGTGGCGGCGCGAATGAGGCGACTGGCCTACTCAGAAGCTCCGCTTTTGTCTGAAGACACAGCTCGTTTTCTGCGGAAGAAATCAGTGAGCGTTCTGAATTTCTGACACAGTGCACGTGAATACGCGCCTACCTTTATCGCCTTCCATACGCGTGCCTTCTCGTTGGTCAGGAGGCTGTCGTCGTTGGGAAAACTTCTCGGCCGGCTGCACTGAGCCACAATGAAGTAGATTAGTTGACCAAATACTCTGTTTTCTCGCTGTTTTCTCGGCGTTTTTCTCATCGGACCAAAGGATTGCGTTTCTGAAAAGCAGCAGATAGGAAATCCGACGCGACCGTGAACATGAGGCTGAGTGGGGCACTCACCCACCTCACCAACCTTCAGAGAAATGCGTCGAGAACATGAGACGGGAATGAGAAGAATAAACCACCACTTCATCTGCACGTACAAACACGGCAACAGGAGGCATCTGAGCACACCCATGGCATCGAAATGCACCGTGCATTCATCCCTACACATCATCCACACATCACACCATCACCGCACCTAAGAAACATGATGCACGAGGCCACACTCAAATGTACTCACCTGCTGGAGGGCGGATCATGCGAAAAGAAGGCGCGTGCGCACTCGGCAGGCGCCAAGGAGTCGCCAGCCGCTCCACAGAAGGCGGGCGCCACCAGGCGAGGCCTCGCCCGGGGCACGGCGGTGGAGAAAAGAAGTGGCGGATGAAATCCGGACAAGTTGGGAGGGGTAGAGGGAGATGCAGCGGACAACACAAGCCAACAACCAGCCGAAAAGAAAGAGAAACGGAGGATCTGTGGTCAAAACAAGGCTGGAAAGCCGAACGCGGAGAAAAATTGAAGAAACGGCTTTTAAAATCATTTTGTCTCCGTCTCAGCTCGCAAGAATCTCGCGAATTTGAAATTCGCTTCCTGCGGACAACGGGAGGCTTAGAGGCAGAGAGAGGGAGAGAGGATGGCTGCTGCCGTAGATGAGGTCAGATTGCACCGAATTGCGCCAAAAGTTGTGCCCCTTTCGGTGCAGAGGGCCTTCACTTGGTCTCTGGCGGGTGCTCAGTGAGGCTCAAACGCCTTGATCTGCCAGCCTTGTGGACCGAAACGGCTTGCATTCTTGTTGACCTTTGCAACGGATGATTTGATGCCATGGATTGACTGCATGAGTGTGTGCATGCTTGTGTGCATGGTGATTGAGTTCACCTTAATTATGTCCAGCTGATGCCGCCTATAGGCTCGGAATGACTGGCATACTTGAATCGGTGTCGGATGAACGAATCCAGCTCACATGACTGAATCACGCTTGTCTCGAATCCACATTGTATCAGAGCCATCCGTCAGGGGCGGAAAACTAGAATACAACAAAATTCAAAATCGCACCATATCATTGCAAAGAAATCCCTTACCACACGACACTCACCCGCACCACACAACCTACTAGGAAGGCATGCCACACCACTCCCCACACAACCTATTCACGCGTGGCAGGCACCCATATCCATCCCACACACAAGCCACAGACCAGACGCGCTTCCGCATGCGGCGCAACGCATACGAATGTCACAGGCCTGCCCCAGACCACACACAGGTGCAAGTGGACGACATGTTGGCGACGGGGAAGGGGAGGCCGAGAGTGACGGCAGTGGCCGTGCGGCAGTGGCCATAAGGCAGGCGTAGTCATTGAGGCACTTCCGATTGTCGCCCCTCGAATATAGCTAATAATGGCAGAGAGCCAGCCAAACGAGAGGAGTCCCTGGCAGGTAGAGAAGCGCCGACGCTTGCGGTCGCCGGCCGGGAACGACTCGAGCAGCACACTGAGGTCCTTCTTGGCAAGGGCCCCGAACAGCCGGTGCTGCAGCCGTACTTGTGAGAAGGCCGGCTGATGCAGCTCCGGCGAGCCAAGGCAGAGACAAGAGGGTGGCCTCTTCACTGCCACACAGTAACAGCCGCCAGCCTAGCTAGCTGGCTCACATAATAAGACACCGACTCTCGTCCTCTTCCTTGTCATCTTGCTTGTCACCTTGCTTGTTTGCCTGCTCCCCATCCTGCTCCTGAATCCCAGCAACGGCCGCCTGCGCACGTGCCTGCGCTCGCCTTCGAGGCTCTCGAGCCTCTCTGCCAGTGGTCACCACCACGGCTGCAGAGAGCCAGCAACCAGAGAGCAGACACGTCTTCACTCGTTGACGCCTCCTTACACGCAGTGCACGGCATGTGTGTGGCCAGTCAGTCAGGTACGTACCTGTGTCAGGACTCTGCGGTGCGCTGGTAGGTGTGGCCGCTGAATGAGAAGAAAGACGCACATGGACAGAGTGACAGACACCCAGAGCATCAGCATCCCTCTCTCTCTTCTTGTGTACTACCTTGCACGTCCCTGTAGAACACCATGGGTCTGAAGTAATCCATCCCCTCCTCCCTCCTGAAGAACTCGTTTGGTCTGATGTCGGGGTTGACGCGAGGGTGGCTCTCGAACTGGATCTCCGATGGATCGCCTTGGACTGAGGCAAACCAGACTATCAGCGCCTCCTGCAGTTCCCTCATCGTCTCAGGATCATCCATGTGGGAAGTCACCTCTTCCTCCTCCGTGAAGCGGTAATACCGTCTTCTGTCAGGATTCTGCGGTGTGGTGATAGGCCGACCCACTGAATGAGAAAAACTTGTCCGGTCTGTCGTGAGGTTTGGGGGGAGGGTGGCCTTTGAACTGGATCTGCCATGGATGAGCGTCTGGAACTGAGGAAAACCAGATCAGCAGCTTCCCTTGGAGTTCCGCCATCGTGTTGGGGTCATTAAAGACGCACACCAGCGCTGGCTTGGACAAATAGTAATTCCGTTCTACGCTCATCACGACGTGCGTCCCTCTTCGGTGTCGTCAACGAACGAGGGAAAAGATCGGAGGCGAAGCTCGCCTAGGGTGTCACGTGAAACCGATGTTGCTGAAGGTCAGCCTCATCTTGACGCGTGCGCCTTCTTCTTGCGCCCTTCGTGCATTTGGAGGCGACTCACACGACAATCATCAAGAGATCTCCCCAATAACCGACCAATGTTCCGTCGCTTGCGTCGCCTCGTCGATTACGGTGTGTATCTCGTGACTGACGATGCATTCGTCACCGGCGGCTCATCAATCGAGCGACGCATCACCGAGGCCATCCGCGGTGGTGTCACGTGCGTCCAGCTGCGGCTCAAGAAGGCCTCTGATCACGAGTTTCTCGACCTCGGCAGGAGGCTCAAACCCATCCTGCAGCGATACGGCGTGCCTCTGATCGTCAACAACCGTGCAGACATCGCCGTGGCCCTCGATGCAGATGGCGTACACGTGGGCCAGGACGACATGCCGCCTAGCGCCGTGCGGTCAATCATCGGCCCAGAGAGGATACTGGGTGTCACTGTGGACGTGAAGCGGCCCGAGAGCGTGTGGGAGGCGCTGAAGGAGGATGCGAGGGCGGACTATGTGGCGCCAAACGCCATTTTTGCGACGAGCACCAAGCAGGTGCAGCCGATAGGGCCGGAGGGGCTGGCCGCCGTGGAGCGCCATGTGGCTGCCGCGGCTGCCGACTTGCGGCTGCCATCCGTGCCACCACTGCTGGCTATAGGTAGGCCGGGGCACAGCTGTGGACGGTGGTGGGTGGGTGGATGCATCCTGCTGTTGCTGTTCGTTGTCTGTTTGTCAGGTGGCATCGTTCCTGCCAATGTTCCAACGGTCTATTCCAAGGCCAAACCAAATGGCGTGTGCGCCGTGTCAGGTGAGAACAGCTGACAGACTCACCGAGTTACGCAGAAGGAGAGCGAGTGGGACATGTCGGTGGCCTTTATGCGTGTCAGGTCTGCTGGGCGAGGACGTTTCCAACGTCCGTGAAGTCGCCGAGGCGTATCGATTGGCCGTTGACACGTGCAGACACGGCAAGGTGAGGTATGGATCGTGCCTCTCCGTCTGTGTGCGGGCATGTCAGTCATGTCTGTCTGCCTGTGGCTGCAGAGCGTGGCAGCGCTTTATGCGGGTGTCCATCGCCTGCTGGACCACCTGCGCCACTCAGCTGAGTGCGGTCCGTTCCTGGTGCACCATCTGACCAACGATGTGGTGACCACCCAGACGGCCAACGCCACGCTCTTCGTCGGCGCGTCGCCGATCATGTCACTCGAAAGTGAGGAGACCGAGCAGCTGGGGGCCTTCTCGTCCGCTGTGGTGCTGAACGGCGGCACACTGGACCATCAATGGAGAGGTGAGGAGCGGTAGGCCTGAGGAGGCCATGCCATGGCCATGTGGTGCGTGTTTGTGTTTGTGAGTGACAGAAGCGGCCAGGATTGCGCTGAGGACGGCGCGAGAAAAGACCGGCTCGCCCGTTGTGCTCGACCCTGTTGGGTGCGGCGCCACCACCATACGTACAGACACATTCAAGGTGGGTCAATGACGATCACACACGGAGGCGGACACCCTGCATAATGTGCAGCCGTCCTGTCCCTCTCTCTGTTCAGGCTCTCTTGGAGGATGGCGGGGTCCGCATTGTCAAGGGCAACGGCGGTGAGATGACAGCCCTCGCCAAGGCCCTCAATGCGATGCCCAAACTGGACGCCCAGGGCGGCGCGCAAGTGAGGGGCGTTGACTCAATAGGTACGACCGGACCTGGTCTTCAGGACAGACACATGGTGCGTGTGTTTGTGCAGGAGATGTTGACGACCCGCTGTCCATTTTGAGGGGCCTCACTGGCGCCAGTGGAGCTGTCGCGTGCATGTCGGGCAAGAGGGACGTCATTGTGGGCGACCCCAAACTCAGCGCAGAGGTGAGAGGGGATGGAGGGATCGACTGGCTTTCTATTCCATACCTGTGTGGTCATTCATGTGCGCTCTATGGCTGGTTGGTTGGTTCCATTCATATTCATTCAGCTGAGTTACAGCGATCCGTTCGTGGGCAACATGACCGGGTCGGGGTGTCTCGTGGCCACGCTGCAGGCATCCTTTGCTGCGGCCGAGAAGTCATGCCCAGAGGAGACCTTCCCGCAGTACTTCACTTCAGCCGTGGCGGGTAGCTCACTCAGTCACTTGTTCACACACGTGCACTGCACCTATGCTCGTGTTCCTGTTGTGTTGCTGACTGCAGGTTTAGCGTACATGAGCGCAGCTGCCCGGCTGGCTCATCTGCGGCTGCACGAGCTCGAGGGCGATAGCCAGCACGCCCGTCTGCTGTCTGCTGGGTCGGGCCCTGCCTACACCTACCGAAACCATCTCTTCGACGGCTTCGCCACGCTCACCCCGGCCCTCCTGCGATCATTGTTCCCGCCACTGACCCTCACGGACGAGAGATGATATTTATGGCTATCTGGCTGGAGAGACACGTGTGTCGGTGTATTCATTGATGTGTCGGTGTGATGCCTCCGTGTGTCATGTTCGCCTAGTTCTGAGCGAACAAGGCAGTAGGACATTCATTCTCCTCGACATACTGTGCTAAGGGCGGTGCGTTTCGTGAGACCATGGAAGATCATCCATGCAGAGACCTTTATCCGACTGTCGATCGTACTGCACTGCACGCACAAGTGAATGGGACAAACACGAATGCCTTACACCCCCTCCCTTGGCCCATCTCACTCATGCGGCCTCGCTCGTCACAAGATTCCACCTAGCAGGGTGCCAGGCCTTTTCCTCATCTGTCACCGGCCCTCGCCCCGCTGCCGGCCCCTTATGCAGTACTGTTCTCTTCGGCGGCTTATAGAGGTCAAAGTCTCGGTCAGCAACAGCAGCAAGTGATGTCCCCGTCATGAAATGCTGCTCTTCCTCGCCTCTTGCGTGCGGCGGCCGCGACAGCACGATGTCGTACACGTCAGGATCAAGAAATGGCGAAGGCATTCGTGGAAGCGTCTCCCACGGGTGAGGGGAGTCTTTCTTGGACCGGCGAAGGGTCCGGTCGAAGCCGCCCGGGTCCTCGAAAGGCTGCATGCCACAAAATATCCAGCATACAAGAGACAATCGATACATCTGTGTGTGGCTGTCCAGCAGCAAAATACCTCCTTGGCCAAGATGGATGGCTCTTCCCGGTCTGGCATCTCGAGCGGGGCGTGCATACCAGTGACGCCAAACCTCTTCTCCAACGCACGTGGCGGTCGCCGCAGGTCAAAACGCAGCCCCGTCTTCTCGGGAGGCCCCTTCCGCGCCCCCTCAAATCGATCCGCAGCACTCGGCAACTGCTGACGCAGCAACATCCGCATGGGAGGGCGCGGCTCCTGCTGCTCGTCACCCTTCTTGACCGCCGGCTGGACGCCGCGAAGCGAGTCGACTGGGTGGTGCACTGACCTGAAGAGGGATGTAGGACCGAAAAGGTGACCCTCGTCCCACATGATGGTCGACGGGCCGAAGGGCTGGTGCGGAGGGATGCTCTCTGTGGTATTGACCGAGAACGGGGCACCGCGCTGCTGGGAGGGCGGCTGCAGCTCGGCGCGCCACTCGTTCTCTTCCCAAGATGTGGATAGCTCGTGGCTGGCAAGAGACACAGCGAATGGTACAGCGGCTTGTTGACTGGGCGTGAGCGCAATGGTGCGCGTACCGTCTTGCATCGCTGATGTCTCTGGGCGGCTGTCTAAAGGCCTGCGGCGGTCTTGCTTTCGGGAAGCGCCATGCCAGCTTGTGGGGGACCTTGCCTGATGAACGTGACGTGAGCGACAGATGGCAATCGTACGTGCAGATGGCGTGGCTGGCTCACCTGGAACGTCGTCTCGAAAGGTCAACCCCTTCCAGTCGACCATGCCAAAGCTCTGTGTGTTGTACTCGGGAGAATATGTCCACAAAGTCTCCTGCAGTGAGAGACACGACAAGGACTAGCGACAGGAAGGCTCGCCAATTCAAGCTCCTTCTCACCTTGTCCTTCTTCTGAAATCGTTTCCTGAGCGCGTCTCTCTGCAGCTCGCCGCTATTGAGCTTCTGGCTGCTATACAAGAACACCTCCCGGCCCTCGAGGAAGGACAGATCAGGCTCTTCCTTCGCCGGCCACCTCGCCGCGTTAGCACTCGACATTTCAGCAACGTCTTGGCGGTGCCGCTCGATCACATCGGCGGGAACTTCGGCCTTCCGCCTCTCGAGGTGGGCTTCGTACGTAGGATTGTGCGACTCTGTGGGTGCCTTCCACCGAATCTTGTGCTTGACGGTGAGTGTTTCCGCCTCGCCACCCTCTTGGTCGGCATCGCTGTCCATTTCCTCCTCCCTCGGCGATCGGCTGACGACCGATTTCCTTGGAGACCGGCGGGATATCTCTGACATTGGCCCTCCGCCTCCGTACACAGTGCTGTGCGGCGAGCGCGGGGACTGCATGTAGGCTGTGGCGGCTCCGCCGTGGACGCTCTGCGTCTCGGGCTCGTCATACCCACCCTGAACCGACAAGGACAAGGAGAGCTGGTTACCTTCTGATGATGAATGGCGTGCACGAATTGTTCTTCTCACCTGCAGCTCGTTGTCAGAGACGAAGTCACCGTAGTTGGACTGGACAAGCAGAAGCGCATCCACGGATGGGAAGAGATGGTTTTGTTTCGCTGCGTGGATGCGGTCACACCTGCGGTACTCAAACATATCCATTGTCACCCGAGTCCATTCCACCTTCTCTCCCTCCTCTTTTCACCTTTTGAGGTCGCAGAGAGCCTGCAGTGTCTCGAAGATAGTTTCGGCTTCTGCAGTCTTCCTATCGTATATCTGAGGCTTCCGCATCAGCCTCTCCAGTGTGCCACGGATCTTGAGGTGCTTCAGCTGAAGATCGAACGCGGCATAGCGGCGCGACGAGAAGCCTATCTGAACAAGACAATCGGTAGAGGATGGGCGCATTGGGTGCATGCTGTGAAATGGGTACCTCAGAGTTGTAGAGGACGGTGTATTTCTGTCGATTCGGTCTGTCTCGTGGCAGCTCTTCCGTCATGAGGCGGTACAGGGCTTTACTCCGGAGCCCTTCGAGCACCACAAGGCGGGTGCTGAACGATGGTGAAAGAGCATGGCGCTGTCTTTCGTCGGCATGAGCAGCAGTGCCTTACCTTCGATCCAGCAGCACAAAGCCTGTGATGATGTCGAGGTCAGGGCTACTCCTCTCCTCTTCAGTGAGCTGACGGACCGCCAGAGCCCTTGATGGTCCTTCGGATAGCCCCATAGCCACAGCGTTTTGAGCGGCGACGAACCTGCAGATGAGGAATGAGAAATGCACAGAGTTCTGCGATTTGCCTGTAGCCTAGCCCACCCCAGTATCTTGCGCATAATGGTGGTCTTGCGCCCGTCGAGGATGAAGACAGCCTGATACAAGCACGCGTCACATAAGCTGATTGCCCATGCCCCCTGCATGCGTGCACTCTGACCCTGTTGAATCGTTCAAATGCAGCCTCGAGCTTTGGTGCCGCTCGAATGGTCGCGTTGAGCAAAGGTGGCAAAGGTGGCTCCTCAGCCTTGATCTCCACCTGTTTCTCTTCTCCCTCTTCGTCGCCTTCCTCCTCTTCTTCCTCCTCCTCGTCTCCTTCTTGTCCCTCCTCACCCCGTGTCTCCTCATCCGCTGTGGTCTCTCGAGCATCCAACTGACCACAAGACGAATCGACACATATCTGTGGGCTGCCCAGCAGCAAGATACCTGTAGAGCAGTCTTGAGTGGATGCATCAGCTGGATGGAAAGAGTCAGGAAGCTCCCGTTCTGCAGATACGGCGGGGCGAATTCCCGTTCTCTGGCGGCACCAGCCACTTGCTTCAGTGTCTTGGATGGGTCATGAAGGAGAAAAGGCGTCGCCATCCCTTGAAAAATCCCCTTCTGCGCGCGCTGCTTCGCATTGCCCCTGAAAGAAGCCAGAAATGTAGAGTTGCGGAATCGAGAACGTGAAGGCAAAAGGAATGGACCACCTGTGGGGCACGATGTCAGCTCTCAGTTTGACCTGCGTGACCTTTGGGTTGAGCACCGGACGCAGCGACACACAAGCCAGCCCATGAGACGATATCTGGAGACACAAATGACGGCCCAGCATCGCATTGAAACAATGGCTACTCCTGCCTGTCCCACCTTTGGCAGCTCATTTGTGGCTGGCTGTGTCTCCTTCTTGGTCTCCTGCTGGACGGGGGGTGGCGGTTCGTGATTCTTGTCCTTGCCCTTCTTGGCCTTTTTGTCTGGTGGAGGGGGCGGGGCTGCCTTCCCTTTCGCCTTGCCCTTCTCGACTACTGGCGGGGGCGGAGCCTCTTCCTCCGCCTCATCTGTCAATGCATAATGGACAAAAGTCTGCCCGTGTCTCTAAGTGTTTGCTGCACCTGCTTCCTCATCCACGGGTGGCGGCGGGGGCACAGGCGTCCGGTCATATATCTCCACTCGCATTGTTCTCATCGCCAGCTCTTCTCTCAGGCGATGCTGGTCAATCCTCTCGGGCCCCCAGAACATAATCGCGCCGTGCTCCCACACGACCGAGCCGCTGGGCACCGGCAAGTGCGAGCGGGGTGAGCCTTTTGGCGGTGACGGTCGGTTGATGGGGAAGTGGAGGGTGGGCTGACCCGTCTTGAAAAGGGGGTCCGTGAAGCGGCCGCCCTCTGTGCGAAGTCGTGTCTCAGGGAAACCCATCGGACTACATGCAACAGAGACAGTGCCTCGAGTACGTGCAGCCAGATGCCTTCTTACGGATCGGTGACGACTGCGTGTGGAGGCTGCCACAGGTCAAGAGAATGCGGCACAGCTCCGTTGGCTTGCTGCTGTAAGAGGGGCAGGTCTTGCTTTGCTGAGGGGAGGGGCAGGTGATGTGCCGTGTGGATGGTGATGAGCACTGGGTTGAGCCGCTCGTGGAGTTCGGGAGGGAGGACGGGGCCGTCGAAGGGGTGCTCAATACAAATTCCATACTCGATGTCTACCAGACCTGCATTGCATTCACACACACACAAAGCGAACAAGTGCTGACCGACAAAGCTGTCTGTGCATCGTCAATCACCCTGCACTTGTTCGGTCAGATACGTCTTCTGCGCTGGCCTGCTCCTCACTGCACCCTTCCTCTCGCCCAGTGGCATGTCCCCCTTCTCTTGCTCTTCACCCTGGTCCTCGTCCTTCCCTTCATCTGGCGCCGACCCCTTGGCCAGCAACAGCGGCCCCGCAAACACCTTCATGCCTTCATCAATCACCCTCTCCCCTCCCTCCTCGCTCAACACCAGCTGAAAGCCCAAGAATGCCTCTGCAAGCTCCGCGGCTTTGCCCTCGTCCACCACCATCGCGGGCAGCGCTTTTTTGAATTCGCATGTGATGGACGCTGCTGCTGGCTCGGCGCCTTCGGCCTCCTCATGGGTTTCGTCGGCATCCTCTTGAGAAGGCTGGACGGCCTCGAATGAGCTGAGCGCCCCGCACTCGTGTGAGTCGTTGAGGAAGGCCAGACGGCACTTTGCAGCAGCTGCTGGCGACTCCTCAATGAATGTGGCCCTGCGGAAAGAAAGAGCAGACGAGAGCGCCTCATTTAGCCATCCATCTCCGCCCAATGGCATCGCCTTTCGTGTGAGGCGGACCTGATGAAGAGCGCCAGAGTGACGCCGTCCTTAGGCTTGTCACCACCATCGGGAGCAGCAGCCGCTTTCTTGGGTGCCATTGTTCCTTTCGAGGCGCAACTGGCCGTTTCAACTTGGCCCCCACGAGGCCCCCGTCTCGACGCGAACTTGCATGTGATTCGTGTTCTTTCGTCCATCAATCCCACGCATCAATCGATCAGTGTTTTCGTCTGAAGCGTCTTGCTCTCGGCACTCAAAGCTCACCCACAGCCACTGCAGGGAGCGGTGCAAATGACAAACGAAAAGAGCGAGGTCAAAAATCACAATGGCATAGAACAGGTCACAACACACACCGCTCGACACACACACCCGGACACACACAAACCAACACGCACATAGGGGATAAGGATAAAGTCACCACACACGAAGACAGAGACACACAGTAGAATTATTGCATTCAAAAACCGACATAAGAGCTGCACACAGGCAGACAAGAGCTGTGACGCAAACAGCTCTTACATCGCAGCTCTCTTCTTGAAATGTAAAGTACAGCCCACACACAGACAGAGACAGACAGACAGACAGGCATACTCACTCACTCAGCTCAGCAGCTAGAGCTACGGTGCCATCAGACCTTGGGCCACCTTGTGCAGCGCTTCAATAGGACCTGCAGACTGCTCCAGACGCGCGATGCGACCCAATATGGCTTCATTAGCCTTCTTCAATTCCTCAATCGTGTCGTTCATATCAGCAATCGTCTTGGCCATCCCTTCATTGGTTTTGGCCGTCGCTTCCTTCTCGTTGATAATGTCCTGAGTGACGGCAAATTGTGTGTAGAGCAGTTGTGTCAGGTCGATGGTCATCTCCTCTGCCTCCTGCTCATCATCGGCCCCGTCATCATGCACGGGGACTGCGAACGTCTTCACTGCCGACGGGAAGATCTTCTTCACTTCACCGGCGGCCAGAGAGAGGCGAGTGTCGCCATCGGTCCGCACACGAAGCTGCCTGAAGGCCTCATATGCCACTGACCGATTGTTATCTGCCCATTCGGCCATGGACGCCGGCCTTTGCTTGCTGCCATCGCTGTCTAACACCTCGAACGCGCCTGCCACCGACCGACCGAGGAAGACGCCATTTTGTCCGAAGACACCATCGCGTGCACGAACACGACCACCCGCCAACACGTGGCGATCCGCCTCAACATTAAGTGCTGCTTGCACGTCGCCATCGTGCAAAGTCCACTCGTTAGGTCTTTGTCCATTTCTTGAAGCAATTACGCCTAGAGACACATATGCAGACAGAAGTGTTATGCAGGAAGCAGTGTACCGGCACACGTAATCTGTGTGACTCGCTTACCCCCGTCTCGCGCCAAGATGTTGTCACCCGACACCGTGCAGCTCGGCTGATTACACGTGATGCGTACTCCTGCATTGATGATGCGGGGGCCCCGGATGTTGCCCTCGATAACCGCGTCATTTTCAACATACAAGTTGCCCTGAAATCCCGGCCCCGTGTTGAACTGGTCAGAGGTCCCCGGAAATCCCACAGTAATCTCTGCAGTCAGATCGACGCAACAGGCAGCATGTCATTATACGGTATTGTTGCTTACTTCTGGTGCCCTTGATTTCGGTGCCGCGGAGTTCGGTGCCACGAATGCGGGTGCCGACAATGTTGCCATCGACCACGGCTTGCCCCTCAACAAACAAAGAATTCGCCGCGACGATGTCCCCCGTCCCACCATTGAAATTAGGGACGCCCGCAACGATCTCTGAAGCACCGCAAACAGCAGATGAATTCGATCACTCCATCAAAGTCAGCGCGTGACTTCACAAACAGTGATTCTTACTGCTGCCCCGGACTTCATTTTCTGCGACGACATTGCCATTCTCCTCATCCAGGTCATCGTCTACCGGGGGGTCGCCCGCGATGATCCTTTTACAGTCGTCCGGCTTTTCGGGGTCGCAGCCACTCTGCGCGGGGACTGCGAGGAGGGCGAGGCACACAGCAGCAAGAAAGACGAGGCGCAGGGAGGCCATATTCGAAGGATACGCAAGTGTGTTGTACCGGAGTCGTAAATTTGCCGTTAACGCCAACTGACAGCAACAATGATGTCTGGGCGAGGACGTCAGTGCGTCGCTTGCAGAAGTCTACGAAACCAAGGCAACACACGAATAGGAGGAAGTCAAAAATCACAACGCTCGACACACACACCCATCCACATATGGCCCATTGATACCTTGGCCTCGTCTTGAAAACATGCAAGTGCTCCACGCATCTTCAGCGTGTCGGCTGGCCGGCTGGCTGGCTGGCTGTGTGTGTCAAAAATACATGGAACAAACTGTCAGTGAGGCTCGGCGCCTTATGACGCCTAGCGGAAAACATAGCACAGCGCCCTGATCGGCAGCCAGCCCTTCCTGTCACCGCGTCGAGGCCAATCAGTCAGTCAGTCAAAACTGCCGGTCGGCAATGCGGGATCGTACGGACTCATCCATCCATGCAATGAATGCAGTCTGGCCTAGCAGCTGTACATCTCTACAGCATCACTCATTCATTCAGAGGGAAGAGGTCATGAGGCGGGATCGTGCTCAAGAGGAGGGAGGAGTCAGAAGAGAGAACAGAGAAGAGAAAGAGAACAACAGAGGGGTGTCATGCTGGTATGGCCTTCTTGATCTCGTCGTAAAGGACAAGGACGATCGCCCCGCCGACCCCACGCATCACGTTGGACCAGCAGCCCTTGAAGAACGCTGCAGCGCCCTCCTCCGTCTGAACACAAACACACACACACACACACAGTCAGGTAGGCATCTTGGCATCTTGGTTTGTCCCTCTCTCTCTCTCTCTTACGAGTATCCTCCTGGCGCAGTCCATGGTCGACGAGTACAGCACATCGGCCCTCCCGGCCTGCATCATCAGCCGCCGCCTGACCGTGTCGAAGGGGTATGCGACGACGCCCGCGGCGGTCTCGACGGCCAGGCCGAGTGTGAATGAGACGAGTGGGTTGCTCTTCTTGGGGTCGCGGTAGAGCATGGCCTTGGCGGTGTCGTAGAGGCCGAAGAAGGCGGCGCGATACACGATGATACCCGCCACGGACACGCCAAACCCGTAGTACAGACCTCTCACGCCGTCCTGCATAAAGACAGACAAGAGGCAACAGGGCATGAGTGTTTGCAAGAGTGACTCTCTCCTTTGCTCTGTGTGGTGTGGTCAGTGTGATTGTGTGCCTGTTTGAATATCTTGCCGCAGCAGTCGACGAGGCCCGTGAAGTGCCTCTCCTGCGCCGCCTTGCCCACATCGGCACCCAGCCGCGTCCGTGCGAAGTCCAGCGGGTACACAAACAACAGGGATGTCGCACCTGCAGCCATAAAATGACACACATACACACGACACTTGTGTTTGTTTCTGTCTGCCTGAGTGACTGACCTGCGGCCCCGCCTGATGCGAGGTTGCCCATGAAGAATTTCCAGAAGTCTGTCTTGGGATCGTGCCGCACAAAGAACTTCTGGTACTTCTCCTTGAAGGCGAAGTTCAACGCCTGAGTGGGGAAGTAACGCAGCACATTCGCCCAGTTGCCTGCACACACACACACACACACGCACACACACACACGCACACACACACACGCACACAAACAGCGCCAAAGAGGGGATACATGGCTGTCCGGGCTTGTGATTGTGTTGACGTTGGGGGCTGTGTGTGGTGGGTCCCCCACTCACTTACCCCTCCAGTATGAGACGACGCCCTGCTCGTGGTAGACCCGCACAAAGCAGTCCACGAAGCCCTTGTACTTCTTCGTCCCGCCATCGCCGATCTGAGTCGACGCATCCTACGCAACACACCCACACCCACACCCACAACACACAACACACAAAAGTGATAACACATGGATCTGCCTGCTTGTGTGACCGTGATGAACAGATCTGGTTCACCTGCACTTGCAGCAGCAGCTTGACCCTCTCCAAAGGCGCCACCACGGTCTTGCTCACGCCGCCGCTCACACCGCCAGCAAGGAAATTGATGAGGAAAGTCGCGTTGCCTGACTTGCCGTCCTTCTGAGCAGCCGCCATCTCAGGTCAGCGCCTTTCTTCACTGCAGATCTGCCACAACACCGAAGCTCGCAGAGTAAGGGTCTGCGTGCTCCCTGAAACCTGCCGGAGAAAGAAACGCAGGGGGAGAGAAGGATCTCTCGAGATAACGCTGTCTTGGAACATCGGCTGGTACGGCAGCATTCCGAAGATCAGTGCTGCGAAGAAACAGTCTTTGTGAAAGCGCCAGCACTGATCAATCAGCTGGTGGTGAGTTATGGCAACGTGGTGGCAGCACGTGTGGCAGCACGTGTGGCAGCACATCTGGCAGTGGAACTGCGGGAGGCGGCGAGAGCGACGCAGCCAGCAGCGGCCGCTGCTAGGCCAGATGAACCTGCAGCCCATCCCGCTGCGGCTGGACTACGCCGTGTCTGTGCTGCACTCAAACCCATGGTCTTATGTCGGTACGTGGGCGTGTCGGCAGGGCAGACATATGACGCGACTGAGGAAGATCTCTCGGGTGTGTGTATCCCTTCTCTGTTGTTCGTTTAGGTATCACGTTGGTGTGGAGTTACGTGTTGATTCATCTGCTGTATGTGGGCGTCTGCCAATCGAAGCAGGGCCCTGCCATCTGTTCGCAAGCTGTCCAGAGGGCCAGAGCCATGCAGGTCGGTGGGTCGGTGACGTCCGGACACACAGGGACAGACCAGCAGCCACGGCCATCTTGTATCGCTTCTTTCCTTCAGGTGCCCGTGGTTAACGACCGGCTCGAGGAGGTCCTCGCTGGACTCCTTGACCTCTTCCTGTGAGCACCATTGGAAGGAAACGATGCGCCTCTTGTTGCTTCATGTGTGGGGACGATTTGACCGTTTCTCCCTCCCTGTCTGTGTATCAATCAGTTTCGGGGTCGGCACCATGTGGGCGGGCTACATGTCGTCCAACATCAGCGACTTCCTCATCGGAGCGGTGCAGCTGGCCATTCCTGTGCTGGGCTGGGTTTGGAGCTTTATCTGGGGTGTGATGATGATCTACCAGGCGTGTGTGCTGCCTGAATTTCCCGATGAGAGGAGAGAGATCATGGCGGCGGGGGCGGGGTAGGGGGAGGGGATGGGTCATGACGTGGCTGAGGTTGATCGGCCAGAGAGGGTGGACGTACGTACGTTCGTTCGTCTCGGTTTTTTGAGGTTGTACAGTGAAGGAGTGGTATAGTTAGTGCATTTAGCGAGAGAGAAGGCGGCGATGATGCGATCGATGCTGCCTTGTGTTTTTTCCAAGTGCCTGAATGCCTGCCTGTATGGCCGTCTGTCTGTGCGGCTGTGCCCTTCAGCCGGTGGCGTGATCGTCACGATTGGAACAGTCGTTCTTGTTTCGGTTGAGGCGGTCACTCTGGTGGGCTGAAGGGCACATCCGTCCGGGTGGATAGGATGATCGAACGCAATAATGTGGGTAAGATACACTTCCGGTGCGTGGTTCTGTCCGCGGTGCGGTGGCACTGTCCTTTGTGTTGGGGGTGGTAGGCAATGGGTCACTCGCAAGAGAGGGACTCGGCGTCTATGATCACCAGCATTAAGGAAAGGCCACCGGTGCGACGAAGCTGACTGATCCTTCTGGCTGCATTTGGCTGAGACGACACACTGCGTGCGTGCGTGAATTGTCTGTTCCATTCATCTCTCTAGATGTACTTGATAGCAACTCAAGCGCCGGTCCATAGGCAGATGTCTGTCAGTATCGACGCACACACAGACGTCCAGCGCACCAACATGCAATGGATGGCGTGTGTGCATATGAAGGGTGCCCCTCACAAACAAAGCGCAGACAGACAGATAAGATAAAGCACTAACATTTCTCCTCATCTGTCTGTCTGTCTGTCTGATTGCTTGTGTGTCTGGCTGTGGCTGTGTTGTACCGGCCTTGGAGAACAGACCATTCCCACTGATCCTGAAGGTACTGACTGACTGCATCGGACAAACAACAACTGCATACGGATGAAACCAATCCCTCACACCATCGCTTCTTCTCTGCTGATACATACAGCCGTCCGTCCAACTAATAAACACACAGACGTGTTGATGTGTACGTGTGAGAGAGAGAGAGAGAGCCAAGCAACGGACACCCTCCCCCCCACACACACCAGCTTCAGCTTCATCAGCCAAAACACACCACAAAAAACAAGGCGGGCAGCAAGGCAGATGTGGAGAGGTGGAGAGGTGAGTACTCAATGTCGCTCTCTCGCTCTCGTGGAAGTATGTGTGTGTGTGTGTACGTGACGATATCGCATGCAGATATGCATTCGTTCTGTCCATCCATCCATCGATCCATCCATCAGAGCAGCATCATTATACCTCTCTACCTCCCCGCTGACACACACACACACACACATACGTAATCCCTACCTACGGCTATCAAAACTGTCACCGTCTCAATTCTGCTTCTCTCGGGAGAGGCAGGCAGCACACCGCCCAATTCTGCCCTCCCTCCCTCCCTCCCTCCATCCATCCATCCAGGCAGGCAGGCAGGCAGACGCATGACGCACACGTCAACACATACAAAAAACAAATTAAGCGCTCGTTATGTGTGTCCATGCAGGAGCTTCAGCAGCTCGCCCCGCCCCGCCCATACCCCACCCCATCCCATCACACCACACCCATCTTTTCGTTTCTATCTGTTTGTCTGTTCATTCCCCCTACTTATTCTCTCTCTATGTGCTAGGCAGGCTAGCAGACATGGCTGGCATTCAAGGAGGGAGGGAGGAATGAGTGAACGAGTGAATGAGCGAATGGCACCATACCATCCCAGCTACGGTGGCAAACAACAACATACTCACCACATGACATGACTGGCAGACAGGCAGGCAGACAGACAGGCAGGCAGAAAAACGCCAAGCCAATCGCTACGCCGATTGATGCGTGAGTAACATAACAGAGTGCATACCATACATGGCTGGCTGGCTGGCTGGCTACCTTGCTGCCTCTCCTCTAGAGACACACACAGACAGAGGCAGGCAGGCAGGCAGGCAGGCAAAGAGGAGAGCAACCCATATGTATTGGCCTGGCCAGCCAGCCAGTCAGTCAGTCGGGCTGCGCCGCATGCGGCGCAAAAAGGGCCGTTTCTTAATCAATCACACTCCCATCCATCCATCCATAATCGTTGAGGACTCTCACACACTGGCCGCTTCCTGCACACACACAGACCGACCAACAACACCAGCAAACGGCGCATGAGAGGCGGGCGACTGACGGTGAGGCAGACATAAAGGCAGCTTAGCTTGCTGACCTCTTCCACGATCCCCGCGGGCACCTGGACGTTCTGGATGGCGCCGAATGACAGAGGGTTTGGCTTGACGCGCCGCGGCTGGGGCAGGTCGTGGGCAGCCGTGATCAGCGAGGCCAGACCGCCACGGTGACACGACGGTAGACACGACCTGCATCAAGCAAGAGCAGGTGTTTGTGTTTACTCCCCTGTGTTTCTCTGTTTGTGTGTGTGTGTGTACCTCAGTTTGCCGACCATCGATGTGGGCTGCCCCCTGCACTTGACCGTTACCGACACTGCTACAGCACCCCTCACACCGCCTCCTCCCTGCTGCTGCTGCTGCGGCGCGCCCCTGCTGCATTCACTGCCGCACGCACACGCCCCCTCCCTCAGGTTGATCACCTCTCCCAGCGCCTCGTCGCACTCCTGGGGCATCCGCAGCGGCAGCTCGCCCCTCTCCCCCCTCTCTCCCTTGCCCAATCCCGCTGCCGCCTCCACCAGCCCTCTCTCAAGCTCCTTGAGGAACTGGTGTGCCGGGTCCGGGGTGCGGGAGTACTCGTCTTCCGGTTTGCGCATCGCCTGCAGCAGGCTGGCGATGAGCTGGGTGGGCAGGAGGGTGAACTGATACCTCACGCGCACCACCGAGCTGAGAGCGTTGACGCGAGGCTTGGCAGCTGCGGCTGACTTGGCGGCCGGGGCGGCTGACGACGACGCCTGTGTGGAGGATGAGATGGACTGGGTGCCGTCGCCGTGGTCCTTCTCGGCGAAGGGCGAGGGTCTGCAGGCGATGGCCCGTCTGATGTGCTTGAGGCTCATGAGGCTGCTCGGCTGCGTCTGCAGGTCGGCTTTCAGTATGTGGAAGCCGTGCCGAGAGATGGCCTGGCACAGGGACAAGGGCAGCACCGGCAGCAGACCCGGCGACCGCACCATCCCCCTCACCGACACCTCCACAACAGCATTCCGGTTGCTGTTGGGCGAGAAGATCGACGACGTCGCTCGCGCACTCAGGTTGGCTCCACCACCGCCACCGCCCTCGTGCGGCCCCTGGGCGCACCGCTGATCAACGGCCTTCAGACAGTCCGACAGCACGCGCCGATGCATCAAGTCGGGTGTGGACAGAGTCGCGGTGGGCTGGTTTCTCCTGACTGCAGCGGCGCGCCTCCTCAGCTGCTGCTGGTTCTTGATGTGCAGCCGGGTGATGACACAGCTGGCCTTGAATGAGCTCTGGACGGCCTCGGCTGCGTAGTGGAGGCGCATGGGTAGGAGGTCGAGTACGAGGTGTGTGTAGAGGATGACCTCGAGCTGCCTGCTCTCCCTCTCCTCTCCGTTGATGTGCACCCTCACGCCCTGCTCGTCGGGCCACTCGTGCGTGTACACCGATAGACGGGACCTCTTCATCATTAGGTGGTGCCAGCGGCCGGGGCTGCCGACGGACAGAATGCCGGGCGGGAACCAAAGCGGGCCAGTGGTTCGATGAACGATTCTTCACATCCGTAGCCTCAAACCAACACTGCAGGCTGTCCTCAAGGAAAGGAACGAGCTCCACTTGGCGAGCTTAGCTCGCCGGAGGAAGAAGGGAAAAGGCGAAAGGAGGCCTCCCGGCCACACTGTGGACTGCCTGCAGTGCCACCTCAAGGCCACTACCAATTAATAATATCGCTTTGAAAGGATGGCGCCGAAGAAGAAGGGGAAGAAGAAGGACAAGAAAGCCGATGCAGACCCGCTGGCCGACATCCCTGTGGAGCTGCGCTCGTTGGGCGTTGACCAGCTGCGGGAGCGCATCGACGCCTACCAGCAGAGGCTCAACAAATCCATGAGCGAGCGAAACTACATGCAGCTCGAACGGGTAACTGACTAGCTGACTGACCCAAGAAAGACTCAAACAACTCAGTAGACAGCACGATGAATGGGCAGACGGCTTGATGCTCTCTCTCTTTGTGTGTTGATTCACTCATCTGATCTCAATCAATCACTTTATCAGGACATGGTGAATCGGTTCTACGAGGTGACCAAGGACGAGAGCGGCCAGCTGGATGCGGCTCTGTTGCTCAAGGACCAGGAGATCGAGACGAGCGAGAAGAACCACCAGGTGGAGATTCGCGTCTACGAGCAAAAGATAAGGCACCTACAGTATGAGCACAAGCGGCAGAAGAAACTCATACAGTCGGAGGGAGAGGACAACATACAAAAGGAGAAAGACGACCACATCCAACACGTCCAGGGGCTCGCTGCGGTGCGTGTGGGAGGGAGGGAGGGACGGAGAGAGGGAGGGATCAATGCATTCACAAATAGCTTCGGGCGTTCACAAATAGATTCGGATTGTTCATCTCTCTCTCTCTCTCTCCTTCTGTGTATGTGTGTGTCCGGTGGGCGGCGTGTGTTCATTCGTTCAGGACAAGACGTCACTGCAGTATGATTTCCGCGAGTTGGGATTGGCCAACGAGGAGGAGGTGAAGCGCATCGAGGACGGTTTCGATAGGAACTTCCAGAAACTGAAAGAGCAATTCGACAGAAACCACACACAACTGCAGACGCAGTATGAGGCACAGGTGTGTGTGAAGGGGGATGGATGAGCCGCACTCACTGAGGCCTTCAGCTTACTCGTGAGTGCCCGTGTGTGTGTATGTGATCAGTTGGAGTCGTTGCGTGAGGACCTTGAGTTGCGTCGCAAGGTGGAGATCCACGAGATAGAGGAGAGGAAGAACCAACACATCAACGACCTCATGAAGTAAGTCAGCAAGCCAACAAGACAAGCAGCCGACGATGAGTGCGTGTGAACTCGTGGCGGGCGGCGTGTGTGTGTGTGTCAGGAATCACCAGGAGGCCTTTGATCAGATCAAGGCCTACTACAACGACATCACACACGACAACCTCCAGCTCATCAGATCACTTAAGGCACACAGAGCACACACACGGACAAATCGGGTGCCTGTCCTGACCTGACGTGTGTGTGGCTGTCTGTGCTTCCGTTCGTTCAGGAGGAGATCAACGAGATGAAGCAGCGTGAGAAGACGCACCACAAGAAGATGCTCCAGCTGCAGGCAGAGAGGAAACAGCTGGCCGAGCCGCTCGCACAGAAGGAGAAGCTACGCGCAGAGCTCACACAGCAGCTCAAGAACTACACAAAGGTCGGTGAGTGACAGACAGAGAGGCTCAAGCGGCATCGATGCGTGTGTGTCTGTGTGTCTGTGTCTGTGTGTGTGTGTGTGTGTGTTAGGACAAGATGGCGTTGAAGAATCTCAAGTCTCGGTGTGTGGACATGGAGCAGACACTCAAGGACGCCAAGCAGGATTACAGAGCACTCGAAGAGCGATTCAGAAAGGTAGGTGCAAGGCAGGGCCAGCCAGCAACCCAACAGACTGACAGACTGACAGACTTACAGGCACACGGACACACAGGCATCCATCCATCCATCCCGTCAATCCATTGTGAACACTCTGTGTGTCAGGTCGAGAAGGAGCGTGACGATCTCTACAAGCGATTCAACAAGGGGGTAAGTGAGTGAGCCGACGCCACACCGCCGCACTCACGCATCCGTGTGGCTGTGTGTGTGTGCGAGTGCAGGTCAAGGAGATCCGGCGGCGTGCCGAGTTCAAGAATATCGTGCTCGAGAAGAAGCTGGACCTGCTCACCTCGCAGATGAACGAGAAGGTGGGTGCGTGGGGGCGTGGGCGGGACCACAGATGGGATGGGATGGCATGCGGCACGGCGGCCAGTGATGATCGCATAGTTCATACGAGGATGGCCAGACAGTCTGGCCGCACCTGTGAAGCAAGTACCTTTCGCTCCTAGCTGACGACTGCTGTGCTGTCTTGATTGGCACATGGATGGATGGATGGATGTGCTTTGCGTGCGATGCCAGGCTCATTGTCACTCTCTCTGTCTATCTTGTGTTTGGTTGCAGCAAGCTCAGCTGCAGGAGGTGTTGCGGACGGCACAGGTCGACCCCACAACAGTCGCCAACATATCCACCAAACTCGACCAGGTCACCGCACACATACACAGACGGGCAGGTGTAGAGTGAATATCTGTGTGTGTGTGCAGGCTCTGGGTTCCAAGAATCGTCTGATCAAGGAGCTTCAGTTTGAGGTGCACCGGGCCACCAAGACATACAACGACACCATCAAGGTCTACGAAGAGAAACTCAAAGAGGTACGCAACGCACCCCACAGACACACACTCTGACAGCATGATCCATCCATATGTGTGTGTGTATGTGTGTCAGTGTGGTGTGCCCTTGGATGAGGTATCGTTCGAGCCCCTCCAGACCGTCACCTCACTCATGCCCGCTGGACTCGTCACCAAACCTGCCTTCTGATGGACCGTGCCATGTATCCCTTTGGTGCCTTCCCTTTCTCTGCTGCACGTCTGTGTCTGTCTGTCTGTCTGTGCATTCGCTCCGCCCGAGCGCTTTCTGTCGTCGATTGTCTTGCGGTGTGGACATATAGAGTCGTTCGGTGGCCGAGTGGCCAGCCAGCCATGACTTGCGCGTTTTCTCGGTGACATCCGGTGCACATCGATTGAACATCATCCATCCATCCATTCATAAAACAGGTCAGTCAGACCCATGCCATGCACAATATACAACGAACAAACAACACGGACAACCGTCCTTGAAAAAAGCACTAAAAATCACCAGAAACAGGCGAGTGTCACGACTGCTATGCCCCCACATTCGCTCCTTGGTCAGCCACCCGTGTATTATCTTTTCCCCCTCTCAACACCAGCCACGCCACAGCCACAGCCACGCACAGCACCGCAACCATCATCACCATCGCATAGAGAGAGGAGTTGTACACCAGTCCTTTCTGCACCGGTGGGCGGGCCTCTCGCCGCTGCATTCGCCGCTTCTTGCCCTTCTTCCGCTTCTTGGACGAATTGGGCGACCTGGGTCGGGCTCCCTGGGCGTCATCACGCAGCAAGGTCTGAACGGAAGCAGAGAGAGAAAGGTGTGTCCCCTACTTATCAGCCAAAATGGTGGCTCCCTCTGTGGCTTGTCTTCACGTTCAGTCACCTCGCTGCAGCCGCCCTTGAAGCCAGATGAGGAGAAATCGCCGTGGGCATAGCCAGCAAGGCCTGACAAGGCAAAGGGGAACAAGGGGGAGACATAATTGATGTGGCAAATGTGGTTGCTGCTTGGTTGGTTGGTTAGTCAGTAGCGAGACCTGGCGCACCTCCTCTGTAGGCCGTCACGTTCACCTTGTGCGTCTCGTCGTTACGCAACGCACTGCAAAACCCTGTCAGACAGAAAGAAAACCCCAAGAGACACGTTCGTTGATTGATATGACTCCCCTCCTTCGTTCGTTCGGCTACTTCTGACCGATAACATAGAAGCTGTTGGTGAGATCGTAGAGGTCGCTGAACAGCTGCTCGAACTGTTTCTTAAGGTCTCGCTCGTCCTTGGGCCGGTAGATGGCCCCCGAATCCTTCCCGCCGGCAAACGCGTAGAGGAAGTCCTCATCGCTCCTCGACCCTGGCTTGGGCGGGACGGCGACTGAGAAGAAGGTGATGGGCCCTCGACCGTCGTTGACGGCCTTGATCGCCGCACTCCGGCTGCTGCGACGGGCCAGGTCCTGGCAATGGATGGGAGGAGAGAAACAGAGGAACGGTGGCGTGGGGAGACATGATTGGTATGCTCACTTTGCCGTCGGAGAAGAGTATGAGTGCCGCTGCTTGTACAGTGGTCTCCTCTTTAGAGGCTTCGCGCTTCAGCCGGGCCTGCAGAGACACGCAGACGGAGGATGCTGTGGAAGACGGTCAGTTCTCACCATGAGGACGTCGACACAGTGTTTGATGACTCCGTAGAGATTGGTTGACCTGTCCTCCGTCTCATAGCGAATTATGGCCGTCTGCACGACATGAGACACATGCCCACTCGAAGGGAGCTTGCTTGACGGAGCAAACGGAACATCGTGCTGTGTGTACCGCGACGGTCTCCGAGAATTTCTTGTTCGAGAAGTCGATGAGCTTCTGGGGTTCCTTGCGGCCGTCGAAGGCGTACAGAGCACACTCCACACCCTCACTGACATGAAATCCATGAATGCGCAGATGGTTGTCTGTGTGTGTCTATAGTTTCTTCCTCACCGGCAGAGCTGAAGTGAGATGGTGGTGATTGTGGGCAATGCTTCGACGAGTGACTCTCTCGCAGACGCGGACATGTCGACCAGAAACATCACAAACGACTTGGACGTTGCATTCTGCGGCGCACACATACACAGATTGACGCATTGATGCAGACACATGAGGCTCAGGATGATCGATGCCTCTAGCTATCCATCCCATCCATGGCCCCATCCCTCCCGCACCGCACCTGCAGCAGGTACCAACTGTTCTCATTGCTGTCCCATTCGCCGTCCTGCCAGCCATCCACAAAGACAACGATCAATGGGGAAGCATGTTTGTTGGGCAGCCATGTGCCCCCGCGCTGACCTCTTCCACCCTGAAGCGCACATCGGACGCCACCGGCTTGCCGTTGCAATCAGCCAAACTGAACGAAGTCAACACCTGACCCGATCGATGACACAAACAAGAGTGCAGGAAGACCAGAACAAGACGGTTCGAAGGCCATTCCGATGAGTCAATTGGTGGGTCGGTTTCCTGTCTATGCACGCACCTGTGCTGGGGGTTTGGCTGAGACGTGGAAGTTGGTGAGCTTGAGAGGGCAGCTGGCATTGACCTTTGTGCAGATGCCGGCACTGGCCAGGCCGAGTCTGCTCTGGCCAGTCTTCTTGTTGGCTGGCGGAGGCATGCACCGCTCACCTGACTTGACGGAACACTCACCATCCTGCATATGGATCAGATCACATACCCATCAGCCAATAGCATGCAACAGATGCATCCATCGGACCACATGCATCCCATGGCATCCATCAGTCGTGCGTACCCAGAAGCATTTCTTTGATGGCAGGTCTTTCTCCTTTGCCTTATCGCCGTCTGTGCTGATGCCCGCCACTTTCTTCTTGAGCTCCTGGAGGCCCCTTCCACCAACAGACGGCCCTGCACGGAAGGAAATGACATCGAGATGCATCGTCGTGTTTGCTCGTGTGCTTGGTGGTGTGATCTCACCATTGGAATGCACAAGCACGGCCCTGAGGCCCAGCGGGACCAAAAGAAGGAAGATGGTTCGCATTTTCAGGACGATCTTGGCGGGGGTCTGGCCAGAATCGCCAGATCTGCGGTTACAGCCGTTGCGGGCATACTCGAAGGGCAAGGTTTCCGAGAAGAAGGCTGTGGTCAAGAAGCCCAGCCGCATCTTTGCTGCACCCTCGTGCGCTGCTGGAAGGTTCGCGAACAGAGCACGGACCATCAGCTGTGCACACATGGGTTGACACTTCCGATGGTCAGGTCTGCGAGAACAAGACACGTCAGCAGCAGCAACTGTAGCAGCAGCGGCAGCAAGCGCACGCACAACATGGGACACACATCTGTCCGTCCGTCCGTGTCTGCAGGATCATAGAGCAACAGCCTCACAGTGGACGTCCCGAGGAGTTTGGACGGATGAGACGACCATTTAGGAGCACCGCCACCAATTGCTGAGCTTTAGGAGCCAAGCAGAAGCCGTCACCATCACCAGCAGCACCTGGTCCATCTGCGTGACCTCCCTGCTGACTAAGCTGCAGAGGGCCACGCGACCTGGCGAAATGGGGTGTGGCCGAGCACATCTGCGGAGAGGGAGAGGGAGGGAATGTTGACAGGGAGACACGGGAGGGGTCGTTCTTGTGTCTTCCTCGTCGGGCTGCAGTGGTGGGGCCTCGTGCAGTGATGATGGTTCGTCAGAAGAAAGTGACGGGGAGAGTGATCAGGGTGGTGAGTCGGTGCTGCCGGCGGCGCAGCGGCTGATGTTCCGGCTGTCGGCCACTGTGATTATCTCGTTGTCAGCACGAGAGGCGTGAATAGCTCATGTATGAACACAGGATCTTACGTGCAATCTACATATCAATACTTGCAATGTCTCGCCTCCTACAAGACTCTCGAATATAAAATGTAGGCAACGATACGCCGCCCCGTCCCTTCCTTCCTCCGTCCCCCGACAGGTAGGTGGAGAGGGCTTCCATCATGCCTAAGGGACGCAGGCACTCTCTTCCCATTTCTCCCATCTATTCCGCCACTCACCATCGAGGAAGTCGAGGCTGTCGTCCACGTCTCTTTGCATGATCCACCAAGCCCCGTCACCCTCAGAGACACTTCATACACATGAAAGAACGTATCTCAAATGATTTTGTGTCCGCTCAACGTGCTCATTACCTTGCCTCGCTGGCCCGCAGCGCCCTCTTCTTTCGAGCTGAAATGGTGCAGCTCCTTACTTTCCACAATGCCCGGAACACTGACAGCCCTATCGAGAACTTCTCTGTGACTGGTCGGAAAGGTCAACAGCCCACACAAAGAGGGAGGTAGGGAGAGAGAGAGAGAGAGAGAGAGAGAGGGGCTGTTTGTTTCTTGTCACGGTTTCTTTTTACGTGTCAGTGTCCTGGCGAAGTTGTGCTCTTGAAGGCAGCTGCAGGCAACCAGGAAAAAATTGGCTTCGGCCACAAGGATGCTGCACACACGACGAATCTGACAAGGCGCAGCCAGGGAGGCAAACAGTGTCTGACGTCCAATACGTCCAAGACGTGCTTACTCGCTCCCTTTCGCGTGCAGATCGACTGGAGGCCAGATTGTCCCACTGCAAAGATGGAGGCAGCAAAATGCGTATTGCCTTTTCTGCCTTTCGTTCACCTGGTTGGCGAGATTGATGCGCTTTTTGCTGAACTTGTCCATCGATGGGTTGTCTCAGCTCTCTCTCCCTCACTCATTCACTCACCCACCCACTCGAAAAGTGCAGACTGACCTACTGTCTGTATTCAAAGTGGCAGTAGGGGCAGCGTGGCTGCACTGGTCGGCCGTGCTCTAGCCTCATCTCTCTCGACGCCCGCAACACTTTGGCAACACACCTATTGCACAGCGCCCTGTGGTGTGGCAGGCAATCTAAAACACAAGAAACCAAAGTGATTACCCATTTGTTTCCTGTTCATCGCCTACTGCAGGGAGCTCAGCAAGCTTCTCGTCCAGGCCGGCCCTCGCGGCCTCGATGAGCTGCTTCAGCCGCTCCGACTCCTGCTGGCACCGGTGGATGAGGGCGGTGGTCTCGGCGGCGCTCAATCTGGCGACGTTTGGGCAGTGGATCCGGCTCTCGGTCTCCGCGTGCAGCCGCTCTCGCGTCGCGTTGTCCCTCTCACACGAAACTCACCGAATATCATCCAAAGGGCATCAAACTCGGCCCACCAGTCCCCCGACTGACCCTTCCCGTACTCGAACCCGCACGCGCCGACCCCCGAGAGAATAGCAATGTGTACAGTATCGTCAGCGCACCATCGGGAAGCTTCACGGTGAAGGCGAGGACGAGGGCAAGGATCAACAGAACGACGCATGGCACGGCGCACACCATTCCCCACACACGATAGGGCATGACCTGACGATGGTCAAGAAAACAGCGTCGCACACTCCATCCTCTCCTCTTCCCTTACCTGTTCGCAATACCTTTCGCTCGCCCTTTCCTGCCGCACCATGGCGCAAAAAAAAGAAAGGAAAACCAGCCCAGTCTCTGTCTCGCCCGTCTCGCCCGTCTCGCCCCCCCGAGACTGCGAGCTTGACTTGTGGGTGCGGACCTCCTCGACAAGCGCATGATAGTGGAGGAGCGTCCACACGCCATGCACAGCACGTACACACGCGATCTCCACAGACACACACACACACGTGTCCATGTGCAATTGTCCACGTGTGAAGGTTGCCAGCCACTCTGCGATCTCACGGCCCCTTCGAGTACGAGTACATCCCTCCTGCCAACAAGTACGCCCCCTCCCCGACCCTCCCCCACACACAACCATTCTGCATGCCTCTCTCTCTCTCCCTGTGTGTGTGTGTGTGTGTTAGCAGGCCGCCAGGCGATGATCTGCCGGTAGCGGTCCTGCACACGAGTGACCCCTGGCCCGTTACCGCCAACGTGTGCTACTTTGAGGTGGAGATTGTGGATGCGGGCGAGCACTGCAGAATCTCTGTCGGAGTGGTGCCGCCAGACTATAACACTGCAAGGTCTGGACGCGAACTCGTAGATGGAGAGAGACAGCCTTGCCTTGTTTGTTTGCAGGCAAGTGGGATGGGACGCGTTTAGCTACGGTTATCACGGAGACGACGGCAAACTCTTCCACGCCGCTGGTGCAGACACACACACACACACGGAGGGAGGGAGGGAGGGAGGGACAGACAGGGGGGAGAGAGGAAGAGAACACACACGCGCACCACATGCATACATCCATCCATTCGCGTGTATGTGTGTGTGTGTGTGTGTGTGTGTTGTGTGTGCAGGCCACGGCATTGGCTGGGACGAGAGCCATCCGTAAGATTGCTTGGTTACCCATTCATCTGTCTCTGCGTCTGATGGATGGATGGATGGATGTGGCACTCCATCCACAGGTGGCCGTCCGGTACGGTGATCGGCTGCGGTCTGCTCAGGAGACAGAGGAAGATCTTCTTCACCAAGAATGGAGAAATCCTCGGTGCCCACACACGCCTACCCGGCGGCCTCACACACACACAATCGACACACACCAGTACCCTGTCTTCCTGTCTGTGTGTGTCAGGTATCGGCTTCCAGAATGTCCGATGCGTGCAGCTCAATGTAGCCTCAGCAGACATAGCCCATAGACGCTGGCACAGATGGCTGGACACTGTGCCTGCGTGTGGTGTGTGACATTCACTCTTTAGGCGGCCGACGGCCATCCGCACGACCGCCTCCTGTATCCTGCAGTTGGCCTCCACTCGCCAGGCGAGCGTGTGCGCATCGTCCTGGGCTACGAGCCGAGCGACTTCCGCTTCGACGTGACGCAGCTGACGAACACTGACGACCCACAAATCGGTCAGCACACACAGGCACACACACAGGGAGAGAGGGGAGGGGGGGAGAGAGAGAGGCGTTTTTGTGGGTGGGTGTATGTGCAGACGGCCCGTTGCAGCCCCCCGAAGGCTTCGACATCTTGAAAGCGGTGGAAGCTGGGGATGTGCAGTCCATCACGCAGCTAATCGAGAGGCACGGCATAAAAATACTCGACACACCAGGAGAATACTCGGTATGCGATCTTGAACATGACAGAGAGCGCTCAGCGCTCTACTTGCTCTCATCCCTGCAGAACACACCCTTCCTTAAGGCTGCCCATGAAGGTCAGGCTGGCGTCATGTCGGTGATGTATGAGAAATACGGGCCGGCCATCCTTCAGCAAACAAATGAGGTACCCACACAAAGGAAAAATCACCTTCTCACACAGAAAAGACAGCGTGAGAAACTCAAATATGAAGATGAACAATCTTTTGCACCTGCTGGATTGCCGTCCCTCTGTGCATGGTGCACTCAGGCAGGACAGACAGCGCTTTTCGCTGCCCAATTTGATAACGCCGCGGCGGTGGCTCAGTTGTGAGAGACACAGATTGATAACGGAAACATCCCACCCCGTATTTCTCTCTCTCCTTTCTCCCCCTGCATGACCCAGGCTGGAGTGGGAACCCAAACTGCTCGATGGACGCGGCAACGTAAGGGAGCACACATGTCTCCGACGCCTCACTGTGTCGATTTTGTGCATGTGCATGTGTCTGTGTGTGTGTTGACTACAGGATGGCGCCACACCATTCCATTACGCCGCGTACGAGGGTAGCGTTCATGCGCTGGAGGCCATGTTTGCCAAAGGGGGAAAGTACCTGCTCAAACAGAAGACGAAGCCTGTGAGAGACATAGGAATTCACAGACTGCCTCCCGTCTGCTCGATTGCTTTTCCCTGTGTGCACGACACATACAGGAGGGCCACACGGCGCTCCATATCGCTGCAAACAAAGGCCAGTCTGCAGCTGTGTCTCAGCTGTGAGAGACACAGAGAATGACGCGAATCCACATCCAACCCTTTTTTTCCACTTCTCTCTTTCTCTTTCAGCCTGGAATGGGGCGGCGGGGAGCTCTTGGGAGTCAGGAACAACAAGGTGAGCAAGCGTATCTGAAGTGTTTGCTCACCTTGAAAAATCGGCTCATCCGGTGATAGTTCCAGACGCCGTGGGATATGGTAGAGGACAATCCTGAGGTTCTGGGTATCATGAAGAAGTACTGGCGTCCTTGCTGCTGCGTGATCATGTAACTGACAGTGAGAAATACGTGCATAGACCACTGTGAGTGTGATTCAAGATTTATGGCTGCATTATAGCTACGTGAGAGACACATGGGAACTTTGCTTTGAGGTGCGGCGGGGCAAAAGGCGATACTGATGTATTCTGAAGCGAACTCTAATTTGATCTTAATCCACAAGCCACATGCGCACATGAATAGCTCGTTGGCTGTGTATGCGACAATTCGTGACCGGACGGGTGAGTGTCTGCCTTCAAAACACTCTGTGCAGACTGTAATTTCCTTCCATGACAACTCGATTCCGTGCAGACACGCGTCATATGAACAATCGAATGCGTGAATCAATGCGGTCCGTCCATGATAAAAGTGAACACACACTCACTTGGTGTCTCTACCAGTGGGGCCTCACACGAATCACTCGCCTCTCCGCTCTCTCGAACTGCCGCCCCAGCGGCGCACTCATCGGCCGATCTCTCTTGGCCTGGCCCCTCTCCTCCACAGTGACACCACCATCATACCCCCTTGCCGCCTCAACAATCGGCACCGGCGTGATTGGCCGCGACGACGCCACACTCGCAGCAGGTCGGGCTGTCCGCACTGTCGATGGCACGTATGGAGTCGTCTTGGTCATCCTCAGGTCGCTGGCAGCATCAGATTCTGCAGATGGCAGCAGGAGGGCTCTGTGGAGTGCTTTGGTGAAGGACGGCTTCTTGGGCAGGGAAGCGGTCTTTGTTTCAGCCCTCTTTGTGTCGATAAAGAGGCGGCGTGGGTCTGTGGGTGGAATGGCGTGCCGTCTCTTGGAAGGCTCGGAGCGGGCTACAGACATCTTGTAACGCTGCCATCTGTAGGCAAGAAGGGCCATGCGACCTGTCTGTGGTATTCCCATCTGTGTGCACTGTGCAGTACTTTTCTTCTTGAGCAAGGAATTCCTCGATGATCTCGTCGCCCTTTGGGAGGGCCGGATCGCTCGACGCTTTGATGCCCCGCATCACCTCTGTCTTCACCTGCAGAAAGCCCAAAGACATCACCACTCAATCAGCCAGCATAGACATCTATGTATGTGTCTCGGTGCGGGCTTGTTTGGCCGACCTGCCCTGGCAGGTAGTCGAGTGCCTTCTGAGTGACGACGTAGAACACTGCAGAGGCAGAGGCCACGACCACGCTGAACTGTGCGGTGTCGGCAATCCTCTGGTCCTCCACCGCGCGCACACCGAAGAAGCCGCCAGGACGGATATGACTATAGGTGATTCCCTCGTCGATGAGCTTCTCGTCCAGTAGCTCAGACCGCACGAATTGCGGTGTCTCTTGGCCAACGCTTCTCGCAGTGGACGGCCGCCTGTCTGTGCCGGCGTCCGTCGCCCGCCTCTCACCCACGTTCGTCATTGACACGGCGACAGAGGGTCTCGCCGTCATGGAGCCGTTCGCACTGGGGGCAGTGGCAGCAACACTCGACCGGCTCAAAAGCGAGGATTTCGCCCACCCCAGCAGGCCTCCATGTCTCGAGTTATTTTGCCCCTGCTGCCTGACAGCCGGTGATAGGGGCAGAGGGGACGCGTGGGGAGACGGCATAGATGGCAGCTCGTCGAAGGACGTCTCCACGATCAATTGAGGCTTCTTTGGAGGCTCCTCCCGGATGCGTGTGGCGGCGGATGGCGGCCGCACCTGTATGTTGGCTCGTTCCTCGGCCCTTTGTCGTTTGAATTCGTTGACGACAGAAGGGGGAATGACCAGTCGACAGAGCCCTTGTGTAAGAATGTAGAGGCCGTCCGGCTTCCTGCCGCGTCGCAGCACCTCCCCGCCGTAAGAAAACCTCTGGAGAGAAAAAGAGAGAGAGAGGAACACACGTTCAACACACAGGTGAGAGCGACATTTTGGTCTCACCTTTATTCTGACGTGGATCGGCAGCTGCGAGAGGTGATGGCTGGCACATCCAGCAAAGAATGGCGTCCTCTTAAGCTGCGACACGAACGAGGAAAGGTCCTTCTCGCCGCTCGTCCCTCGCGCAATGATCTCCAAGTATCTGTGTGGGTCCAACTGCAGCAGATAGGTGTCTTCAGCAGTTGTGACAGTGGCTCCCCGTGTGCCCCTCTCCGCTTCATGGCCGCCAGTTATAGATGTCTCGCCGAAGGCCTGACCATCGTACATGGTGTTGACCACGATCGCTGTGGGCCGCCCGGGGGTCTTGACAGACACCGTGCATATGCCGCTTAAAATGACGTACATAAACTCGGCTAGATCACCCTGCCGAAAAACAACGCTGTTGGCGGGATGGTGCGTCACGCTACCCTCCGCCAGCAGGTCTTCTCGCTGCGATCGAGATCTCAGCTTTCGAAAGAAGCGGAGAGGCTGTAACCAGGCATTGATGGGGACATCATTGCTCTGAGAGGGGGGATGGGTGTGAGTGCGGGTGCATGTCTCACCTTTACGAGTGTGGCGACAACACTGAGGTTCCGCTCCGAGGTGTCTCTGGCCATCTCCTGGACGAGCCTCCTGAGGTTGGTTCGGGTCAGCTGGGTCCATTTCATCTCGTCGACCTGCGCCCTACCCGCACCCCTGGACCCCTCCCCCATCTCTCCCTCTGCCGAACTGCTCTTGCTGCTCTCCGTCCGTGTGTCCTCATCGCTGGCACGCCGGCTGTCCTCTGACCTTACCGATGGCGACACACACCCACACATAAAGAGAGTGAATCCAGCAAGTGAGATGTGTCGTATGTATGTCTGCGTGCCTGGCGGTGACTTGTGGCTGTCCGACGCTGTGTTTGGTGGTCACGTGTTTCCGATCGGCCTGGCGAAATGATGTGGGCGACTGGCTGTCCACCTGCTGCTGTTGGGTGTCTCCCCTCTCTGTCTTGGCACCGCCAGTTGCTGCAGCAGCCGGTGCCGATGCGCTGAGGAAATTGGCTGCAGCGAGAGCATCGAGACGCCGCACCGCCTCCCTCTGCTCCTCTGCTGGTGTCTTGTCCTTTTCTCTCCTGGCTGTCGACGACAGCCTCTTGGCCTCAATGAAATCCTCACTTGCAGCCTCAAAATTCTGCACCACACATCAATGGAAGGTCTAAGTGGGATCGAGTGCGTGTCTGGAACCTGGAGTCTGAAGTTGGCGAGCCCTCTGTATCTGAAGAGCACAGCCATCTCCTCCTGTGTCTCGGCCCGCTGGCCTGTCGTCTCAGCCCCCCAGTAGTGGAGGTTGCCGTACTCAGGGCCTCCAGCACCCGATGGGTCCTCCCCCGCCACGACATACGCTTTCCTCTTGCCCCTGCTGGCGGTCATCTCCTTGCTGAGCCCGACAGCACGATCTGCTACCGACAAGACGTCCTCATATCTGCCCAGCTGGAAGAGACACACCATCTGGTTCAAATGCACCTGTAACAAAGCAAGAAGAGATGGATTGATTGCTGCAACAGACAGACAGAGAGGGAGAGATCGATCCTCCTTGTGCACCTTGAGTCGTCTAGGGTGTATATGTCTGGCGGTGTCGAAGAGGGCGAGGGCCTTGTCGAACTTGAGCAGCCGCATGTAGGACGTGGCCAGATTGATCAGCGCGCCAAAGTGACGCGGGTCCTCCTCGAGACACTTCCTGTGTTCAGCCAGGCAGGCAATCAGGCCGACGTTCGTGTGCGCAATCAGGCGTTGCAAGGCGGATACGTACTTACTTGTAGATCTTGATGGCACTCGTGAATTGGTCCAGCACCTTGGCCTTGCAACCCTGTAAGTAACCGACCATGCATGCCTTCACTTATCCATCCATCCGCTCCGTATGCACCTACGTCCTGAAAGAGCCTGTGTGCGTTCCTTCCTCGCGGCGTGGCGGCCATCTCCCAATGCTCCACGTCCAGGGCAATCTGCACCCATACATCACAGCATCACGTGTGTTCCATATGCGCCGTCTGTCTCCCCATGCTGCTTCCTCACCGAGCGAAGTGGGTCTGTGTGGTCCTCTGGCAGCGGTTCGTCCTCGGTCGTCGCCCGTCTCCCACATGGAGACCAGGGAGCAGCACTCTCGGCATCGATGTCGCTCCCAGGCACCTCATGCAAGACCCTCCGCGTCGTTGTCTGCGACCCCCCTCCGTAGTGAGAGGCGACAGACGGCGCCCGCATCCCGATTGTGGTGGGGTTCCTCGCAGATCTGCCACTCATTGGGACGGAAAGGATGGAGGCTGTTTGGTAACCCCCCCCCCCTCCCGTCTCAAGCTCGCAAATCAGAGGTAGGTGGTTTTTTCCATGATGTATGCCTTTGAATGCCTGTAGACAGCGTGTGAGTGGGTCTCGTCGTGCCCTATCCGCCGTTCTTTTGCTCCTGTCGCACCTTCTTGCGACCTCCCTCGCTCATACCTTGTCAGTGGAGAGATCCGGAGCGTGTTTCTCGGCACGAGCAGCACCTCAGAAGATGGGCAAGTCGGCTGTGTTGTGGTTCCGCAAAGGGTTGCGTCTGCACGACAACCTGGCGCTGCTCGAGGCCTGCAAGGACGCCACGCATGTCTACCCGGTCTTCATCATTGACCCGCACTTCGTCGGTGAGCGCCACGCGCACACACGCTCACACAGACACGCCCCACACCAGGAAGACAGCACACGTATGGGGTGGATCACTTCGTGAGGGTGCAGGTCCGGGCAAGGTGGGCGTGAACCGATACCGGTTCCTGCTCGAGTGCCTGACCGACCTGGACACCTCTCTGAAGACCAAGTACAACAGCCGCCTGATTGTGCTGCGCGGCAACCCCCTGGACGTGATGCGCTCGCTGCTCAAGGACAAGCAGCCCTTCGCCGTCGACAAGCTGTGCTACGAGTTCGACAGCGAGCCATACGCCAGGAGCCGCGACGCCGAGGTGACCAAGATAGCCAAGGAGGGGGGCGTGGAGGTGACGGTCAGCCCGGGACACACGCTGTTCGACCTGGACGAGATACTCAAGAAGTTCAAAGGCACTCCACCCCTCTCATATGGTGCGCCAGGAGAGGCATGCACAGCACATCAACAAATGCATCCATCCATCCATCCATCCATCCATCTGTGTGTATGGCATGGCAGGTCCGTTTGTGAAGATGGTAGAGTCGATCGGTCCGCCACAGACGGATAAGGACGCCCCGGCAGCCATCCCGGCTCCCCCTGCCGCCGTGCTGGGCAAGGTGGACGAGAGCTACAGTGTGCCCACTTTGCAGGAGATGGGCTGCGAGGAGACCCCCCACAACGGCGTGCTGAGGGGCGGCGAGACTGTCGGGCTGCAGAGGCTGCATGACGTCACCAGGAATGAGAAGTGAGAATGGACGCACAGGGGCTGGGGATGGTGCTGTGGGGAGAAGGAAATGTCTGTGTGTGTGTGCAGGTGGATCGCAACGTTCGAGAAGCCCAAGACCAAGCCGACGGACTTCAACCCTGCCAGCACCACACAAATGGTACCTACCGTACCACCCACAGAGCCGCCTCCCATCTCTCGGTTTGTCTGCCTTCCGCTGCAGTCGCCCTATATGAAGTTCGGCTGTGTGTCGGCTCGCAAGTTCTATCACCATCTGCTGGCCATCTACAAGCGGCACAAGGGCCACTCGCAGCCGCCCGTGTCGCTCCTGGGGCAGCTTTACTGGCGCGAATTCTTCTACACGGGTGCGTATGGGTGGGTGATGGAGTGGGAGGGTGGGCGGCTGGCTGATGTGTGTGTGGGGGTCTGGTCTTGCTTAGTTGGTTACGCGACGAACAACTATGACAGGATGGCGGGCAACAAGATATGCAGACAGATCGCATGGGTCAACAAGTGAGTCAGACACCCAACCACACACCACATTGATGTGTGTTTGGACGTGCTCGTTCTCCTTCCCTCTCTCTCTGTGTGTGGTGTGTGTGGTTGACAGTGAGGAGTGGATCGAGGCCTGGCAGCAGGGCAAGACGGGCTACCCATGGATTGACGCCGCCATGCGGCAGGTACACGATGATGCACTCAACAACACTACACCGCACCGCTGCATTGCACACCATTGGATGTGCGGCCTGTGCTGTGGGGGGTTGGATCGATGCGTCAGCTGCGGCGTGAGGGCTGGATGCACCATCTCGCCAGACATGCCGTCGCCTGCTTCCTCACCAGGGTATGCACACACACCACACACACAGGGAACTTTGAGGCAGGGGGCGTGCATGCTGTCTGTGTGCTCTCTCTCTCTCTGTGTGTGTGTGGTGTGTGCAGGGTGATTTGTTCTGCAGTTGGGAAGTTGGTGCCAAGACGTTCGATGAGCTGCTCATCGACGCGGACTGGTCCATCAACAACGGTGCGTTCGCACGAGGAGGGAACACATGAGGACAAAGGGGCAACCAATGTGTGTGTGTGTGCGGCAGGCAACTGGATGTGGCTGTCGTGCTCGTGTTTCTTCTACCAGTTCTTTCGCATCTACCACCCCTCCACATTCGCTAAGAAATACGATCCGAGTAAGTATATATATGCAATAGCAGGACACACACACCAACCACCGACGCCATACGTGGCCATTGCAAGACACCCGTGTGTGTCGTATGTGGTGTGTTATGGATGGGTGGATGCCAGCTGGTGCGTACGTGAGGCGTTACGTGCCCGAGTTGCGTCACATGCCCGACAAGTACGTCTACGAGCCCTGGAAGGCCCCCAAGGCCGTCCAGGAGGAGGCCAAGTGCATCATCGGACAGGACTACCCCGAACCCATCGGTGAGTGAGTGAGTCGGTGGGCCGCCCTGCCATCCATCCATCCATCCATGTGTGTGTCGCTGCGTGTGTGCGTTGTCCCTCTCCCCTTCTTGATTCAGTTGACCACGCCGAGGCCTCTCAAGAGTGCAAAGACCGGTATGTGTCTAGAGTAGGTGGGCCTCTCTCGTCTCAATGGTCAGCCTCCCTCCCTCTCTCTGTGTTGATCGATCAGCATGAAGGCGGCGTACGACGAGCACAAGGCCATCAAGAGGGCGCCCAAGAGCGAGATGAAGCCAGACCCTGATGACGAAGAAGAAGATGATGAGGAAGGGGTCAGTCAGTCAGCAGTGTGAAGAACGGCTGGCTGCATGGCACACCCCTCCGTTGGCTCAACTCTCTCTCTCTGTCTCTGTCTCTCTCTCCCCTTACCGTGTGTGTGTGTAGGAGGAAGAGGATGATGACGAGGACTACAGCATATACAAGCCCCTGGACGGCACCAACAAGAGGAGCCGGAAGGGCAAGAAGGCATCACCCAAGAAGAAAACAAAGGCCTGACGCACCGACAGACCCAGCGTCCATCCATCCATGCAGCCAGCCCCTTATTGTAGATGTAGATAGGTCGATCGCCATTGGCCGCCCTCGCGGTGCTGCCGTGGGGTGGGGTGGTGGGTGGGTCGTCTGGGTTGATCTCGGCATTGCGTGGTGAACGCACTCGTTGCGTGTTGACTGGAACAGCCTTGCAAAGCAATCGTGCTGTGGTTGACGGACGGCTGTGACGCCTTACTGTGCGTAAGTTTTCTTGACTCAAGTGCTCTGTGGTGTTTGAGGCTTAATGAAATCATTGAGTGGTGCATCGATTAACGGTCCCTCTGTGTGTGTGTGTCCATCAACCCCTCTCGCACAGACGCATAAAGGGACCCTACAGAGCGCTGCCCCGGCACACACGCCAGCCCGGCAGCTCTGCTTGAAACGATCAGCAAAACTCACGGAAGGAAAATCAGCCGAAAGGAAAGACAGACCTCTTACCGAATCTCTCGTACACACCTCAGTGACACTTGAAGACACACACACACACACTTATATACGACACGCACGATAAAGGCACAGATGGCTGCTACACACAGGGGGCGGCAAGCAGGTTGCTCTGGTGGCACAGAGATGTAATAAACAGACCACCACTGGTGGGGCTCGCTGACCATGCACACACACGACACACGCACACACGAATGGATATCCTACACCCTACACCATAAAGACACGACTTTTGAGCCTCTCTGCCGGCTCAGCCACGCCACGCCACACGACAGGTCGACTGGCTGACAAAAATCACTGACACAAACTGCATGAACGACAAGGCGACGAAGGCCGCATGTCTGTGTGTATCTCTGAGTGTATGTATGTGTGTGTGTAGTATGTGTGTGTGTATAGTACTCATACTCGCGTACTCGGGAGGCGAGGACGAGTACGAGTACATACCACACACCACATACCACAGGCCACACACCACACACCACAGGCCGCACACGCAGGTAGACACCGAGGCGCACGAAACACGAACAGCCACAATTGAACAGCCACCCACCCATCTCACCCCTACCTATACAGGCCCCCACACACACCCATCATCCACAGCCGTCACATCACATCCCATGCTGCCGTCCCCTCCGTCGCTCCCTGCCATTGTCACACCCCACCCTCTATCCTACACACACACATGACAGACATGACTCCCCCACAGCTAGGCCGCCCAGTTAGTCAACACGGCCGGCTTGTCCGGCCCCGCAAACGACGAGGGCGCCGTCGTGTCCGACCCACTGTACACCGGGATCGGCTCCATCTGCACCACATTCACCGTTGTGGGCGCCAGGGGGGCCGTGGGCGTCATGACGGTGACGGCCGGCGGCTTGGTCGTGGGGGCGAGGGATGCATCAGCCTCCATGAAGCGAATGGCGATGGCGTTGCTCACGCCGGTGTTGGCGTGGTATCGGCCGCTGATAGATCGCCGGCTGACGTCGAACCGGCCGCTGACGTCCACACGGAGGTTGTCGGTGCCCATCTCGCCCCACGAGATCCGACCACTCTTGGCGCTATAGACGCCGTTGACTGTGAAGGTGCCGTCCGCGTCGGTGCCAGTCCCCGTGACAGTGCCGTCATAGTCGAAAGTCAGCTTGTAGGTGGTCGTGAACGACTTGGTCCCGCCGTAGGGGCCGCCCTTCTCGACATATGTGCCGATCCACTTCCCCGAGGCCGGGGGCGTCTTGGTGAGTGTTGGCTTGATGCGGCTCCGTCGGCTGTTGGCCAACCTCTGCTGCTTCATGAGCCTGTCTTCCTGCACGCATCTCCCAATACAGTGCCCGAGACCGACACAGACGCAGCAGAGGATGACGAGCCCCACTATCGAGCCGATGACGATGCCGAAGATCATCCCGCAATCCCTGCACTCGCTTTGTGAGTCGGTGCTGGTGGAGTTGCCGCTTCTGTGGCTGCGCCTCGAGCTTGACGAGCCACCGCCGCTGCTCATGCTGCCGGCTATGTAGCCGCCGACGAAGCCAGCTGCTGCGGATGAGCTGGATGAGCTGCTGCTGTATCCGCCGTATGACGATGAGCCGCCATATGACGATGAGGGCCTGCTGCTGTAGCTGCTAGAGGAGGAGTACCCTCCACCGCTGCTGAAGCCGCCCCCTCTCCCTTTGAGATTCCGCACCTCGGCATCGACGAGGGCGGTGAGAAAGATGAGGAAGGGCAAAGTCAGAAGGATCGACACAAGAGGACGGCGGCGAACAGAGACGAGGAACTGCGCCATGTCTTCGCTGTGGGATGGAGGAAGGAGCGGAAAGGGGAGTCAGAGAGGCGTGCGAGCTCTAGTCAACCCCCCTCGCCCTCTTCTCTTACCTTTCGATCTGTGTGTGATATGGGAACGTTAGAGAAGCTAACTGTGGGGAGAAAGGCCTTCAAAGCGACTCCTTCGCCACGCACGAGAAAGATCGCGAAGGAAGATGTGCGAGCTCGTGCCGTTTTGTCTCCCGCGCCAACTCATCGTCCACGGATGGATGCGTGGAGCTTTGCCACGTGTGCGAAACAAGTCAAAGAATGGTTCTCTATGTGTGTATGACTCAAAGCGATGTGTCTCGTCATTGGTCGCAATTGATTGGTCGTTACTCGTCATCATCGGTTCTTTCATTGCGGGCGAGCCGCAGCAGCCAAGACAAGGCGAAGCAAGGCTCTCACAGGCACATGTACTGTGTCTGATTTGCCGCCCTTGCACTGCATGCATCTGAGACGGAGTGGCCCCGCATCCATTGCCTGAACATACACACACACACACACGCATCGAGACAAATTGATGGATGGGTGGGTCGTTGGCAGGGAGGGAGCCCCAATGGTCAGTGTCAAAGCCTCAAGTGCGAGACAAGTGATTTCCAGCCTTTTTCCGCCAATGACCACCAACGGCATCCATCCCCTTTGACCGACAGACACAGAGAGAGGTTGTACGCCACTGTAGGTGAGAGGTGAAAGCAGGGGATGCAACAGAATGTCAAGGAGAAGCTGTATCCCCAGCATGCCCCCGAAAGGGATGGAAAGAATCCGCTTTGAGGAGTCATGCAGGGCCTTGCATGTTGGGGGGCAGGATGATTGCGGCGAAAAATGTCATGTGTGGTGCATATGAAAGTGTGTGTGTTTGTGGGCTGAGGTGTGTATGCCTGTGCATCCGGTTATCCAAATTGTATCATGTGGCTTGACTACATACATGCGTGCAGGCATTCAATTAAGCCATCGATCGATTCACGCAAACACACACACACAGTCAGTCAGCAAACTGTTGGCCGTATAGTTGGGAGAGTGGTAGATGTTAGAGCGTCTGACATCTACCACTCTCCCAACCATACGGCCAACAGTCCGCTGACTGACACACACTACACTGACACATGGCACACCTCCGATATATTCACAGCTCTGCCTCTCCATCCACTACAATAACTGACCCCTGACGAACCGCTACCATCCATCCATTCACACATGCACACGTACTTCTTCCAATAAATACGTCTGCCCATCTATTTGTGGCCCCCTCCACAGCCTGGACCTCCCGATGGCCACGGGCAGCAGTCAGCAGCCTTATTATTAGGGAGGACTGCTGCCCGTGGCCAACAAGAGGAAAAGGCCACAGAGAGACCACAGAGAGGAAAGAGGCCAAGAGGTCGGCCAAAAACGAGCGGCTAAGGCATCCGTCCATCTACCCACCCGACACACACACGCCCAATATCGATGTCACTCATCTCAGCTGCACGGTTTGTCTGTGCAGCGCAGCCGAGATGAGTCGACCCCCCATGACCTTGGCCGCGAAATGCTCCACGTCTAAGGCATAAGACACACATATCCGTCTCACAGATGACGATACACAGGTGAATGCGATGTGTTTTAGCGGCTCTCTCATGTGCGCACACCAGGATGCCCTTCTCTGGCGTACAATAGAGCACGACCTCGTTGTAGATCCGTGTGCCCCCCCTGACACGCACACACAGTAGACACAAAAACTATACGTGTGTGTCAGTCGGTGTTTTCACCTGAGGACGGCGAATTCGACAAATGACGCCTTCCCGTTCATTCATTCATGTGGCAGGCACCCGCCGACGACGGCGAGAAGTCGGCACGCACGAAGAGGCCTCAATTTGGATTGCATCCATCGCACAGGTCAGCTATGTGACACACCCACACACAAACACATGCACAGATAGCCTGCAGGTGCTGTGTGTGTCGGTGTGGGAAGAGAGACTTGCGCCCAGTCTGTTTTGTAGCAGACGTGCTCGAGTGAAGGTGCAGGGCAAGGTCAAATGAGCGAGTCGGCACAGCCACCCACCCACCGCATCCACCACCATGTCCACACGATCCTGCAGGACATATTCCGCATGAATTCTTTCTTCCTCAGTCCTTGTGGGTGCGGTGCGGTGCGATGGGCGAGTCGAGCAGCACGCGGCCGGCAGAGGGGCTCCTGACTGTCAGTGACACAAACATCAGCCACGCAGGGATAGTGCACTTCCATCCATCCATCAGTGGCTCACTTGCAGTCATGCGCAGCCCCGCATTCAGCCCGACAGCAGAGATCCCCGGCGGCTGGCTGCTCGAATGTGTGCAGGTCAGCGCTGTGTGCCGTGTCATTGTGCCGTGTGGGGCTGGTGGGGACCTCAGGCCGCAGGTTCACCCGCTGTAGTTTCTGGAGCTTCATGCACGTGCAGGCCACTACTGAATCCGCCAGCAGGGACGAATGGCCGTTGCCTCGCTGGCTGCCGCGCCGGTGAAGGCAATGGCGTCTGGAAGGCCTTCAGCGTGCCTTCACGAAGAGCTCATGACAGTGAAGGTCAGAAGAATGATGGATAGATCTCGATACTGCTGACAGATCTCGAGCAATGGCTTGTGCTCCTCCGCGCCTTTCGCCGCTCCACTCCCCTTCGCGGCATAACTCGCAGTCGGTCGAGGCGATTTTTTTTGCTTGGAGCCGTCCCAGCACACCTACCGACCCTCCTGCACCCCTCCCGTCCGCTCCTTCGTCGGCAGGTCCATCGGCGCATTCCCACCATTTGCCACACTCGCCGATTGCTGCCCTTCGTCATGGTGAGCCCGGCTTCGCTCAAGGACGAGTTCGCTGCCATCAAGGCTGCGGTGGGCGACAAGCACGACAACTGCGGGGCGTACTGCAAGAAGATCAAGGTCAAGAAGTCCCTCAAGCAGATCTGGACCCTCAACAAGGACGCCGCCCGCTCGGAGGCCAAGTTCTACGGCGACGCCGACTGCAGTGTGCGTCGGATCGGCAAGGACGAGTTCGCCGCCCTGGAGGACCTCACCAAGGACACCCTCACCTCCTTCGGCGTCCATGCGCTGTTCGCCGAGCTCGACGATGACGAGGAGGGCTGGGACGACAGCGAGGCGGCCGAGTTCGACGGCGCCTCCACACACGACACGGTCCGCCAGCTGCTCGACAGCATGTGTGAGGAGCCGTCCGACGAGCTCATCGGCCGCATGACGGGCGGGGCGGGTCCGGACAGCTTCACGGCGGTGGCGACGGTGTACGACGACGGCAACACACGCGTGGGGGTGGCCGAGACGGCCGACCACTTCTACTGCATCCGATTCGACACATCTTAGACAGACGCACAGACAGACAGACAGGCAGACAGACGCAGACGGACGGACGGACGGACGGAAGGACGGACGGACAGATATACAGAAATGGATGCTCTGGCTGCTTTGGGTGGGCTGGGTCTTAGTCGATGTGGCTGGTTAGTGAGTAGGTAGGTCATCGCTCGTTTTGGCTCCTGGTGGGTGACCATGAGTAGCGAGCCAGGGAGGCGGCACACCACAGCACACCACAGCACAGCACACCACGGACGTGCGTAATTTTCCAATAATCTGGCTGTCTACGTGTCTGTGCGGCTGGCCGTAGCTTGAGTAGACGAGGCCGTCGAGGCGGCCCTGGTTTTTCGCGTGTGTGCATAGCTAGGTGCGATGTGGCTTTTCTGGACAAAGTGAGCGGTTTCGGCAAGTGGTTGCGGGCAATGAGTGAGACTTGCCCTTGTTCTTGTGCGGCTCTCTTGTCGTGGCCAGCACAGCCGCGGGGAGAGGGACGGAGGAGAAGTAGGCAGGGTCACACGACGTGCCCAAACCGCTGATGCCGCTAATGCTTGCTTTTGGAAAGTAGTTGAGAGAGACAGACGTCTTGTGTGTGTAAAGATGCGACCGACCCTTTCTCCTTCTGTAGCTAGATGTACGTGTCGCCGTGCTTCACACTGTCCACGTGGATCTGTGTCGACGCATCGAATATTGATGGACAGTGCCACGAATCAACAGTCCAGGGGGGCGCTAGGTTTCAAACCTCAGGGTTTCATACCCTTAACCCCAGAACCCTGTTCTTCTCCTCCGCCGTCCACCCCTACACTGCCTGCGAGTGGAAAGCCCTTTCTCTCTCCCGATGCCGAACTGATTTAGAGCAATTTGCTCTTGCAATGGAGCCTTCGAGTCAGTACGAGTCTCTGCGTCCGTCCATCCCCGAACCCTCGACGGGCGCAGAGGTCGTGCCGCTCCTCGACGCGCTCAGGACGAGAGACGATGCCTACCAGGACCTCCAGCGGCTGCAGCAGGAGGCCAGGAAGCAACTGGAGGACGACAGGAGGAATGAAGCCGACGCATTACAGAGGGTGAGTTTGGGGGATGGGATGAGAAAGGGCTCCCAATGGATGCATGCCGCTCTGCCGGTGACGCTGTGTGTGTTGTCTGCTCTGCAGAGCCGGCAGCACTTTGCCGAGGGCGTGAGGCACCATGCGGGGCTGCTGGACAACCAGGTCAGTCATCCATCAGTGTCACTTGGTGTGTATTGTTGTGTGGTGTGGTGTGTGATGCATCCATCATTCAATTCAGGAGTTGGCGAGTCAGTATGCCGTAAAGGAGCTGGAGATGCAGAACACCAAACTGCTCGAGCAGCTCACTGTCAGCTGACAAAGCATGCACACCATGAATGCCTCTCAATCATCACACACACGCGCACCATGCATTGATTGACTGACAGGCTGCCCAGACGAAGGAAGGCCTCTCCCAGGCCAACAACCAGCTCCTCACGTAGGCGGCAACACATCAACACGCGTGTGTGAATGCGGTGTGATGTGATGTGTGGTCCCGTCCCTCTCTCACTGCCTGGCTGCAATCAGTGACGAGAACCGCCGTTTGGCGCTGCACGCTGTCCGCGGGACGGCGCTGGCCGACAACCTCCACACCAACCTGCACGTCACCTGCCTCGCATGCCATAGCCTGCAGGAAGATCTCAGGGTACCCCCTGCACCCCCACCACACACACACACTCTCACCACACACAGGTGAATGTGTGTATGTATGTGTATGTGTATGTGTGTGTGTTAGGTGTCAGATCGCATTCGTTCTAGCATGAGTGAGCAGCTGAAGGGTCAGCAGGATGCCGTCGCCAAGCTGCAGGAGGAGAAGGCCCGGCTGCTCCTCGACGAGCGCCTGGCGCGGGATAGGGAGCAGGCCAGGTATGACAAGCTGCGAAGCGAGATCGACGCACTGCACAGACAGATCAACCAACTCAATAAGGTAGGTGAGAGTGAGACCCACTCGAGGAGAAATGGAGAGGAGCATGCCTCAAGTGGATACGTGTCTGCAGGATTTGGAGGCGTCAAGGCAGCAGCGGCTGTCTTTGCAGGACAAGCTCAGCAGCACGGAAGCCGACAAGGCCAAAGTGTAAGTCACCACACGCACACACACAGACACACAGACAGACAGACAGACAGACAGAGAGCAAGCGCACCATCCACGCGGCTCATCTCTTGTCTGTCCGCCTGTGTTGTCTGGGCTGCAGTGAGGCTGAGTTGGATGGCGAGAAGCGCCGTGGTCAGCAGCTGAGGATGGACAAGGACCAAATGGAGAGGGAACTCAGAGCAGAAATCGCCATCAAACACACCGACGTACGCCACCCCACCACAGCAACCAACAGCACCCTCTCACCATTACGCCCCTCCCTCTGTCTGTCTGTGTGAGCACAGGTGGCGCGTTACCAGGAGTTGTCGCGCAGTTACCAGGAGCAGCTTGAGCAGCGCCTCACGATCGAGTGGCAGCTGAGGGCGGAGATACACGAGCTCAAAGCCAAAGTCGAGGAACTCCGCACAGACAAGTGACTACACAGCAAGTACCCCAGACTCACGCAACCACCTTTGTGTGTGTGTGTGTGTGCGTGTGTGTGTGTGCAGGGAAGCGTTGGAAAAGGCCCTGGGTCGCAAGGAGTGCGACCTCAAGTGTGCGCTTGACGAGATAGAGCGGCTCAAGGCGCTTCTCGGCCAGCAGAAGCAGCCCATCGTCATCAAGGCCCCCGAGGTGCAGACCGACACACGTGTCAGCACCGTCAAGACCACCATCAACACGTACGCACACGCAACCTTGGATGCCTGGAGGAAGGAAGGAAGCACCAAGTGTGTTGTGTGGCGGGTTGGGATTTGCAGGCAAGAGGGCGACATCGGTGCTCGTCAGGCCGAGTTGGATTTGTTGAGGGCCCAGTTGAAGGCCAAGGACGATGAGCTGCAGCGGCTGGTGCAGGAAACAAACGCCAAACAGGTGTGTTGGGATGTGGTTGATCGATGGTGAGGCCCTGGCCGCCCATTCTGTTGTGTGTGTGCAGATGCGGCTGTTGGCGCTCATCGGCACGCGTCAGAGTGAGCTATCCCAGTGCCGCCAAATGGTCATGAGCAAAGCATTCCAAAAGTGAGACAGCATGAGAGCACACAACACGTGACACGCCATTTCCGTCACCCCACCCTCTGTCTTTCCGCGCCTACCTGTGTGCAGCTGGCGTGCGACCACCGAGCCGTCCCCTCCAGCCCCTCCCCCTGCCCGCCCCACGACGCCCCCGGCAGCCCCTCTCCCCGCCACACGCCCCCAGCACACGTCTACCGCAGACCTCCCTCGCACACCCACGGGCGCACGACACACACAAACGTCACCAAAGGCACCCCCACCACCACCAGTCCAGCAGCAGCGGCTGGAGGCCCCTTCGCGCAGTGTCGTCACGGCAGAGGAGATGGGCGCCATCGTCGGCAGGACGGTCGACCGATACGACCGTGCACTGCGCGAGAGGCGTGTGGCGGCGCGGTGGCTGCGGCTGGCGTGGCGTGGGATGCGGCGGCGGTGGGAGGCCCTCATGGCGGGGGAGGTGCTGCGTGAGCAGGAGGTCGAGGCGCGGATGTTTCTCAGGGGGGGAGAGGGAGAGGGGGTGGGTGATGAGTTTGCTGCGGCGAGGCAGGCGGTGCAGCGGCTGTGTGTGGAGCTGCGATACCGGATTACCAAGTATTTCCTGCACTTCTATCGCGATGACGGGGAATCCATAGACATCTCACAGGTACAGACAGACACACAGACAAGCGGCCAAAATGCTCACGTGACGTGGTAAGTGTGTGTCTTGCCTGTCAGCTGCCTGGAGCGATAGAGGGCAACACCGCCCTGTTGTGCGAGTCGATGAAGCTCACCCGGCAGCACTTCGGCCGCCTATTCCACGCCCTCCTCTTCACCTACCAGAAGCTGCGCCTCCTCGGCGGAGAGCTCTCCCTGCCCGAATCAGACCACCACCCAGCAATCACAGCAGACGAGAGCACCGCCACAGCAACCGTGGAGTCGGCCGCACACCGCCTGGTGCGCAATCTGCTGGCGGGTCGTCATGGCGTGGGTGTGGTGGCTGTGGAGGGGCCCGACGGGCCGGTGCCCTTCTACTTGTGGGAGAGGCGACTCAGGCAGGCTGTCGGGGCCGTCAGGGGCGCCAAGTGGCCACAGCCGCCAGCAAAGGAGGACAGAGGGGTGGCGGCCAAGGCAAAGGCAAAGGCGAAGACCACTGGGAGTCCTCCCAAACCCAAGACAATCAGGTACACACACAGACGGGGGGAGATGGCCACATCGCTGTGGATGGATGGATGCGTGGCTGTGTTGATGTACTGTGTGTCCCGCTGAACAGTCCTCCCAAGTCGCCCCAAGCTGCCCACCCCGGCCCGCTGCCGGCGTTGCGCGTGCCGTACTCGTGTCGAGCGGTGCACCAGTGGGTGGAGCAGTGCGCACAGCGACTCGACAACACACTCCCCTACACCGCTGACGAGGCAAGAGACAGCCAGCAACCAATGCAACCAAACAACTTTCACTCTTCATTCACTGCAATGCGTTGCGTGTTGTGTGGCGTGTGTCAACCAACGTGTGTGTCAGGTTCCCCGTTTCTGCGGGGATGTGCTGAAGGTGCGTGTGGCGTCTGGTCTGACTGAGGATGAGGGCGGCGACACGAGGGCGCGGGAGCTTCTGGAGACGCTCTTCTGCGACGCGCTCACCATCTACATGAGCAAGTGGCGGGCAGGGGGTGGGGGCAGGGGGGCAGACAGACAGCAGCAGAGGGATGACTGAGTGAGTGAATGAGCAATGGATGGATGGATGGAGGATTGTGGGTGTGGCAGGGCAGAGGGACTCAGTGGGTGAAGGATATATATTGGATTCACAGACACATTTGTGAATGCGCACATCGGTGTGAAGCTTCCCGCTGCTTGGCTGTGGGTCAATATGAGTTCGATTCGACCAGACAGACAGACAAAGGCAGAGAGGGGCCAACCGTCATGGGCACACGCACGCACGCACGGGCGGACGGACAAAACTCCTGTACTAATAAACCTAGCTACATGTGTATCTGTCCCGTAGGTCCAAATTAGACATCCCCACCATCCATCCATCCATCCATCTCTGTCTCTGTCGCTGTCCTTCATCGCCTTTGTGCTGGCGGTGTGGTCTGGGGCCATGAAGGCACCTCACAAACTCTCATAGAACGGTCCTAAATTTCACACGTGCGTCAGACAAACAGACAGACAAACACGCACATACGCATAGTCTGGTAGGCAGGCAGGCAGAATTGAAACACAACCAGCCGCCCGCACGTGTCCACGTGTGTCGCGTGTCCCGCCCGCTGGTAAACACACAGATGGAATGAACGTGACGCAACCACAATTAAGGCAAGGCAAGGCAAGGCATGCAGCCTGCCGAGAGACGACAACCAAATACACATGCAGACACTGGCTGGCTGGATCGATCACCGCTACACATCACATGTCGTCGCATCAATCAACTGACAAATCATCCACCAGCACTCATTCACTCACTGACAACTAACCACAACCCATTCTCGCGCGCGCTGCGTCGTTGGACAGATGAGACAACGGCCTGCTCAATCCCCTTGTCAGTCAGTCAGCAAAGAGCCGCTTAGCAAAGAGCCGCTTAGCTGACTCTTTGTGAGGGGTGTGATAGGTCGACCACACCCGTCTTGCTGATCCAGTAGTTGAGGAACAGCAGGGCTCTTGACGTGTGGTAGCTGCTCTTCCACTCGTGCGACAGGCGCTTCTTGTCCAGCACCACCTTGCCGGTCTCGTCGGTCTCCTCCCACCACTCGCCCACCGTCTCGCTCACTCTCTGGTACTTTTCGATGTACTCGACCATGCCCAGCAGCCGCCTCAGGTGCTCGACATCGCCCGTCTCGACGTACATGTTCCAGAGGCCCGGGAGCGCCTCGGCCTGCACCCACCAGATCTTGGTGGTGTCCTTCTGCGCAGGGTTGGCGATGACAAAGGTGTTGTAGAAGCCGCCTCTCTCGGCGTCGTAGGCCTCTTTGCTGTGGTACTCCCCGACTTTAAGGAGGGCTTCCCTGAGGCCCTCGTACTCTCTGTGGATGAGGCGGGCGCTGTCGAGCAAGAGGCAGGAGACCTCGAAGCAGTGCCCGTAGACGCCGTAGGTGTTGGAACTGGCGGGGGTCCAGTCGTCGTTCATGTACTCGATGCCTGCACCATTGGCAGAACACATACCAAACACACACGAGCGGACAAGTGGTCATCCTGTGTGTCTTACAGTACTCGCCCGCGAGAATATGGTCCAAGTGGATGGCATAAAGCTCGTCGACCGAGGCCAAAACGTCCGCGTCTCCCGTGAGCACATAGAGCTGCGCGAAAGCCTCAAGTAGGTGTAAGTGGGTGTCGAGGCCCTTACACCGCCCACACATAGTGTCCTTGTAGCCGCCATGTGTGGGCTCCGCGAATTCGGTCCTCAGGGTGCGGTAGACGGCCATGGCGAGCGTCTCGGCCTGCTCTGCAAGATCGCTGAATCGGAGCTTGAAGGCCATGGCAAACGCTGAGAGGCCATAAATCGCAAAGGCATTCTCGTAGACCTTCTTTGCCGGGCTGACAGGGTTGCCATCTGCAGACATCTGCAGGTCGACCCACACAACAGGAAGGGCAAGTGCATGGCGTGTGCTTCTGGGAGGTGGGCGTCAAGCGACATGCCCGCACCATTTAGTTGAAGAATTTGGCGTCATCGTCCCAAAAACTGTCGCGCATAAACTCCATCTGCCGCTTCATCAGATTGGCCACCTCGTCGGTCCGCCTCTCCGCCCTCATCGCGTACGCCGTCGAGAAAGTCCAAAGGTGCCTGGCCTGCTGCTGCAGATACTTGTTGCTGTTCTCCTTGCCAACGCCGTTCTCGTCGATCTCTCCGTAGAAGCTGCCCGGTTTGTCTATCGGTCCGTCCGGCCCAAACTGGAGCCAGAAGTCGAGCAGCTCGTTTTCCATGTCCACTGTCTTGTTGTATATCGCCCGGATCAGGTCGATGGCAGCGTCGGTGGTGTTGGCGCCGGGCAGCTGGGCGCAGGCGGGCGAGAGGAGGAGGAGGAGCAGCAGGACGACGGCGGCGAACGAGAGGGCCATCAATATGCGCCACAAGGAAACCCTACTATACCTCACAAATAATCACGCTGGAATGCTGCGGCTGCTGGTAGACGGGATATGTGCGGAAGACAAAGGACAGCTCTCTCCATCCAGCCGCTCTCGAGAAGGATTCCGCGAGATAGACACCTCCCTTCAGATTATTGAATACTATTTCGGCCGCTGCAACCTGTAAATCTGTAGTGACAGAGATGATATTTGCTGACAGACAGGTGCATCCCACTCCACACGCCTTGATGGTCTGTCTTAAGCTGGTGTGTCACGGTCCGCACAGCATCCATCCCCACTGCTCTGACGAGACACACCTCCACCTATCGACCAGCGGAGGTGTGTCGCCATCTCGAGAGATCGGGACGCATGCGTGTGCGGACAGACCGACAGACACACACACACCGAAAGGCCCGCCCGCACACCCACCTCAAATATCTACCTCAGCTTACAATACACACTCCCAGATGCCGACCGAGGCACACGACAGGACACAACCAACCAACCAGAAAGAAGAGGGCCCACAATGAGAAATTCGACAAATAGGCCACACCACATATCTCTCCGCTCGCTCCACGTCACTCACGTCACGGGAGGTGCTCGACAAGCTTGCTGGGCGTGTGCTGGTCGTCTACACCGATCCCCCCAGCGCCAGGCAGCGTAAGGGACGACTGCCGCAGCCCGGAGCCGGCTTGGCGAGCCACCACAGGGGCGGATGGGCCGGCCGGGAGACCTACCACCTCCTTGACCGTGTCATCGATCTCCTCGCCGAGTGCGCGTGATGAGAGGCTGTTCATGGCCTCCTCTATCGACTTGCCCTCATAGAGCACCTGCGTATGGGTGGATGGATGGATGATGGGTGAGTTGGTGTGCGCTAGTACCTTGTAGACTTCTTCAGCGATGGGCATTTCGATGTTGTACTTCTTCACCATCTGCATCAGCGACTTGGCCGTGTTGACGCCCTCGGCCACCTGACACACACACACCATGAACGGTATGGGGGGGCATGGCACACACACACACACACATACAGAGAGAGAGAGAGAGAGAGATGCCCCGTGTGTCCCGTTTGTTTCTCTTTGCTGCTGGCCTGCCCGGCTGTGTAAGGGTTAGTTACTTACCATCTTCATGGACTTGATGACGTCCTCCAGCTTCTCCCCCTGGGCAAGCCGATTGCCCACCTAACACACGCAACACAAACACGTGTGACTGACATGGCTTCCGCCCCTCCCTCCTAGTACCCTCTCTCTCTCTTTCTCACCTGCCAGTTCCTCGATAGGTTGCCCGTGCAGGTGAGCACCAGGTCGCCGACGCCGGCCAGGCCGCTGATGGTCAGGGGATTTGCCCCCTTGATCACCGCCAGACGCGCTATCTCCGCCAGCCCGCGGGTGATCATCGCCGCACGACCGTCGAAGCCGAAGTCACACCCGTCACACGCACCGGCTGCTATCGCTACAAAACACACACACACACGCGCCCACACAGGAATGGGATGTGCTCATTCATCATGCTAGCAGCAGGCAGGCGCTCTCTGCGCACCGTATACGTTCTTGATGGCGCCGCAGATTTCGACGCCGATGACGTCTGTGGACCTGTATGCTCGGAAGAGCTTGTCTGACACGTAGTACTGCGCCAGCTTGGCGATGGCGGGGTCGCGGGCGGCGATGGTGACGCTGGTCGGCTTGCCGTTGATGACCTCCTTGGCGAAGGAGGGGCCGGACAGCACCACGATGTAGCGGTGATACTTGCCCGGCAGCTCATACTCCATTATCTCAAACGGGGTCAACAGCCTGATACCATCAACCACACACACACAAACACACACAACGCAATGACGCGGTCCTCTCTGTTTCCGCTGTGTGTGAGTAGATCGATGGCAGATGCTTACGTGTCGTTCTCAATGCCCTTTGAGCAGCATATGAGCGGCACACCGACAGGCAGGACACTCATGTGCTCCAAAAGGAAGCCCCTGAAGTAGGCCGTCGGCACAGCCAGCAGCACCACCGCCACGCCGCTCACAGCCTCCGCCACCGAGCTGGTGGCCTTGATCTTCTCGCTCAGGTTCTGACCCGCCAGGTACTTGGGGTTCTCATGCCGCTCGTTGATGGACTCTATCACGGCCTTGTCGCGCATCCACAGCCGCACCTGAGTGCCCTGCCGGGCGAGCAGCTGCGACAAAGCTGTCCCGAACGAGCCGCCTCCCAGAACGGCTGCGCATCGTGTGGTGAGGGCGGCGGGGTGGGGCGGCAGTGAGGCAGCCTCCTCCTTGGTGGTGCCTGAGGCTGGGCCGTTACCTCTCGATGAATCTGCGGCGCTGGACATGATGAGGACGACCAGCAATCACACCAAACGAAGGAAACCAGAAAGGGAAAGGTTCAGAGAGAGCGACCCTGCGAGCTCAGCTGCGAGAGGAGGCGAAACAAAAAGGAAAACGGGACCGCCACACGGCACTCAGCTGACATCATGACGTAGCTGACGGCAGATCCCGTCAACCAGAGAACCGAAGAATGCAACTCGGCGGTGGTTTGTCTGCCTCGCTGGCGCGAAGCGCCTCAGCGGGACGGCAGGCGGCACACGCCACCCCATCGGCACCCACAGCGGCGTTACGAGGCCGGTCTGTCGGCTCTGTCGTTCTCAACTCATGCGGCTCGATGATGACGGCCTCGAGAGGGCTCTGCCGACGACAGCAGCAGGCGCAATGGCCGTGTTTCCACCCCAGGGGCTCTCGCTCGGCCGCCCCGTCCTCCCTTGCCACCTTCACTCGAGTGCTGATCTCCTCCCCCTCTGGACCGATGCCGGCCTCTTACCGCTCGTTTGTGACGGCCAGCCGTCCGCTGCTGCAGTCGCCATACTCGGCATCGTCTCCGCTTCTGCGTGAGCGTGACGGCGGGGAGCGGCTGATGCAGCGTATCAAGCGGTTGAGGCTGTTCAAGCGCAAGCACAACACGCCGGTGCCCTTTGTGTTGGTGACGATCATGCTGTCCTCGGCGGGGATGACTATGGCCTTCACGCCCCTCTACGACCTATTCTGCCAGACCACCGGCTACGACGGCACCACACAAGTCCACAAGGATTACGCACCGCCGCCAAACCCAACATGTGTGTAACCACACACGCGCACACACATCGATGCGGAAGGCAGGCAGGCAGGCAGGCAGCTTATGTATGTGTGCGTGTGCGCGTGTGTGTGCGTGTGTGTGTGTATGGTCCCCCCACCCACCAGCCAAGGCGTCCAAGAAGCTGCTGACTGTGGACTTTGTGGCGACGCTGGGCGGCGATTTCCCGTGGGAGTTCAAACCCTGCCAGAAGCGGATTGTCGTCACGCCGGGCGAGACGGCCCTGGCATTCTTCAAGGCCAAAAACCTCACCAACGAACCACTCATCGGTCGGTACGAGAGCAACAGACAGACAGGGGGGGAGGGAGGGAGGGAGGGAGGGAGCTGGATGGATGGATGGATGGCCGGTGTGTGTGTGTGTGTGTGTGTAGGCATGTCGCTGTATAGCTGCATGCCGCCCGAGATTGGCATCTACTTCAACAAAATCCAGTGCTTCTGCTTTGAGGAACAGCTGCTCAACCCAGGTACGGTACCCAAACCACACACACACACACACAAACACACACACACACACACAGAGAGAGAGAGAGAGAGAGATGTGTGTGGGACCAGGTGAGGAGATCGACATGCCGGTGTTTTTCTTCATCGACCCCGAGATCATGGAGGACCCTCGGCTTGACGTGGTCGAGAACATCACCCTCAGCTACATCTTCTACAGCTCCGAGTCGGAAGTGCCGCCCGAATACGCACACCTGCAGCTCGGTGAGGCAGTGAGTGAGTGAGCCATCCAGGCCAGGCAGCATATACACGGTGCAACACACAGCACAGCCACACACAATACCGCAGCTGTAATGTCTGTGCTGTATTGTGTGTGGTTGGCTGCAGCCCAGCGGACTGACAAGGTGCCGCTCACGCCAGAGGTGGAAGTGTAACAAAATGAATGGCTGACTGTCCGGTTGGGAGCGATTTGCCGGCAATGAACTCATTTGGTGCAGTGAAGTCAGCGACGATTGATGTATTACTGTGTGTATGTGTGTGTGCGGCGGTCATCGGTGTGTGTATGTGTGTGGATGAGATGAGATGAGGCAGAGAGATAAGAGGCTCGATTTGCCTTGAGTGTAGTCGTGTGTGTGAGTGGTGGCTGTCAGTCGACTCGGACTACGAAACCTCAATGCACCAGAGGATCAGAGCATTTGTTTGTACGTCAGTGTTGATGTCATGCAAAGGGCGTGTTTGGCTGGTGCTGTCCCTCAACGGCGCGGCGCACAGGGATACTGTCCCCTCGACGGTGAGCAACACCTCCTCTCGATGGAGAGATCGACAAGAGGTAGTCCTCACAGTGGAAGGAAGAATGCCCCTGTGCAACCACAGCCCCCGCATCGACCGGACCCATCAACATGGCTAGGCCACATAAGACGAACCGAAAAAGGCATGCACAAGAGTCCGCCAGCAACAGGCGCTTGGCTGACCAGCGCGACAACCAAAAAGCCCTTGTGTTCAGACAGACACGCCATCCTCTCGACCCGCTCCGCTCAGCCTCCGTCAGGCGTATGTTCATCATCCCGCTGCCTCAGATACCCCTGCACACGCGCCCGCAGACACCGCTCCTCCCCATTCGGCCGATGCAAAAAGATCTCCACACTCGAAAACCGCGGCCGCCTCTCCACATCTCCCGTCACGACGTGCGTCCACATCAGCTGGACTTGCTGAACGCCCCTGCAGATGGCCGCCCGCATGTGCACAACGACAGGCGTGAGAGCGGAGATGGCCCTGACGGCTCGCGAGATGGCCACGTACGCGACAAGGGTCAGCAGCGCCATGTCGAATGCATCGAGGCGGCTGCAGGATCTGTTGACGAACCATCGAACAAGAGCGACGAGCTCCCCGAGATCTCTGTGCAGGATGCCGCGGGTGGAGAGGCCGTACTTGCGGCGCCGTAGATACTCGCAGGCGTACAGCCACAAGGCGACGCCGAGGACGCGGCGCAAGAGATAGCGAGATGAGAGATGGGGTAGCAGGGTGGGACGAGAACCATTTTGCTTCGCTGGTGCTGGGCTGCAGTTCACCGACGAGATATGCATGACAGGGAGGCCATCATCTAGTCAAGGGGCTCCACCCATTCATCATTGTTTCACGGCACCTGTAAACATTCACTCTGTGAATGGAAATGACGGCAGAGAAGGTTGCTGACGAGGTGGTGGAGCTGCTCAGATCCAAGCCGCCCAGGCCGCCGCCTGGCCGTCATCCTGACGCTGTGAGTGAGCCTGCAGTGAATTGAGGATGCGTCCACCTAGCTGTGGTGGTTGCCTGTGCTGTGCCGCACTGCAGGCGATGTTGCATGCGCATCACCTGTCGAATCGCATGGATGTCTTCGAGGCCACCCTGACCAACATGCAGTACAACAACATCCACACACACAAACAGGTCGGCCACACAACGGGGCAGGCCCTGGGGCGGATGGAATGAATGGATGGATGGACCATGGCCGTTTTGTGCAGGAAGTGGCAGCACTGAGAAGTCGTGTTGAGGAGCTGGAGCAGCAGCTGGCCCGCGTGCAAAGAAGCGACGAAACCACCCCACCCACATACACAGCAGACACAGAGGTACCTACCTGCACGTACAGCACCACATGGCCGACCATTCTCTCTTGCACCTTTCGTTGCATGACGGACATTGTGCCTGCAGGCCTACTCGTGTATCGATAGCCGTGTGACAGACCTGGTGGCCCGTCTGGCCGCCCTCCAAGACAAACAAAACGAGATCGATAAGGTGCGGAACACATGAATTCTCTCTCTGTCTCTCTCTCTGTGAGCGTGTCTCTCTGTCAGGTTTTGAGTGACATCCGTGAGCAGCAGCATTGCCAGCAGGCGGAGAGCAGTGCCATCCGCGCGCTCCTGCAGCTCATCATCGACATCACACCACCCAACACACACAACCATCACCACCAGCAGCAACAGCATCAGCAGGAGCCCGCGAGGGCCCCCTCGCCCTCAGCGTCATGCCACGCCAGTTCCGTCGTGTCGTCTGTGCATTCTTCTGACGTTATTGACCGGCCGGCCCCTCCACCCCTTCCTCCCCCTCCCCCTCCACCGCCCCCTCCGCCCCCTCCCACCCCACCACCGGCAGCCAAATCATCGTCTGCAGGTGACGTCCACATCGGTCGGCCTTTGCTCGGCAGGGGGAGTGGTCTGGGAAGGGGTCTCGGCATCCCAACACATCAGCAATGTACACCGACTGCATCGTTTCCCAGCCAGTCCGGGTGCGTACGTCCTCTCAGATAAGATGGAGACGGGTGATTGTTTCTCTGTTTGTTTTGATTGCAGATGGCTGACTTCGGTCGCTTCGATGGTTGACGGCTCATGTGGTGGGGCAGAGCAGCAGCCTCCGAGTATGGGCGTGGTGGGTGTCAAGGGCATACTGACGCAGTGGGTGGAGGGGCAGATGGGCGTCAAAGGCACGCTGAAGACGCTATACAAGTGAATGAGTGGGAGGACGGAAGGGTAGTCAATGTGTGGGCGTATTTCATGTGTGTATGGATGCCATGCCTCTCGTGTTTTCTGCCCCTCATCTCATCAGGGGTTCCAATGACAACTTCGCCTTCTCAAACATGGCTGGCGGGCCCGGTGGCGTTGTGTGGTGTGGGGCGCGAGACCGGTTTCCTGTTCTGTGTGTCTCTTGGCGTCCCTTCCCCTTCCCTATGCAGGCCACTTCGCCCCGTCTGCCCTCACACAGCCGCTGGTGCTGCTCCTCACACTCGAGACCGACCTCTACCACCTCGCCGCCCTCATCCACCCGACCCCCACGCAAACAGACACAGACACACACTCAGGCGGCCAATCCGCCGTCATGGTGACATTCAGCCACATCCAGCCGGCGATGGATGTGACGACCCTCGACACGGCGACATACCCCATTGCGGTGTGTGGTGCTGGGGGGCCGCTGCGTGTGGGTGATGCCTTGGAGGTGGGTCAAGGTGGCGACGTGCGGGCTGTGCGGTTTGAGGTGGCCTGGGGTGAGGAGAGGGGCGTCAAGGGGTGGGTGATGGCGGAGGATGTGGAGGTATTTCAGCACGTGGTAACACAGGATTTGTGACCGACTGACTAACGGCGTGTGCATTGCATTGCGTGTGGACGGACGGATTGGATGCCTGTGTGTTGTTGACAAATCGTTCACGAAACACTCACTTGTTTATCTATCGAGTGCATCCATCACGCGCTGTCCACTCAATAAACAAACACCACCGACAAACAAAACGGACACCGGCACACTTGCTACCCCCTACTCAATGAGTCTGATCTTCCCTCCCTCCTCGAGAAGAGCCCAATTACAGCCTTGGCCACATGGTGCGCATCTGTGGGCTCTGCCGCCCGCCGCCTGCCCTCCTCAACTTGCTCAGGGGTCGCCTTGCCGACCTTGACGTAGTACTCAAATATGACGTCCAGACAGCCCTTCCCTGATCCACCGACACGCACACACACACACACACATATGGAACACCAAAACAATCGCCTTTCCCACGTCGGCTCCTCTGTGTGGTGTGCAGGTACGTACCTGTCTTGGTGTTGAATTCTGGATGGCCCTGCACTGTGATAGCGAAGGGCGGGCTCCCATAGGCCACTCCTATAACCGGACAGGCCTCCGTCCCTCCCAGCGACACGCCAACACTGGGCGCCTCCACGACGACATCGTCATGGGAATACAGCAGGCTGATCTCGCCACCTGACGCATTATCCTTCACAAGAGGAAGAGGGAGGGCGGCCGGGGCGGTGTTAATGAGGGGGGTGGTGATTCGTGAGAACTGCGTGCCCATTGGATTCTTCTTCACTCGGCCGCCGAGGGCCTGGGCGGCCAGCTGGTGGCCGAAGCACACACCAAGGAATGGGGTGCGGTCGGCGTGGAGCTTCTGTATCTGCAGCAAGGGAGGGGGATGCAGCGCGGTGGACGGACAACACACCACACAGATCAACCATCCACTCGGCTGTGTGTCGTTCTGTCTGTGTGTGTGATGTGTGGAGTGGCTCACTCACCACACGAGCCAGCTCTTCTATCCACGGCTCCTTATCGTAGGCGCTGTTCAACGAGCCGGGGATAATGAAGCCTGACACAGACACACGCACACACACACACACACGCACGTACCACAGTCCTTTTTGTCACATGGGCTGGTACCATCGTATTGCTGCCACGTGTGCTGCGCGGGCCACTCCATCTTCTTGGCGTCAAAGGCGTCCATGCAGAGGATTGTTGAGCCATCCATGGCATCCTCCAGCCACTCCCGAAACATATCCACGATGTGCACACCATAGACCTGCACCAAAGGATGCATTTCTCCTGCATGATCTCTGTCATGCATCGGCAGATGCTGCTCACCTGGTCATCCTCGGTGACGAGCAGCGCCACCCTGAGCCTCGGCTTGTCCACCACAGCCTTCTCCATGTGCAGATAAACGCCTCAAAATGTCAACAGATCAACACAAGACCATTCAACGTGAACAGATGCGCAAGCCGCACCAGCAGGGCCCCTTGGACTTCGTTGTTCAGCCCCTTTTCTTTCGAATTCGACCCAAAGCTTGCAACCAGCGCCTGGGAAGCGAAGGAAAAGGAGGAAGAGCAGCCCTCAGTCGCTCAGTGAAGCTGACTGAGGCACTGCTCCTGTTTTTCCAAGAAACCAATCACACGACAGTCCCAAAGGCAAGAAGCAAACACACAACTATGACCCACCTGAAAGGAAGACAGTCATCACATCACAGGCGTCTGTCTGTGTGTTTCAGGCAGACAGCGAGGCACCAGATGGGACTCCATTGGAAGCCTCGCGGATGGGGCGAGATCGCCGTGTCCGCGAGGGTGTTCATGTGTCTCTTCCCGGCCGTCCTCGTGGGCATTGTCTGGTCCGCCAAGCGAAGGCGGCGCCTACAGTGGGGCCTATCGCGCCTCATTCTCACCGGCCGGCCGGGCGGCCTCAAGGACCCCTTTCTCTTCTCGCCCTTCATCCAGCCGCACCACCTGCTGGTGCTGCGGGCCTTCACGCTCGTCTGGACGGTCAACGTCTGGTGCGTCATGTTCTCCCGCACACCACGGTTCGTGCCGCCCTTCCCTCTGTGGTCGTTCTACACCATCTGGACCTATGGCTTCCTGACGGTCATGACGGCCATGTTGACCCTCTACTCGCTGCTGCGGGTGGTCTGCCGGATGGCCCTCCGAGGCGCCTTCTGGAAGTGGTATCGGGTGATGCTCTGGATCATCTACCAGAAGCAGATGGCGGCAGCGGCGGTCGTTGCAGTTGTTTTCTGGGTACGTCAAGACGCACATCACATGGAGGGTGGCTGTGTGGCCCTGACGTAGGTGACGTGACTTGTCTGTGTCTGTCTGTCTGTCTGTCTGTGCGTGTGTGCGGTCGGTGTGTCAGACGTACATTTATCCGTTGAGCAGTCCGAGTGAGCGTCAGGAGTGGCTGGGGTTCCCCTCACTCAACCAGCACGGCCTCAACGTGGTCTTCCTCATGGCGGAGCTCCTGTGCAGCCGCGTGCCCATCCTCATGACCCACGTCTGGGCGACCATGTCGGTGGTGCTGCTCTATGGGTGGGCGATGATCCTGCGCTTCGGTGTCATTCCCTCGGTGCCCATCGACCTCTCAACCTCGGCGGCCACTGTGGTGCTGACGCTCATTCTCTTCAGCCATCTGGTCTTCCACGCCCTCTTTGCGGCCATCACGCGGCTGCGCGACATCGCCATTGACCCCACGTCGTTCCACTCTGCTCAGCAGAAGCTCTCGCCCTCTGTGCCCGGCTCGCCGTCCATCACGCCCTCAATGTCCTTCTACGAATATTTCACGACCCCTTATTTCTCCACAGACGTCTTCGCGGATGCCATCGACACCGAGAGCGACACCGACAGCAATGGCGGGGCTGGGATGCGGCTGAAGGTCCCGACCGACGCCAAGAAGGCCGAGCGAGCGCCGCTCTCGTCTGCGTGGAAAGAGAAGACGACTTTTTCTGCGACCATGGTCGGCTCGTAATGCATGGCTGTCGTTGTCTGTTGCGTGTTGTGTGTCTGGGTGGGGTCGGTGTTTTGTCAGGCGGTCGGTCGATGCAATGAATGTGTGTATTGGATTGGTATTATGTGGAATGGTCGGTTATTGCAACAGCCTAATGTTTATTGGTAGGCGGGGGAATTACATTGCATCGATGGATTATGGATGGTGGTAGCGCTCCGCTCTGTAGGTCTATCTATCGGCCGATCTGAGTCTGAGTGTGGCTGGCTGGCTGATGTCGTCTTGTTTTGCCACCACAAGCTCGTTGGTGAGCATGTCTGCGTGTGCAGTGGACGTGTGGTGTGGATGGACCGGATGAGCTCCGTGTGCTGCATGGAGCAGCAGACCCCATGCACACACGCATGTGCGGGTGTGGCTGGTACAGCCCAGCCAGCCACACTCAATCAATGGATTCTCGATTCGTGAAGTCAGTCAGATTCACACAAAATGGTCACTTAGTCACGGGGTCGTGTGGTGTCGTGTCGAGTCACACCCACCCAAGTCATCTCCGCCACGCCTCATCACTGCCTCGGCACCCACATGAACACAAGAATGAATGAGCCCTCTCAAAGACTCAGCTCCCCTTCTGTGCGTCCATGGCGAGAAGTGAGTTCTGTGCGTCCAGAACTGCGCTGGGCTCACAGAAATCACCGTCCGCCACCAGCCGCGAAGAAGAGAGAACCGAGAATGAGAACGTCGCAGACACAGACTTGCTTTCTCCCTCGTTTCGTCATGAACAAAGTGGTGCGTGTGATGTGTCCCGCTTCCACAGACGGTGACGGACTGCTAGCCCGATGCTGTTCCGAAAGGAGGGCAGCATCGGGCTCAGGCAGAGCCATCAGCGCCACTGGAAGCGGAACGCCAACACAACCAACACGGCAAGCAATCGGCAGTACACAACACAGAGAAACACAGGCGTCCAGCCAACTGTCTCGGGTGGTAGCCTTCGGCCCCCACAAAAAGCAAACATCGCTTGGCGTGAGATCAGACCTCGAAGCACCCCTCTGGATACTCCTCACCCCTGCACACACACACACACACACACACACACATACACACACACACGAACACAACAACAAACACAATGCCGAATCTGCTACGTGTCCCGGTCTCTTTCTGCCCGTGGCTGTGTTCACCTGCGCCTCTGAGAGGGTCCCTGCATGCCGTGGTCGTGTGGGACGAAAAATACCCTGGGGAAGAGGAACGCCATGGGGTGCCTCCGCTGCATGACCAGCTGCCCGCCGTCATCATCCAAGTCGCGGGGGGCGCTGGGCGGCGGGAAGGATGAACGGTGCTGCTGATTGGGGTACACTGAACGGACCAAGTGACAGACACGGGCATGCAATGAGTGGTGCTGTCATGTGTGATGTAGTTAGTGTCGCTTTCCGTACCACCAAAGAACGACCGCATGAAGTCGTCCACAACGCCGCGGGATGGAGGCTCCGACTGGTGCGGGGCCTGCCGAACCGACACAGATGACACACAACACATACGAGCTCATCTCATGACGCATCACTCTCTCTCGCTGTGTCTGCTTCACTTACCGCGGCCGGGTCCTCCCCCTCCCCTCCCCACCCCATGCCGCCAAATGGGAACCCAGGCACGCCACCGAGAGCATCGCCATCGTCCACTCCACCATTGCCGTCCTGATGACCGAAACCCAGGAGCCGGTCGAAGAGGGACGGGCCGAACATGCCGCCGAATATGCCGGCGTCGTCGTTGAACACACGGTTGAAGAAGCGGGAAGGGTCAGCAAACGCGTCAAAGTCCATGGCTGCCGAAGGTAAGCTGTTGTCGGACCCAAAGATGGAGAAGGATGACGGCGCATCTGACAGCGGCGCGTCGTCCCCGTCTGTCGTCTCCCTCGTGCACTCTACCTCTTCCTGAACGAGCAGAGCGCACACATGATGGCGACCCTGCTGGATTGGATGTGTCTGTGCCTGTCTTACCAGAGGCCTCCCAGGGCACCGTCTGAACACCCGCTTGATCGTCTCACACTTCCGACCGCTGCCGTCATTCCGGCTGAGAGCCAACAACACAACAGCATACAGGCCACGTGATTTGTCTCCCTGTCTGCCCTGGCTCACCACTGAGTGGATATCTGCGTCGAGTAGGTGCATCCGTCCCCCCCTCCCCCTCCGCCGCCATACTGCTGCTGGGTGGATGACGAGCTGTGCCAGTGGAAGCTCCGCTGCTGCTGGCGAGGCTTCTCGACGACAGCCTGAGGTTGCTCCTCCTGCTCCTGGGCAAGGAGCTCACCAGGATCATGCGAGTCGCCCATTCCTGACTCCTGCTTGGCCGCTAAGGGGAACTGAGGTCACTCACTTCAGAGATTCTATGAGAACGATGCAGTAAGAAAGGGAACGGTGTCTGTTGCCAATGCGAGCTCAAAGCTTCCGTCCTGTCCTGGGGCCGCAGCAGCTGCAGCCATGGCGCTCCCTTGCGCCGTCGAAGGGGGAGAAGGAAGACACAGACACACTCCGGTGGGCATTCCTTCTCCTTTGCTTTGTGTCTGCGCATGCTTGTGCAGGTTCTGCAGAAGTTTCAGCTGTACTCGGCGCATCGGAGTCCCCGGAAGGCGGTGGACGACCCGCTTCCGCACCGCCACTCACCAACCTCTCTCATCCTACCCCCGACGGGCCCTTTCCGCATCGCGCAAGACACCAAACAGCGATGGTCGCATCGATGGGCTCAAACAGGTCGGTATCCACCGGGCAGGATGGGCTGGGGCGGTCATTCAGTCATTTGAACCTGCCTGTCACATCTGCAGGTTCAAAAGGGGATGGCGAAGGCCTTGTGACGCCATGTTAGTTGTCATGGTATGCTCACAGGACAAACGTGGACGTCATGTGCGGACCTCTGTGATCACGTGTGTGTCCGCTACCCTTTGCCGGGTCACCGTGGCCGGCAGGCAGTGCGTGAGGGACTGATGGTTCTGTTCTGTGCCGGCTGATGTCAATATGGCACACACAAGCCAAACACACGGACATCCACCCCTCTCCTTGTCTGGTCAGGAGCGGCGTGCGGCCCATGCGAGCTCTGGAGGGCGGACGAGGGAACACAAGCGTGTGGCTTGTTTCCGGCGGCTTTTGATCAATGTGACCCTATCCATTGACCCAATGGAGCCTCACCAAATGGGTAAGACACAAGTAGCGCCCAGCCGCCGGTCATCACTGACTTCCACGTTTCGTGCAGGGCATATGTGGGTGCATACATGAGAGAGAAGGCCATGGGTAGCACTGCTCTCACTGCTCTTTTATCGGCTTTCGGTGGCTAATCTATCTATCGGCTGGCGCCCGGCCATGCCATCGCTGTGTGCCAGGTGTTGAGTAGGCGAGTTCGGTGTATGTGTGTCTGGACTGCTGATGTCAGTGAGTGAGAGTGAGAGTGAGGCGATGCGATTCTCGAGGCCATTCCTTGGAGTCCATGAAAGGATCCACTCGAGGCCATGCAGGTGACCTGCATCAGCATGCAAACACTCATGCAAGCAATCCATGGCATCAAATCATCCATTGCAAAGGTCAACAAGAATGCAAGCGTCTCGGTCCACAATGCTGCCTGGTAAAGCACAGAGGTTAACTGAAAGCCCTCTACAAACAGGCGCAAATGAAGTCAGCAGAGCTCCATTTGCGGTCGGCGGGGCGGCTCAAAGCGAACAGATCTCGTCAAAGTGCGCGGATTTCGCGCAATCTGACTTCAGCTATGGCAGCCGCCATCCTCTCCGCCCCTGCCTGCCTGCTATGGCCCTCGCTTGTCCGCAGAAAGCAAAATGAAGGTGAGGCGAGATTTTTGCGAGCTGAGACGGAGACAAGCCCGCGCTTAGAATCCACAGCGATTTTTCATATTTTCCGCCCGCATTTGACTTTCCAGCCTTGTTTCAGCCACAGATCCTCCGGTTCTTTTTCTTTTCGGCTGGTTATTGGCTTGTATTGTCCGCCGCATCTCCCTCTACCCCTCCCAACTCGTCCGACTTTCATCCGCCACTTTTTTCCTCCACCGCCGTGCCCCGGGCGAGGCCTCGTTTGGTGGTGCCCTGCCTTCTGCAGAGCGGCTGGCAGCTGCCTGACGCGTGCAGAGTGCGCACGCACCTTCTTCTCGCACAAACCGCCCTCCAACAGGTGAGTGCATTTGAGTGTGGCCTCGTGCATCATGTCTCTTGGGTGCGCTGATGGTGTGATGTATGGATGATATGTAAAGATGAATGCATTGGGCATTTCGATGCCGTGGGTGTCCTTATAGACCTCTCACGACGAAAAAAAGGGGAGAGAAGAGACAGATCAGATCAAATAATCCAATTCATTGTTGTCCCTTGCAGCTGACCAGGAAGTTTCACCACGACGACAACAACCGTGTGGTCGAAAAGAAGATTCGCACACAAAAGACATGAAGGTAGTTGTATACTTACGTGCGAATGCCTGCTGACTTTTTCAGCAGAAGAACACTTGTGTTTTCAGACAAATGCGGATCTTACGAGCAGTCAGCCATGTGATTGGGCTGTCATCAAGGGCTCCTCACATCGTGACGAACACTTGACATCTGTCCGTTTTGCCTTCTCTTTCAGCTCGGCGAGAGAAGTCTGGCTACACCGTTATCGGCCTTCTTTTCTCTCGGTGGCCGAGAAAGCAGGTCAGTAAGGTAGAAAAAAAAGGATAAAGCACATATTTGCTCATGTCTCCTCTATGTTTCCTCTCTTTCCCTTCGCACACATGGCCGCTTCGGCGGCCATCTACCCGCCCCAAGCTGCAGCAACACCGACTGGTATGTAACCCCGAATATGACATCCGTCAATACATGTGCAGACCTTTGTGGGTGGTGGCTGGCTGCATCGTGCAGTTGGCTGCTCCCCCTGGTCATCGCCGTCAGGAGCCCTCAAGTAAGCTCAAAACAAGTGCACCTTCAAACATACATTTGCAGACGTCTCTGTCTATGTCGCCGCCATGGCCCGCAAGACGGCCAGGAGGTAAGCTGGAGAGGATGTGGGCAGGGAGGGAGGGAGGGAGCCTGACTTACAGTGGGACATGGTATTTTCAGGCGTTGTTAGGATCCTCAGATGAGAGCACGTCAACGCCGAGCACTCCTAGCAGCACCACGTGTCCGCTGAGGTGCTTCGATTTACTCACTCGCTGTGCTGGGGCCTCTGACACCCACGAGCAGAGCAGCAGGGACCCCAGCACAACAGCGCATCGAGAGAAAGGGAATACTTCTTTGCTCAGGGGAATCATGTGGGTAACGTCTGACGGCACAATTGTCGGAAAGAATCGACACACTGCGCACCAGCGAGAGGAACAGCAGCACCTCAGCACACCAGCAGGCGCAGATGAAGGAGAACAACAGGTGCGTCAGGAGTTCATCGACCGCTTCCCATGGGGGTCTTTTCTGTGGGACAAGGGCGTATTCTGGGATGCAGGGCTGGAACCGGAGGTCGGGAAGGGGATGCAAGGTGGTGAGGTGTGGGGAGCTACTACGCTCGGGCTCTCTCCCTCTGAGCCCTCCGCGAGAAGTCGCGACACTGTGCAGGCGGCACAGAGCGATGAAGATGCTCAGTTCCCACCATGGGTGTACGCCCACGACAACGCCTGCATGTGAGTATTCACTCAGTGAGGAACTGCTGGTGTGGTGGAAAGAAGGAGATTGTGTTACTTCCTGTGTGGTGCTGTATAGATGTGCCAACAAGTACGCTGAAGTCACCGCCCACTACCGCCACGTCAAGCACCCCTGTGTGGTGTGCGGTCGCGCCTTCCGCTGCACCTTCAGCGAGAGGGGCAAATCTTTGGGCGAGGCGGATATGCACCGGTGCATTAACGACGCCGAGCAGCAGTGGCAGCGCTATAAGCGCCTCAGGCTGGAAGCTACTGTGGCTGCTCAGTGTGAGAAGAAGCGTCGTGACCGGGCCCAGTTCATACCGGATACGCTGAATGAGATTTCATCCGACAAAGTCATTCGCATCGATCTGCAGGCGCTCACCAACATTGCGCACCTTCTGCAGTTCCGCGATGACGACCGTCCCAACCCGGCAAATCCTCAAGACGCGCTGTGTGTGAGGGCGCTCACCTACTCCGAACGGTATCCCGAGCACCCGGTGATGGCCAAGTTCGACGGGACGCCACTGCAACTGGCCGCCATCCGGTGGGAGGACGAAACGGTTACCATCTGCATCCAATGCATGCGCCACTTGACGCGGCCGACAGTGAAGATGTGCCCGCGGCTCAGTTTGGCTAACGGTCTGTGGCGCGGCCCGATGGACTGCAAAGAGGTCAAGATCGTGACCGAGCGGACCGAAGGTGAGCTGCTGTTGGTGTTGAAGGCTATCCTCTTTCACTGCATCTACAAGCTGTACCCGGCGGGGGACGGTAGTGGTGTTGTCTTGGATGCAGACCGCCAGTTGGCTGTGTTTGGGACCGTGTTCGTTGTCCCGCAAGACATCGATCGGCTGCATCACGAGATTCAGACAATCCTGCCCCGTGACGTTCATCAGATGAGTCGCTATATGCGTATCGTCTATATACGCCCGAACGAGAAGGCGGACTCCAACTTCATCAAGAGACACGCCCGGCACATGCTGGGTGTTGACGGCAGCACAATAACGCCGCTGATGGAGTTTCTGCAAGGGAATTGCTATCGGTATGCTGAGGACGAGGTGTGGGTCGACCCCAAGCGCGTGATCAAGCTGCCACAGTTGTCGGCATCTGGTGGGGATGCGGCCTCACATAGAGAGGTGCCCAGGCCGTGGTTGGAGTTTGCAGCAGAGTCGGACCTCTTCGAGGAGAACCTCGCAGGACGACACCATCAATCGGCGACACAGAGACATGTACGATGTGTCGATGGAGGATCGCGAGGAGGTCTGTGTTACCACCTCTGGGATGATCTTCAATAAGGGCGACGACCTGGCGCCATCGGAGCGGACTCGCCGCGCCATGCAGGAGTTCACACACTTTGGGGGGTGTCGAGAGCAGGAAGAGGACGGCGATGACTGCTTGATGAACGACGCGTCGAGCATTGTCAGTGACAAGCCGCTGCCAGCCTCAAAGACAGCACGGCGCGATGAATTCACGGCGACATCGCTAGGTGTGAAGGTGGATAAAGAGAGACGATTTTGGCAGTTTGGTTGGCTCATACTACCGAAATATCTGTGGATACGGGGAAAAAAAGAAATCTGTTCATTCCTGCTAACTACCATATCGACGGCCTCCTCAGCGAGTACAACAACCCCCACTTCTTTGTCGACTGCTTTCCTGACTTGTTTCCGTTCGGCCAGGGTGCGCCAGGAGGGGGGCACCGCAAGGGCAGCCAGCGCGTGTTTCTCAGGCAGCATGCAAAGTGGCTGATACAGCAGTGGGACCCTGACGTGCGCGAGCACAAGGTATTCAAGTTTCTGGTCTTTAACATGCTCCAGCGGCAGGAGATCAATCGAGCGGCCTCTCTATATATCCGACAGCCGGCACGGCGTGGCCTGCTTTCGCACATTCATCCTGCCAGTCTGGAGGAATGGATGGAGCGAGCGCAGCAATTGGCGACGATCAACCTGCCCTACGCTTTGAAAGACGCGGACTTTCAAAAATAGATGGCCAACGTGAGAAGCTTGAAAAACGAAACTTAGCATTTATCTGAGAACTGTCTGTATTCTGTATGGTTGGCTTGACAGGTGAAGACGGTCTTGTGTGGGGTCCCGGGCTCGTCAGGTGCCAAAGAGTACGCCCGCCAGCAGATCCTCTATTACATTGTACGATTCGGTCTGCCGGTGCTCTTCTCGACTCGAAACTTCTACGACCTCGAGAGCACGCTTCGCTTGCAGTTGGGCGTGCTCAGCAAGGAGCAGGTGTTTGACTTGAACGAGTGTCCACCTCTTAACAAGCACATCCAGCGCTGCCGCCAGATGGCGGCTCGCAACCCCGCGGCGGCTGCAGAGATGTTCAACATCTGCGTGCGGGCATTCCTTGCGTGTCTATTGCGGCGCCCTTTGGACCTCCGGCCTGGTGTCAGCGGCAAGTGCAAGGCGTCGATCGGCCCTTCAGAGAGCCAGGGGCGTGGAATCCTCTACTTTCACCACCTGGACTTCCTGGAGGGGGCGCCCTCTCCACGGGAGCTACGAAAGAAGATGACTGACCGACAGTTCTGTCACGAGCTGGAGCAGTGGCTGGATTCCACTATTCACGAGGACGTGCATGAGTTCGAGCTTCATACGAAGCTGACGCCCGAGCAGCATGCCGTGCTGGACGTGAAGTCGCTGTGGTACGGCCGCGTCTCACTCGGCTTTGAGATGCACTTTGAGGACGTCGAGCGTCTCCTCGACGCTGCCAAGAATGCCCCTGTGCCGTCTCTGCACGTGGAGGATGACATGCGAAGTGTGAATGATGAGGTGTCTATTAAGGGCGACGATGGATTCTGGGCCCCTCAGTTGGAGTCGGACGATGACGGGGAGCCCCTCAGCGTGAAATCCTATGGTAGTGTGAGCTCATGCGTTGAATCGTCGACCCCATCCGAGACCATGGACGAGTTTGTGGGGCCGGCCGATGACGAGCACGTGATTGGGTTTCCAAAGGTAGCTTCCAAGGCTGTCGAGGCGGAGGACGCTTTCCTCAGCGATCCGGACCCCAAGCGGCTCTTCGAACCCCTGACAACGACACAGAAGAAACAGCTGGTCATCAAGCTGTACTACCCCGGCCACGAGACCAGCGACAACAGCACCATGGATGTTGACCCGTGGCTGGACGTCGAGCAGTCCAAAGAGTATGTGGATCCGGCCACATTTATTGGACGCATCTTTTTGGCCGACAGCAAGGACAGCGGGTACCTCAATCTCCAATTCAGCCGCCGGTTCATGGCCGTGGCGTGTCGCAGCCTGCTGCATTCCAAGAAGCACACAATGTCGTACATCAAGAAGAGCAACAAGTTCAAGTGGCAGCAGGTAATGCGTAAGATCAAGAGGCTTATGGGCGACTACAACAGTCGACTGCGGGACCTGGCGAAGGCCGAGACGGCCAACAACGACGCCCTTCGTCGAGAGGCACTCAATTTAAAGGAGGAGGCCAACAAGCTGAGCGCCCTGATCCCGTGCCGCCTGAGCATGCCAAAGAAGATGATCTACATGACCATCACCATCACCAAGTGCGGCATCATTCGCCTCCGTCGCCACCACCGCTGAACGACCGGCCACTCTTCGTATGTCACGGTCGCCATCCGGTCGAACAACGAAATAAAGTTCCTGCTCCTGACTGCGGATCGGGTGTATGCATTGGTGCACTATGTAAGTGACCGGACTCTGAAGCTATTCACTTTCTCTGTCTGCGGCCATGTCTTTGTATGTGTTGTCTGCAGCTCACCAACTACAGCTCCAAGATGGATATCAAGCTGCACGACTTGGTGTCGATCGTCGCAGTGGGCTGCAAGAAGTACCTGGAGCGCTATGCAAATACAGAAGAGGCCGTCGAGCAGCATCGCCTCTTCATCACCGACATAACCAACTCCCTCAACGCCCGCGTCCAGATGTCCGCGTGTCAGGTCATGTGGCACCTGCTGGGCTATGGAGACGATGGAGACTACTACACGTCTCACCCCACCTACCCCCTTCACTCCCTCCCTTTCCTCAAGCTCTTGGCGGCTGAGGAGCGGCAGGGGCGTGTCACAGAGGACGACGTGAGCGACGACGAGGAGAACGACGACACAGTGCTCATGCGTGTCCACCGAGCCGATGGACAAGCGTCGATGGTCCTGTCTAGTAAGGCACAGGACTATCTGTTTCCAGTGACCGAGGGAGTGGAGATAAGAGTTCCTCCTGACATCATGTGTACCAAAAAAGGCGACCCAGTGAAGCTGCTAATGGCACGGGTCCCCGTCTACCTGTTTCACGAGCTGTTCGAACGCGTATACAAGAGCACGGAGGCGAGCGAGATGCGCCGCTTGCCGGCCTACACTCACGTGCCGATGCCGCTGAGCTGCTGGCTGAAAAAGACAGGGCCTTCTACTATACAGCGCAACACCCACTGCACACTAAGTGCCAGCTGCCACAGGTATGGGTGGGTGGATGAATCACTAAGGTTTGCCCCAAAAACCCGTGTCTCCGTATTTGTATGTGTGTATTCAGAGGGATGTGGACAAATCGGCTGTGCCCCTTTTGAGTATGGCCATTCTAAGCCGCTACTCAAAGCAGCCGGGGGCCATCGAGGACCGCGCTAAGAAGCTGCTGCTTCTGCTCAAGCCCTTTGTAGGCAGCAGCTCTCAGGAGCGGCGCTGTCAGCTCGACCCGGACCTGGATCAGCTGCTGCAGGCCGTGGACGCCAGCTGTAGTGCTGCATATGTTGAGGCGGAGTCGCAGCTGCCGGTCCACGGTGATGTCTCACCTGACTCGAAGTGTCCCTCTGAAGGGCACTCACCGCGATCCATTGTTTCGGTGGATGCGGCGTGCACCAAGAGACCCAATCGGACCGGCTTCAATTTAGTGAAGCAGCTGAAAGGCTTGTGTCGAACGTGGCAGGACGCGCTGGACGAGTTCAAAACGTGGCATCGACAGCGAGTGGCAGACACATCCATCGACGACCCCGTGGCGCGATGGACAGTCGAACTGATCGACAACATTGAGGGTGCTCATCGCACGCAGGCCGACGCGAAGATCGACAAGGCGTTTCGAAATGAGCAGGAGGAACAGAGTGCCACGTTCGACGCGCGAGACTTGCTGGACCAGATGGACGAGGCACTTTGCGAGGAGGATGACGCTCGCCAGGCGCTGCTGAAGGAGGCGCAGGTGATGGTGGACAAGCTGACGAGCCCTGCAAGGTCGTCGGGTGCGGAGCTGTTTGAGAAGCTGGATCTCATAGCGGGTGTTAACTACAGTCTGTCGGTCCCTGAGCGCTTCCTCGCCGACCGCCAGAAATACATGAGAGAGGGCATGGACGCCGTCTGCAAGCGTTTCGGCCTGACTACGCCACAGCTGAACGTCCACATCGATGGGCCGTCCACATCTGCCACGCTCAATATGCCATCTCAAGTCAGAACTAATGTAAAGAAAGGCCTGAGATATACATGCATATGTCTCTTTGCAGGATGCCGGAGTGACTGATATTGTTGCGAGAAACCAGGACCCAGCAGCAGTGAAGGCTATGCAGAAGACCCTTCTTTGCAATGCTGCAGCGACGAAGGAGCGGTCAGTCGGACGTCGCCGCGGCGGGGCCGAGAGAGGGCACGGAAGAGATGGATGTCGATGATAGCACGCCAGCCGCAGTACACGCAGCGCGCGATACCGGTGGCATACCTCAACGACGGAGCATCCAAGGAATGTCAAACGCCGAGCTGCTGGCGATGTGTGAGGCGGGCGACAGCAGTGCAGCGGGCGCCCTAAACTATACACGGTGGCTTCAATCGATGCAGTTTGAGGCCATGATAGCTGGCGACCGCCTGAGAGTAGCGAAGTTGGCTATCGAGAAGTTCACGCTCAATCCCGAACAGAAGCGGGTCGTCCGTATCGTCGCCAAGCACGTGAATGACAACTTTGCCGCCTTGGACTGCGAGGACTTTGCTGCTGTGTCGCCACTCAACGTGGTTGTTGCGGGCGGCCCCGGATGCGGCAAATCGTGGGTAATGCAGGCGCTGGCCCTGTATTTCGCTGGTATCGGTCGGCCGTTCTGGTTTCGAAAGACTGCGATGACCGGTACGATGAACTGATTTCCATTTGCTGTTGGTTTGATTTGTCCCACCTGGGGCTGCGTATCTGCGCTGCGCTTTGTGCGGATTGCCTGTCTCAGGTGTGGCTGCCTCCACTATCTCAGGCTCGACCCTATACTCGGCCCTCCAAATAGAGGTGTACAAGCCCAGAAACAGGCAGGAGCACCGCCGCCGCGGTCGAGGGAGTGCCTCTACTGATGACATGCGGAAAGAGCTGTCATTTGAGGTCCTGTGGCAGCAAACGTGGTATCTATTAGTGGACGAGTACTCGATGCTGTACGCCAGCTTGTTCGAAAAGATGAACGCTCGCCTGCGTGAGCTGCGGGCTACCGAAGAGCAGCATGCCGAGCACCAGCCTCCGTTCGGGAACATGAGCATTCTCTTGTCTGGAGACGTCAAACAGTTTGGGCCCATCGGGGGGACAGCGCTGTATGCAAAGACGACGAAGCCTTCCGAGGGTACAAAGCACTGCATTGAACAGAGCAGGGACAGATGAGACATGGTGATGTCTTGCAGGTGTACGGCTGTACAAGACCCTCTTCGATACCGTCGTGCTTCTCGAGGATGGGATGCGATTCAAGCAGACGGAGAGCGGCCGCAGGTATCAGGCGTTCCTCGAGCGGTTCCACAATGAGAAGCTCACTGAAGAGGACTAACGATGGCTGGAGACACGCGTTATTGGCGGGCCTGGAAGCGCCATTGACATGACCGACCCCAAATGGCAGACCGCACCCATTGGCGTGTGGGGGGCCGAGCTGCGGATCCCTCTGGCGATGATCAGTGCCCTCTGTGCCGCCGACAAAGAACAGAAGCCGATTCTTTTGTGCGTGGCCGATGATATGGATATCACTGAACGCAGCCAGGAGAAACGGCCATCTCGCGAGCTCCACAGGCACCTGTCCATGATTTTTGAGATCAAGACCGGCAACATGCCGCAGATTTTGGCCCTCATCCGAGATCAGCAGTACTTGCTCACGTGCAATGATGCGACAGAGCTGGACATCAACAATGGAAGCCAGGCGACCTTCCACTCGGCCGCTTTCAGTCCCTCCGCATTCTTCTCCAAGCACACAGCAACAGTGTCCGACCGGCCGGTCGACATCATTGTCGCGACCGAGCTGCCGCTGTGCGTCTTCATGGACGTGGAGAAGGCGGACCACGCTCCTATCGACGGCGTGCCGTTTTCGCCGTCCGGAAAGCCTCTCATGTCGGTCTTTCTTCACACCGACACCTTCACTATCGAGATGCCCTCACAAATCCCCGCGTCACCAGACGAGGAGAAGCTAATTCCGAAGCACAAATATAACGTCCGACGGACGCAGCTGTAGATAATCAGCGCCAGCGCATTGACCTTCTGGAAGCTGCAGTCTACAATAAAAGAGCGCCTGATTATCGATCTGAGGCCAGCCGCATGGGTCAGCAACACAAACATTTGTCTCGGCCAGCTTGTGGTGTTCTCACGGGTGACCGACGGGAACGGCTTGGGGATTCTCCGGCGATACTCGAGGCAAGACTTGAAGAAGAAATTTCCGACCACTCTCAAGATCGAGATTGAGCGGCTGACAAAGTTGAGTCGCGCAACAAGAGAGAAATACCCGCTGCCTCGTGCCAAGCCGTCCAAAAAAAGAGCTCGGTCGATTTGAGGTATCGAAACCAGAGACGGAACCATTGTAGACCCTCTTCCGCATGCATGATGAGAGATACAGTCATCAATAGTTGTCCGCCAAAGCTTCAATGCATGCACAATCAGCTATGACGGTCAGTTCCACGGGTAGCTGCCATTCGCTGCCTCGCGAGAATATGGAACAGCTCGCCTTATTATGTGTGGACTTCGATGTGGAGACACACTTAAGTGGTACGCGTTGCCCGGTCAAACAATCCTGCGTCTCTTGGTGATTTACAGTTATCGTTGTCGCTGACAGGGAACTGCAGCCCATACAGGGGCCTCGCGAGACCGTCATAATATTAAACAGCGTGTCGTCTGTTGACACACCGTACAGCAAGCGCCTCCATCGCTGGCAGCGGCCCTCTGTGAAATCTTTCACAGATCTAGCATATTCTCAATGCGATGCACACACCCCGTTGAAGCCTCCTCCCTTTGATTTGAATTTTTTTAAATTGCTCCCTTGTTTCCATTTTTATTTGAGATTTTTTAAAATTACTCCTCTGATTTTTTGAGGGGTTTGCGAAGTTTTAAAATAGAGATGGCTGGTTTGGAGGCGGCGAAGTGAAGGGGGTCTAAACGTGTTTTCAATGGCTAAAACAAGTCTCAAAATCGCCTTTCCGCCCCCCCCCCTCGCCCCCCCGGTCATCGCCTAAAACTATTAAAATTTCTCCCCGATTTTTTATTTATTTAAATTCTTTTGAATATTTTTCGCCGGTTTGCCGGTTTCTAAATATTTTTGGGCACATTTGGGACGTTTTAAAAATTGCTCGATCAGGGGAGGAGGCTTCAATGGGGTGGATGCACACCAAAGATCTCTGCGTCGCGGCAAAGGTGGCTGCCAGGGCACGTGCAATGAAGGACGGTGCCCTTGATAGCCTCCGGAATACTCGACAACAATACTTCGTCCTTCACCCATACCTGCGCACAAACAGACAAAGCTCACACTCAAAGAGCTGGCCGAGCACTCTTAGCTTTGTTCGCGTGTCTGATACTTTGCTGTCCTTTCTGTCGCCCATCGTGCTCCAGTAGGATGGACAAACGATGCCCTGCTGCAAGTGCTGCTTCCCCTTGTTCATAAGGGTCACCAGCTCCCGATCCTCCATCTCCCCACTCAGCTCGACCCATTCCTTGTACCAAGCAGTGAAGTTGCGCATGGCTTTCCCCATCGGCCCGCTCGGACTATTTTTCTTCATCATCCACTTCACAAACCCCTTCCCTGCGCTGTCATACTTCGCCTCAACGCCCATCTCTTCGTCGCTCAACGTCCAAACCTCGCGGAAGTACTTGTCCTTGTATGGTCCGAAGTCAAACTTGTATTCATCTGTATCGAGGACGCTGAGGTCAGCGGCCATAGCTGAAGAGCGACGGAAAGATGGTCTTCCAGCTGCGGCGGCTGTAGCTGAAGCAGACGGGGGAGGGCTGGATTTGCGGGGCTGGCGTGTGGGGCAGGGAGGAAGAAAGGGAGCCTCGGGTGATGATACGGGAAATATCGAGGCTACACAGACAGAGACAGAGGGAGACAAAGCGAACGTCTCATTACATAGGTCTAATCATCCACATTCACCTTTCCTGCTGCGATGTTTTTTGGCTGCTTGCAGCATCTGTCGAATCTGCTTTGCGTGCGGGCGGAGATGGCTGACAGTAATGCGGCCCTTCTCTATGGCCTCCTGGCACTCTTCCTCCAATTCCGACCAAAAATCAACAAACCTAAAGACACACACAGACGCATCATTGCACTATGACGCATCTCCCATTTCTGCAATCACCTGCTATACTCGTCATTCCAATCCATCCCACCGTCTTCATCAGACTCCTCTGCACCACCGTCGTCTTCCTGGTTGTTGTCGGTGCGCTGTGGACGGGCGCCGAGGGGAGCGGCTGGTGGTGGGGGTGGGGGTAATGCCTCTGCCGCCGCCGCAGCTGCTGCTGCCGACGAAGAGGGCTTCGGCTGCCCGTCGGAGTCTTGCATTTCGGAGAGTGACATGGCCATGGCAACCTGCAGGTCGTCCTGCAGGCAACAACAGACACACAGGCACGTCAGCCTATGCACCAGGGGCGGATGTGTCTTCTTGTGACCTCTTCATCTTCATCGTCCTCTTCGTTGTCTGGGTCTGAATGCACACACAAGCAGGCAACCAGACATCAGGTCGCCACTCGCACCCCGCCATACATACGTCATCTCGTCACCTACGCTGGTCCATCCACCGACCTGCTGACTGACTGACCGACTGACTGACTGACTTACCTTCTCGCCTCTGCCTCCTTGCCGGCGGCTTGGACTTGGCCCTCTTCCTCCCCCCGCCCCGCCCCCTCCTTCTCCTATCCCCCCTGTCATCAGCCTCGTCCTCCTCTTGATCCATGTCCACAGGCATGGCAGCAGCAGCCGCGGCAGGCGGCTGGTTTGATGATTCTTCTTTGTCCATATCAGCATCATCGCCGTCCTCGTCGTCTTCCTCACCATCTTCACGAGATACCTGTACGTGAAGCAGACGACACAGACGGATGAATTCTGGCTGACTGTCAAGTCGCCTTCTTTGCGTTAGTTGTATAAAGTTCTCTCACGTGTGCTCTTTTCCGCCCTCCCTGCGTCAGCCTCCCGCCCCTGCGCTTGCGACCCTCTTCTCCTTTCCTCGCAGCCTCGTCAGAATCATCCTCCTCAGCTCGCCGGGAGGTCACCGACGAGCGCTTGAGGTTGAACCCCAGTGGGTCAGCGGAAGACGCCTTTGCAGCCGTCTGCGGTTCTTGTTCGCCGTCCTCCTTCTCTGCCACGTCCTCGCGCAGCCGTCGCCAGGTTTCTTTGTTTGACTCTAAGACTTCCTCATCGCTGCTGTCGTCGATTCGGCCCTTTCGCCGCTTCTTGGACGAAGGCTTAGACTTCCTCATCACTACACTGCCCGAGAAGAAGCAGAAAGGACGCTTGGGAGAGGGACGGCCGATCCACACGCGGCCAAGATCGAATTCATGGCGCCCCCATAGTTTGTTAGGGTGAAGGTGTTTGGATGACTATGACCTCATCGACTGTATACACGAGAGCATTCACCCGTTCGTTCATGTGAATTCATCCCATTAAGCAAAACAGTCCTGTGTGTGGCGGACCAGTCAGTCAGTCAGGCTGTCACTGCAAGCATTGCCAGAACAAACAAGGGACCGACCCGCTCGCTGCTCCTGCAGCTATCGAACAAGCCAAGGACATGCAGCTATCCCCCAAACAAACCAGCAGCACACATCACAGTGACCGCCCAGCCACCCACTTACACACACAAAGACAGGCAGACACGCAGGCAGCATACACACTGCCGCCCGCAACACTGAACCATGATGCCTGTCCTGTGGACGGCATTCCCTCCTTGGTCAGTCTTGTTCAGTCGTACTGCATCTATCAATCATCGCCTTCATGCGCCCCGTTTCGCGCATGGGTGAGTGTCTTGTTGATGAGGTATTCGCCAACATGCACAGGAGGGTACCGAGGGGGCCGCTCGGCTGAATGGAAGGTCGGCACACACTCAACCTGACGGCACAGAGACATGGGAGCGTGTGTCTGCGGGCGTGGTGTATGCCATCAGAGGCACGTGTGTGTGTGTGTTGGTTACGGTGGCCATGGGGTCGGCGTTGATGAAGAAGGGGATCGAGTAGCGCACTCTGTCCTGCTTGATGATGACCCTGTGCGGTGTCGAGACGAAGACGTCATTGCTCCATCGCTGCAGCATGTCGCCCAGATTGACAATGATGCAGTCGTCCGTCGGCTCGGCCACCTCCACCCAGCTGTCGCTCCATCTTGGCTTGATCTCCAGCCCGCCACTGCCGTCTGTTTTGAGCAAAGTCAGCAGACCCCAATCTGCGATCAAGACACACCCACACACAGCACACACATACCTGTTTGTCGGTCGCTCTCTTGTGTGGCTGTCTGTATGGGTGTGGATGTACCAGTGTGTGCGCCGCATCCCACGCGGCCCTCCTCTGGCAGTGACTTGATCGCCGCGTACTTGAGCAGACGCAGCAACTGAAGCCACCACAGAACATGCAATGCAGCTGTGGTTTCCATGAGTGGGCGGTGTGTGTTGTGTCTGCTTGGCGCATAGCATACGCTTGGGGAGTGTTTGGCGTGGTCGGCCATGAAGGATTCGGGCAGGCCCATAGCCAGCGACACATAACCTGTCAGCCGCTTCCCGAGAGCACGGACCTGCTGCTGATATGTCAACACCGCCTGCATTTCAGAATTAAGGATTCATACAGAGCACCGATTCAATCAGTCGACTCACACAGCACACAGTAATTAATGCGCAAGTGCATCCATCACTCCTTCCTTCGTCACCTGTTTGAATCCGGGCAGCTGGTTCTCGTCTGGCCATATGTTGTCGGCATAGAAGAGCTCATACTTATCCGGCAGATCGGCCGCACCCAGGCTGCCATCGGCGGGAAACTGCTCACCGAAATCGAAACCTACACCAAAGAAAGACAGACACCAAGACGCCCAGACAGACAGATAATCACACAGGGCAGGTGCGTTGTCGTATCAGCGTGTCAGTCAGGGCTAGCTACGTGTGTCGTCTGTCTCGTCTGACCTTCCTTTCTGTCCGGTTCTGTCTGTGTCGTCTCGTCCAGCAGCTGCCCGTGGTACACCATGTACCTGCACCGGACCGCACCCGGCCATAGCCATGCACAGACACGGCGGCGACTGCGTATGCTATGCGCCTGACTGGGTGGCTGGCTGGCTGGCTGTCGTGCTCACCCTCTGACGACTCCTTTCTCCTTGGCCTTGAGCTTCATCTTGTCTTGCAGCGGCAGACTGAGCACGCCATCGGCCGCCTCCAAGACCTTGGCGAACTAATTCAACAAGCCAACACACACACACAGAGACAGCCATGAGGCGCACGTCTCGTCTACAGGGTTGACGGCTGCGGGCCGTTTCCTCCCTCACCGTGTCCTTGTCGATGCCATGGCCCGTGACGGTAAAGAAGCCCCACACCTGGCAGACACCACCACAGAACCACGTGAGCACACATTGCAGACGCACTCGCTCCATGCATCCCTCTCTCTGCGCACCTGACAGGCGTGTCGGATCTCCGCCACAATGGCCTCCTTCTGCTGACGAAGGTCAACTACTGGTACCCCATAGGCTCCACTCTCCTCCTTGTTCCTGAGGCCAATGGTATTCGTGACGGGAGTAGTCATCACCACTCGGCCTTCCATCTGCTGGAGATGCGAACGCTGCCTTTGTGCTTGGCTGTCCCTCTGGATCTGTCGGATCTTGAGCAGCGCTGAGACGGCTATCATCACAGGCCGAAATGGACGTCACGCCTTCCTGCATCTCGGCCGAGATCGAGAACGGAGAAAAGGCCATCCCGAAAGCCATCGCGTTCTCGAGTTCTCGGAGCGTCGACCGCTGTTCCGTGAAACCGCTGTCGGAACCCCTGAAATCTAAGCTCGCAGTCGCAGCTTAAAAAAAGGCAGGAGATCTCAGACGAGGTGCATTGCGGTTGGTTCAACGGATCAGTCATGGATGCGGAGGCGTATTTCAAGATCGGCTCTCACGAGGCCAAGAAGGGCGAGTTCTCCAGATGCCTGCTGCTCTACTCAGGTGGGTGATGGAGGGCGACGGTGTGCACAGGGCGCCGTGCTGCTGGCTGGCAGATCTGCGCTGGGGATGGGAGATATCTGTGTATCATCATGGCTGTGCAGTGCACTGATGGCTCTCGCGAGTGTGTGTGTGGTGTGTTCAGGTGGTTTGGACACGTCAGTGATGCTCAAATGGATCCAGGAGCAATACGAATGCCAAGTCGTCGCGCTCACCATCGACATTGGACAGGCGCGGACACCACACCAGCTCACACACGTCGAGCAACCACACACATCCATCCATCCATCTGTGTGTGTGCAGGTGGCGGACAACCTGGATGAGATCCGCCAGAAGGCCCTCACTTTGGGGGCGGTGGATGCGGTGGTGTATGATGCCAAGGAGGAGTTCGCCGACAGGCTGCTGTCCGAGGCCGTCAAGGCCAACGCCGACTACCAGGGCGGCTATGCCCTCGGCTGCCCACTCGGCCGTGTCATCATCTCGGAGATCGCCGTGCGAATGGCTGACAAGTATCAGTGCCAGGTCAGTAGTGGGGCTGGGTGAGTGTGTTCCCTCCTGTCTGACGTGTGTGTGTGTGTGTGTTCAGGTGATAGCTCATGGTTGCACGGGCAAGGGCAACGACCAGGTTCGGTTTGAGGGCTACGTGACCACTCTGAATCCAAAGCTCAAGACCATTGCACCCGTCAGGGAATGGGGTCAGCAGCCACAGATACACACATACGGCGACCGACCTGTGGGTGTGCTTCTCACCTCACACACATGGGTGGATATGATGTGTGCAGGTATGGGTCGTGACGAGGAGTTGGCGTATGCGGCGGAGCACGGCATCCCCGTCAAGCAGAAGAAGGACTCGCCATACTCATACGATGAGAACATGTGGTCCAACACTGCTGAAGGAGGTAGGGACACACACACACACATGACACACACACACGTGATGTGCATCATCTGTGTGTGTGTGTGTGTGCGTGTGTGTGTATAGGTGAGATCGAGGATCCGTGTCTGATCCCTCCACTGGACCGCATCTTGCTGTGGTGCAAGCTGCCCGACCAGGCACCAGCACAGCCAAGGATACTCGAGATCGACTTCGACAGGGTGAGGTGACCACAGTCACATACACATGGCGCCTGTCATCCACCACACTGTGTGTGTGTGTGTGTGTGTGTGTCAGGGAGTGCCGACGGCTTTGGACGGCGGCAAGATGAGGCTGTGCGACCTCATCATGAAGGTAGGAAGACAGAGAGGAAAGGGCCAGACGCCCAGCCCACATGTGTGTGTGTGCCTGAGTGTGTGCAGCTGAACAAGATCGGCGGCGAGTATGGTGTGGGCTTCTTTCACCTCATTGAAGACCGAATCGTCGGTTAGCAGCCTGAAAGGAAGCAACGGCAGCAAGCAAGGATGACTGTGAGTCCGTGCGTCTGCTGCGTGCAGGTCTGAAGGTGCGCGGCATCTACGAGAACCCCGCTGCAGCCATTCTCATCGGTAAGTAGGGCAACCTGACTAACCTACACACACATAGCAAGACCACCAGCACCACCCCTTTAAAGACCAACTTAACTTGTCCTTCTCTCTCATTTATCCAATCCAGCCGCCCACAAAAAGCTCGAGATGCTGGTAATGTGACACAGCGGGCAAGCTCACCCACAGAAATAATGGTCTTGTGGGCTCTTTTGTGTGTGTTGACATACATCATGTTATGTAGGTGTCGACTCGCGAGGAGAACGAGTTCAAGTCGCTGGTTGACCAGAAGTGGGCGTACCTCACGTACGGCGCCAAGTGGTTCGAGCCCACCATGGTGCACCTCAGGGCCTACATCGACTCACAAAACCTCAAAGTCACCGGAAAGGTCAGCACGTGACGTGAAATGGCGAACACTCCTTTGTCGCCTGAGATGTGGTGTGTGTGGTGTGTGTGGTGTGTGTGTGTGGACGGTCAGGTGAAGGTGCAGCTGCACCGTGGCACCATCACTGTGGTTGCTCTCGAGTCTGCCAACTCGCTGTTCGACGCCAACCTGGCCACCTTCAACAAGGACGCCTCATTCAACCAGGTGGGCAGCGCCACACAGACAGACAGATCCTTCATGGCTTGGGTGTGTCTGTGTGGATTGCAATCGATACATCTCTGTGTGTGGGTGTGGGGGTGTGTGTGTCAGAACGCCTCCCCTGGTTTCATCGAGCTTTGGAATCTGCCGCAGAAGACGGCTTACAACGCGACCAAAGACGTCTACAAGCAGCCGCTGCACAACGGCAAGTAGATTAGACACGGACGATGGCGTGTATCGGTACTCTGCGTGTGGTGTGTGGGATGTGATGTTGATATGCATGTGATGTGTGTGTGTCTGTGTCTGTGTCTGTGTCTGTGTGTGTCTCTTTCCGCCAACGGGAGAGAGAGGGAGAGATGGGCAGTCGACCACCGATTTTGGATGGGACTGCATATGTATGTCATATGTGCGTGCAACGGACGATGTGACTTGATGGTATGTGGTTTTACAATCGCATTTTCTTCATGATACCTACCTACGCCGGGCGTATGGTTGTCGATTTACTTATGCTGTACGTGTCTGTCGTGAGGAAATGTCCAAATGTCTGAGTGTCTGTCTTTTTCCCTTCTTGTCCTCATCTCTGACATGCAATGATGCATTCTGTCTGTCATGTACCTCTGGTGTTTCGTTCAAATGCGTCTTCGCACACGACGGACATGAGGCAATCAGTCATTCCTGACTGCCCTCATGTCCGTCGTGTGTGGTGACGGTTTTGAACGAAACACCAGACGTTGCCGACACAGAGCACCCATCCCTTGATGGACAGATAAATCTCAACGGCTCACTCACTCAGAAGAGACAATAAACCAGCCTCCCCTCCCTCCCTCCTCACGACAAAAGGAAAGACCGCATGGCCCGTCCCATCGCATACTTCAATTGACTCCCTGCCCCCCGCTAGTGCTCATTAGTGGTGTCTTTCCAGAGGGCATCGAAGCCCTTAGAGGTCCGCTCAAGCCCCTGGAACATGCCGCCAAACTCCAACGCACACAGAGGGACCGTCCGCTGCTCTATCAAACCCGACCTGCACACACGATATGTAACAACGATGCACATGGACGATCGATGGTCGTCCATGTGTGGTCTTCTGCACTGCTCTGCTCACCTGCCGTCCTCCTGGTTGACAAGGAAGGCCTTGACGTCCGCCCGTGCAACATGGGACTCCACACACCCCGGCCTGTCGCTGAAGCCCTCTGGTGTGGGGATCGAGATGGGCGGGTCGGTGAAGGACCACAGCGGCGCCTCTAGAGCAATCATCAGCCGCCGGTAGTAGCCATGCCGGTCGGGCCGTGACTCGCACACGAGGCGCACCCGCCGCTGGGCTGAGGATATGGCGTACTCGACTCTGTGGAGGTCGGTTGTGCGGAAGTCCCACTGGACGAAGGGGGACCTGTAGGCGACCACCCATGAGAGGGGCGAGATGGGGCCGATGCGGAAGATGCCGCCCGTCAGCAGCAGCTGCACGTCGCTGCTGCTGCTCGAGTGGACAAGTGGTTGGGGGGAGGGGGAGGGGGGGAGGGCGGTGCGTGCGCATCCCTGCGCCCAGGTCCAGCCGGAGGGAAACATGTCGCCCCAATTCGCCTCCAAATGAGTCGACCCACGGCCTGACATGACAACACGACAGACAAGCTGAGCTGTGATGGAATAAGGGAGCTCCCTCCCTCCCTCTGATGGATGAATGGATGGATGTGTGTGTACCGTACCTAATATGTATCGTTTGTGTGGGCTGGGCGGGTGCCAGTCCTGCTGCAGAGTCAGACCCAAACCATCACTCATGAAGAAAGGCGGGGTCTCGTCACGGGGCGCAGCGTCACGCCGTCTTCTCCCCTTGCCCAGACGCATAAACCGCCGCCTCCGGTCACGAAAAGAGCCCCGGCGGCCGCTGGCGGTGGACGCCTCAGCAGCATCCCGCCTCCTGAATGGCATCAGGTGACGCAGAAAACGCAGCCGTTTCCTTCTGTTCCCCGATTGCCCTTCATCGCTTTCTGCAGCCGTCGGGTCGTCTGCTTGGTCTTTGTGCCGCTTCTTCCTGTTGCCGCCCCCCGGCAGCGGCACCGACCACCTGACGGTCCAGTCCATCTCCATCCGGCGGCCCGGGTACGCACCCGAATCGTTATTCTCCTCCTTCCCGTCATCGACAGCTGTCGGCCTCACCGACACCTCTGCACGGGCTGGCAGCCGTCTTGAGAGCTTCCCGATACCAGCAACCGCATCACGAACACGGCCCGCCTTAGCTTCCCTTGTCGTGTTCCCTTGACGTGTGGCTTTGCCCTTGGTCTCGTCTTTGCCCGGGGTCTCTGCCGCCTGCGGCTGGACTGCGGTAGGAGGAGCAGCAGGCCGCGGCATAGAGTCGGGCAGAGAGGGGAGGGGCGGGGCGGCAGTTGGCCGAAATGCCGGCGGGGCCACCCCCTTGCCGCGCTTTAGACAAATCTCATAGTCGGTCTCGGAGCCCAGCATGACCACGTCATAGTGCAGCGGCAGCAGCGGCGTGTGCGCCAGCCACCCCTCAGGCGTGCTGCCCGCATTGCACAGAGATACAGGCGCCGAATTGGCGAAGTCGGCCGGCCACACTTTGGTGCGGTTGGTCACTGCCAGCAGCCGGTCGGTCCATCCGAGCGGTCGTGACGCGTTGAGGCGGACGTGCAGGCCGTCGGTGAGGATGTCCAGCTGCGCCTGGCCCTTGGTGCGATCGATGACGAAATGCCCGACGTCTGGTGCGCGCCACTCGACCCGTTTGAACGTCCTCAGCGAGGGGCAGCCGCGCATCTGTGGTGAGAGGAAGTCTTGTCCGTCGAGTGATAGCCGCACTGCCGACGGTGCCATGGGGCAGGGGAAGGCATGCTCGGTGTGGAAGGTGCCGTCCGTGTCAGAGAAACCCGCAAACACATAGTGGCTGGCGAACGACGGCCGTGCCTCGCCCTCTTTTGGCCGCTGGTTGGCGATGAACGATCCGATAATGACGGTGGCCGTGCGGTTGCGAGTGATGTCCACCATGCGGAAGCACCAGCCATAGAAGAACGGTGCGCTGGCAGTTGTCGAGTTGCGGTAGGTGCCCTCAAAAAACTCATACCAGCTCCGCTGATGAGATGTGGAGGGGACTGCGCCGTCATCAGTGACTGTTGCCCGCCCGTCTTGCGGTGCTGAGTGCGTCTGCGGTGCTGGACGGCGCTTGCTCGAGGACGAGGGGTAGCGCGTCGACATGAGGGCCCCCTTCCTGACCATGCGGCGAAAGAGCGACTTCCACGCAGACGAGTAGGCGGCCTTGGGCAGGGCATGCCGGCCTCTTGCGTGGGAGTCCCGCGACGAAAGGCCGTGACTGATGCACATGAGGGAAATAGGGATGAAAATGATGAAAGGCCGACACTCCATCTTATAAACCACGCCTCATTCCACTCACAAACAAAGCCGCGCGATTCAGGCGAGATCTGCGTCAAGATCGCAAAAAAGCTCGCAAAAAATGGGGGAAGGAGGGAAGGAGTCGATGGTTCGTTTGGTAGTGTGCATCTAACCCGCAGCGCTCATCTGTTCATCTGTCGTTGGAGCTGTTTGTGTCTCGTGGTTGTGTGGGAGGATGGCGGCCATCGCCATCGATGCGGAGTCGTGCAAGCGGCGGCTGGAGAGGCTGTTTGCCGTGTGGGATCACATGTTCGACAAGCCGGGCAGCTCGTTCCATGGAGTGGAGGCCATCTCGGTGATATCTGGCAAGAGCAGCGACGAGGCGAGCGAGGGCAAGACGTCGGCAGTGCACCTGTGGCTGCTGGGCTACGACTTCCCCGACACTCTGATGGTCCTCACGCGCAAGAGGGACGTCTACTTCCTCACCAAAGCCAAGAAGCTGGCCCACCTCAACCAGATCAAGACCACACTCGACGGCGTGCACCTGCTGACCAGCTCGCCAGAGGACAACCCTGCCAACTTCAAGACCATCGTCGACGCCCTCAAGGGCGATGACGAGAACGGCGTGTCGATGGAGGAGCGGCGTGTGGGCGTCATCACCAAGGAGACGCACGAGGGGTCGTTCGCCAGCGATTGGCAGCAGCAGCTGGAGCAGAGCGGCGTGCCGCAGACGCCCATCAACGAGGGTCTGTCGTTGGTCATGTGCGTCAAGGAGGAGTGCGAGCGGGAGTCGATCAAGAAGGCCTCTCAGGTGTCGTGCTCCATCTACAAGGACGTCCTCGTCGACATGATCGAGGACACGCTGGACAAGGAGGTCAAGAAGACGCACAAGGACATCGCCGCCAAGGCTGACAACTCCATCGAGAGCGACAAGATCACCAAGAGGTGGAAGGAGAAGTTCGCCATCGACAAGGACGACATCGACGTCGCCTTCACCACCGTCCAGTCGGGCGGCAAGTACGAGCTCAAGGCGTCGTCCGAGCCCACCAAGGACAACCTCTGTCTGACGGGCGGCTGCCTGATTGTGGGGTGCGGGGCCAAGTACAAGGAGTACAACTCGGCCATCATCCGCACCCTCATCGTCAACCCAACCGCCGAGCAGAAGGACATGTACACCGTCCTCACCCAGGCCTTCGACGCCCTCGTCAAGGCACTCCGCCCGGGGGCCAAGTTCCGCGACGTCTACGAGGCCGCCCGCCAAGTGGTCGTCAACAAGAGCCCCGCCCTCGAGACCCACTTCGTCAAGTCGGTGGGTTCGTGTCTGGGCATCGAGTTCCGCGACTCGGCCTTCACCCTCAACGGCAAGTCGGACAAGACGGTGCTGCCGGGGATGGCCTTCTCGGTGCAAGTGGGCCTCAGCGACATGAAGCCCAAGCGGGGCAAGGGCGACATGTACGCCATCTGGATCACCGACACACTCGTGGTGCCCCTACCAGACAAGCCCCAGCCCAGCGACACCGACATGGTCAACGGCGACGGTGGCGGGGGTGCTGCTGGCGGTGGTGGGGCTGGCCACGACGACCTCCTGGTGCGGTGCCTGGTGCAGGACGAGGAGGTCATGGCGGAGGCGAGCAAGCTGGAGCCCGTTGTCCTGACGGCATCGCAGAAGCGGTCCCTGCAGGCTAACTCGTACGAGCTGGAGGAGGAGGAGGCCGAGGACGAGGAGGACGAGAGGCGGGCCGCCCGGCCGTCGGACGGCAAGAAGGGCAACAAGAAGAAGGACAAGAAGGGGGCCACAGGGGGGGACGGCCCGGCCGTGTCGGCCAGTGTCCTCAAAAACGCCGACACGGTGGTCATGAGCCAGCGGCTGCGCACCCGCAAGGGTGAGCTCAACGAGGAGGAGTCCAAGGAGATCGAGCGCAAGCAGCAGGAGCTGCGTTTCAAGAAGCTGCAGGCCATCCGTGACCGGTTCCAGAATGGTGAGGGGGAGGGGGCGGGGGCCAAGAAGGTGTCGGTGAGGAAGATGTCGTCCATCACCACCTACCAGGACGCCGGGTCGCTGCCGCGAGAGGTGGAGAGGCGGCCCAACAAGATCCTCCTCGACGGCGACAGGGAGGCCGTGCTGGTGCCCCTGGGCGGCACACACGTCCCCTTCCACGTGTCCACCATCAAGAACGTCTCATGTGTGGCCGAGGAGGGCAAGAAACACTCACTCAGGATCAACTTCCAGGTCAGCCAGGGACACACCCAACCATCACTCCCCCCAACCCCC